AGATCAAGAGGGAAAGAGCCGCTCATAGGTTGGAACAGGTTTTCGTCCAGGTTTCTGTGAGCATTATAATCCTGGAGTAGAGGCGTTGTTCAGTGTATCAATGTTTATAGTGAAGCGAGACGTTTTCGATAGTGCACGGGGACAGTGGAGAAACTTGCGTATAGTTGCGCCTAAGGAACGAAAGGGGCTCCGTCGCCATCACTATGAACCTCGACCCTGAGTTCTTACTGTGAAGGAGGATCGTCGATCATTGCGTGCAAGTTGTGAAGGTCTCCAACGCTGCAGCCGCGCTCAAGCATGCGCTAGTATGGCTCGTGAAGTAGTCTGAGAAGCACGGAAAGGATTGGGTTCTACAGTGCACTTCTTTGCTAGGCTCATCCCCCACTAGCGTAACAGAAAGCAGATACAGTGTTGTAGAAAGAGCCTAGCTTTGCGTTGATGAATCCGGGAAAGGAGCGTAACGCCGCCTCACTGTGTCCCCCTGCTGTGTTGGTCTGGAGTTCGCCTCCCTGCTTCGCCCTCCAAGCAATTGAGCAGCATTTGCCCTTGCAAAGTCCTAAAACGCATTCTGACTGCATAACATATGTATTGGCAATCAACTTGATGACCGGTGGTTATTGATCAGTGTCCGTGTAGTACCTGCATACTTTACGTCCCGTAACCTAACAGTATCATAGTTTTGTCGCTTTGTACTCTTGTAGTGACGCTCAGGGAACAATAGGACGTGATGCCATGCACAACTCAAGAAGAAAAGCATTACGGTCGACGTACTGACTTGCGAGTTGATCGTGCGGACCGAAGGTCCGGCTGAGCATTAAACAGTGAGATGCTAGGATGTAGAACCTCGAGAGCAGACGGTACAACATTTGTGCTTGGCTTTGAACAGTGCACACCACATGAAATGTGGGTGATGCTGGAAAGTCACATAAGAAGAGGTCGATGCGAACGAGCATGTTGTGGCGCTCATGCATCCATTAGAGATGATATATAGCGTTGCATCTGTACGCAGGCCGGTTCCATTCCAGTACAGCGGAAAAGCCAACCATGATGGCTCATGCTTTAGAGCTCTCGTGCATATCAATGTGGGGGTGTTAAGTACCTTCTGATCTACCCCTTTGAAGTTCATCATAATCCAACGATCATTGCATGTCTGTATCACAATCGAAGTGGAGGCTTCAGGCTGCCATATCGAAGGGTTTCTGAAAGAATAAGATCTACCAGAACATACAGACAGTGGTTTCTGAAGATACATTTTCATTCGCACAGGCTGATCGGCTTCGGGTTAAGCAGATACGGTTTACTTCGGATGTCTTCATCCGATCATCTTCTCCGCTCACATGCCACGTTGCATTCAGCCAGGGAACGGGTCTCGAAAGCACAGTAGATCTCGCTGACGGCGCTTACTAGGATATAAGGTAGTCGTATGATAGCTTCGATTAGTTCAAAGGTCTTCCAGTGCGATGTTTGGCATCTGAGACGATGGCCCGACTTAGTCTGGTCGGCAGCGTGGGCGACTCAATGGGCAGTCTATGGATCCTGGGTTTGCCAGCAGTTCTTCTCTCAAGGTGTATACAACACCAGTGTATCTTGCTTGCCCTGCAACGCAAACGTTGGACCAAGCTTATGTGTCTGCGGTCCACTTTCAGTCAGCGCTGGGTACTTCGCGCAATTGATAGACTGCCGTCACTATGAGAATCATTCTCACTTCAATTGACATGTTGCGCGTGCTTCAGAGAGCAAGCCCTTTCCTCACACTGATCTGTTCACGAGCCAGAAGGTGGATAATAGACGTCACGGAAGCCCTCCGATACGAAAGGGAGCGCCTAGCAATGGATCTCCATAGAGAAGTAGTTAGCATCAAAAGCAGGTGCAAAGGCGACTGTATATCCCGATGTTCCAGTGTTGGTTTATCAAGATAATCTTGGGGATCCGACAAGCTTGTTGCGATTGAAAGCCAGCCAGCACAGCGATTGAAAGCTGCCTCTTGTAACGAGATGCATTCGAGTTTCCCGAACGGCTGTCGGCGACCACTTCAGGAAAGTCTTGGGTGCTTGTTTTGCAACGCTTGTGCGTGGTGCTGGAAGGAGCCATGTTTCCAGAACAGGGGCCATGTGCATGATCATCTTTCCGAGTGCTGCAGGTCCGGTGGAGTGGCAACTTGTAGCCTCGATTTGAATGTATGCAGACGCTGTTGAAAGAGGAAATAGGCCCTTTGCCACGATGTGCAATCGGATCAATGGCAGATGACACTTAGGCCGGCAGGACTGCTAAGGCTTGCGCGTCTTGTGTATGCATTAGTATTGAACAGGCCCGGTGTCGGAGGTCTTGTCACCAGTATGAGATGTCACATCAAACTCGGGGCCGTGAAACTGATGGCCGACCAATGGTGCGTGCGCGACCAAATCAGACGCCTTGGAGACACAAGCTGAGGGCATCTTTCAGAGGATTTGTATTTGCTCGGCTGCCAATGTGGAGGGCGCTTGCCAGAAGCCTCGTGGATGTGATGCGGTGCTCGGACGTAGTCTTGTGGGTGCCCAGAAACGGCATACCTGACAGGTGCGTTCCGAACACACGATCTATTTCTGGATGGGCATGATGAAAAGGGTCTGGGGTAAAGACAGCGCTACAGGTGGTGGAAACAGCGCGGGCAGGGGGTGGAGCTGGGGTGTGAAAGAGAATGCGAGATGGTGGACTAGTGGTGAGCAAGGCATGGCGTCTGCAGTTCGGATCGAGGGGAGCTTCAGCCGTGGTATTGGGTCGCCGTTGTCGAGCACAAGAGCTGCAAGGCGTGCCGGTTCGAGCAAGATGAGTGGTGGTCGGGGAGTCTCGTGCGCCGCACAGGGTGACGGAATGATGAGGGTGTGGCTGCGGGGCTAGTGTTTGATAACCCTTCCGAGCACACATGCCGTGAACAGGATGCGAACAGGGCCAGGCCAGGCTGCACGTCGCCCGGTCAGGACGCCGCAGTGAAGCGAACAGGAACGCATGCCCCGCGAAGGTGTAGCGGCGAGGCGCGGAGCCAGTGGGCGCAGGGGGATGACTATCCGGGAGTGTGGGCGGGGCGGCGGTGGGGGCTGGTGATTGGGTCGCTACTGCCAATTCGGAAAAGTAATGGGATTTGTCGTCGTCGGCACAGATATCTGCGCAGCCGGTGCGGTGCGTAGGGGGTGGCCTCGGCGGTGGGATCGCCCTGGGCCTGCCAGAGGCGGCTGTCGGCGACCTCCCGACACGGCGAGCGGATGCGGAAGCAGGCTGGGCGGCGAAGAATGCAGATGCAGATGCAGATGCAGATGCAGCAGCGTGCGCGGGGTGCGAGGGAGTGAGGCTGTCGAGGGAAGGCGCGGCCGTCGCCACTGCCACTGCCACTGCGCGGCGAGAGACGAGGGAAGGAGCGATGCAGGTACGGCGCGCGCACCGTGACGCTCTAAACTCAGCAGTTGCTGGCACCGTCGGGGCGGATGAGATGGTTCCCAGCCGGGCGGGTCGCGCGCACCAAGAAGGCCCGCGGCGCTGCTAGGGACTTTCACGAACCTCCCGCGCGCTCCCGCCTGCTTGCCGCGCTCGACGGGCCAGGGTCCGCCACACGCCGCAACGTGAATGTCCATCGACGAGACGACTAGCCACCTCCGGGCCCTGCCAGAGGACGCCTCCTTCTGCAATTACCTAAACGCCCCCCGCCCCACTCGCCAGGCGCCGTGTCCCGAGAAGAAGCTGCCTGATGCCGTCGATGCCGTCGCCCGCCCTCGTCTCCAACTTGCTCGGCGGCGCCCGAAGCTACACCTCCATGCCGGATCGCGGGAGCCAGCGTCTTCCACGTGTCTCTGTTGTTCGGCCCTACTCGCGCTGACCACGGCCTTCAGTGTTGCTACTACACAGTAAAGATATAGCACAGCACACACGGAGGCGCTTTGCGCAATAATGAGCCTCCACTCCGCCTGCCGAGATCCCCCACCAGCATGTCGTGCCCGGCCCCTCCACGCGTCTGGACGCATTTGCCTGCCTCTCATTCGTCTCCCCTTTGAGCCACACCCAGCCGGCCTCAAATCTGTCCACCCCAGCCCTCGGCCTCCTCCAGAGCGACCTGCAAACGCCAGCGCCGCCGCCCTTCCCAATCGGCCGGAGATAATACATCTCGCACGCCTGCGCGGCGCAGTGGGCAATGAGCAGCCGCTCCCAATGTGACGCGACTAGCGTCGACATGGCCCTCACCTCACCCCCACACGATGCAACTTGAGACCAACCCTGGCGCAGCCACCAAGCCTGCTCACTCGACTGGACCACGCCGCCGTCCCGTCTCCGATCAGGGATCAAGATGCCGTGGGCACACGCTGAGATGCCAACCCTGTCGAGCCCGGTCCCCCTCTTGCGCTTGTCCCATCCTCCCATCTGCACATGCACACTGATGGCACTCTGCTCATACTATGCACATGGCAGGGGTTCCTTTCACAATTTCCATACCCTCCCTCCTAGCACACGCCAAAACAGCTGCTTGATGCCAAGCATCGCTGTGCCCTCTTTTCATCACTCTGGTCTCGATCTCCGGCTAGCCTCTCCGTATCTAGCCTGTTCGGTATCCCCCAAAAGCACCGTCATCCTTGCTCGTCGCGGGATGCATACTATAGCCTTCGATTCGCAAATCTATGTATATGTGTATAATACCCCCAAACTCACCTCCAACCACAAGCGGTGCCACTCGATATATTCTCCACCCTCAGCTAATCATCAAATACCTCCCACGCCATACATCTCACCCCGCCTCTTGTATACACATCGTTTCCTACAATACTGATACATACATACATACCCGCCGCTCGGCTCAGTCCGCTGTTGCAGCAGTTTCTTCGCTCCTAAGCTATCCAACCGTCTCGTGGGCATAGCCTTTGGCCGTCCGCTTTGACCCGCCAGCACGGACTTGTCTATCAGCAATGGCAGCCGTCGTTGCAGCCCACCACCCAGGACTGTGGCAACACCGATCTGATCAACACCTTCATTTCCCCAACATGAATATGTCCGACTTCGCCTCATCATACGACGACACTCATAGGAGTGTCACAAATCCGCCCGTCTCGAGACCTTTCCAGACGACATCTTCACAATTGAGCATGCACGGTCTGCCCATGTTCTCCGCGCAGCCCATGACCAGCTCTGTGCCCTATCAATCTGGAGCGTTCGCCTTCGATTCAATGACAACAACCAACCCATACAACATACAACAGGCGTACCCTATAAACTACGCAACAGCAATGACGCAGAACGTATCCTACCATGGAACGTCGGACATCCAGCCCATGCCTCTTGTGCGAACAGCAAGGAATGGCTTCGCGAGCCTTGGTAGCCCTGGGGTGAAGTCGGAAACCTCCTCGCCCGTTCAGTCACATCATGGCATGACCGACATGTCTTACAGCCAGGATTACAAACGCTCAACGTCGGAACCATCGGAGGGTAGTGGCGGCAACTTCGCAACCGATGTGGATACACTGATGAAGGCCATTCAAGCAAAACAATCGACTGCGTCAAATAGAGACCCTGCCAAGGTGAGTGACTACGCAGGCATAAAGAGCTCAGCATCTAAAGAAAAATGGCAGGAGGATGAGATCAAACCTGCTCGGAGGGCGGCAAAACGATATGTGTGCACGATTCCAGAATGCGGCAAAGCTTTCTACCAGAAGACCCATCTGGATATTCATCGCCGGGCACACACTGGAGACAAGCCTTTCGTAAGAGCCCCATAAGGACCTGCAAAAGCATCGCTGACAGTCATAGGAATGCAAAACCTGCGGCCAGTCCTTCTCCCAGCTTGGGAACTTGAAGGTGAGCTTTTGAGATGACAGTGTTGTAGCAATATGCTAACCAGGGTAGACTCACGAGAGGCGCCACACGGGAGAGCGTCCCTACACCTGCGAAATCTGCGGCAAATCGTTTGCTCAGAGGGGCAACGTTCGGGCTCACAAGATTGTGCACCAGCAGATCAAGCCATTTACCTGCAAACTGGATCAATGTGGGAAGCAATTCACACAATTGGGCAATCTCAAGGTATGCAGCTCAGTCGTTTCACGCGCATGCAATATCTGACGGCTTCAAGTCTCACCAGAACAAATTTCACGCCCCTGCCTTACGCTTCCTTACTCAGAAGTTCGCTTGCATCAATCCCGGCGACAAAGTACAGCAAGAGGATAAGGAACTGTGGGAGTACTTCGCATCTCTCTACAAGAACTCGAACAAGGGCATCAAGGGCCGAGGAAAGGACCGGAGGATCACCACGGCTCCTTCATCAGCAGCTGGAAGCTCGTCATCATACAACGGTCTCTCGGCCGATACGAGTCGCGAGTACAACAGCTACCAGCATTCCGGTAGCGAGCGCAGCAGTCGCTGCTCGTCCACCATTTCCGAACCCGCCGTGAAAGTAGACACTGGCTACCATTTCAGCACTCCTCTGCACTCAGGATACCAACAACAGAACGTCTACGATGACTCTGCGTTTCCCGAGCGCAGACTGTACTAGTGGTGCCGTCTCAGGGCACTAGGATTTATGAAACGACGACTTGTAAATGAACAAGACGGCATAGCTACGGAGTATGGGCTCTTGTGTCGGGCGATACACGGCAGACAAACATGATGCGTACTTTGGGTCGGGGAGTTTGGGGGGCGAGACATGATACCCACCCTGGCGCGGGAACAGGACGAGTCCAGGAACTTTCATATTCTTCCATTCCATCACTTGAGCGTTTACCATGATGACTATTATCAACATGATTAGAGGCAGCCGTTCATGCACTCCTGTAGTATACGCAGGCAACTCTTGTATCTATGTCTAGGCAATTTTGCAGATGGTGTATAACGAGGCTGGCAGGTGCGCCGGTCGCAGATACCCCCTTAGCTCACGTCGTATGTACCATGGTGGTTGCGTGGATGAAAATTTTCATTTGCCTCGTTGGATGCAGATGGCGTCTTCTGTCAGCAACGGACAGCGGTTATTCCCGCAAAAGCCAATGTATCTTCTAGATGCATACCCCGTCCAAATGTGGCCCAACACTCACTGGGAGCCAATGGATTAGCGAAAGTGAGCAGTCATTTCGTAGCAGTCATGTATTTGAGCGCGTACGTGGGAGGGGGTGTCCCTGCGTGCGCTTCACCGCTACGCTACGAATAGGTGCATATCGGCTAAGTCTCGCAGCAAATGGCTCGCCCGAGCAGATGCGTGTGCGATAGGTGCGGAGCAACAAGTCCTCGGAGTCGCCTGACCGCCTGCACTCCAGGAGCTCCTTGCCGGAGATGCGGCAGCACCACGATGCTTCTTATCAGGAACGCGAATGCGCAATGTAATCGTGGTAGCGTCAGACGCCTGACCACCTTCTAGTGAAATCTACACGGACCCGCGGTTCTGGTGTCGTGGTGTCGAGAAGGGCCGATTGCGGGTTGCTAGCTATGGGGAATGCGACGGAACACCCGCGCTTAGCTGCACTGGACGTGAGGGTTCGTCTGACCAGACTCTGGTATCTGATCACGCACATGAACTGCGGTGTTCGAGCAGCGACGTGGCGGGTGCGGGTGCCCGCGGCCAGCAGAGCATCCCGCGCGACTCTGCCATCCCACTCGGCCCTTCCCAATGCAGCCTATCACCGCCTCACTCAGACTCACGCATTCTCGTCCTGCTTCCAAGCCTGTCGCTGCTTACACGTCCACGTATGACGTGGGCCATTGCCACTGCGAAGTAATTGCACTGGGAGGAAATATCAGCGAGAAGGCGCGCTTCATTCTACGGAGATCGGCAGCGCACGTGGGCGGACTGGGATGCCGCTGGGGTCCGGTCACGGAAACGCAGATCATCCGAGAACAGGTGCGAAAGCAGTTGGCAAAGAGATCTGGAGAACGGGACGTGCAGGAGTGAATTGCTTCAGACATCAGTTCGAGAGCTCCGTGTACGCGGAGGTAGCCGCCGTCCGAAAAGACGGAGGGGCATGTTTGTTGATAGAGTGGGATTTGATTACTCGACCCTGTTCATGCGGGCACAGCACAAGGATTGCAAAGACTCAACGAGCGACACGATGGTTTCAAGATACTGAGAAGGATAGATCGACTAGCCGTGGAGATGCAGTTTGTCAGACGCTTCACTGGCAGATATCTACATCAGACCGCTCAAGATGCATGCGTTGTGATCGCCACTGTTAGCGTCGATCAAATGGGATGGCCCGCTTTTCTTTCGGGGGCAGCCCATGACGTACGGTCGGAGAAGCAGCGTCGCGGTCTGTGGTGGTAGGAATGAGCTTCGTAACTTCAAGATCCGCCAACACGGCGAGTGCCCCGTGCCCGCAATCCTTTGAAACTCCATGGGGACGTAAACAGCAGGTACATGCGTGCATTGACGCGCTGTGAGCAACGAATCCTCCGAGCGCTACGCAACCAAACGTGCGGTTACATTCAGTTGGGACGCACCTTGTCACGTCCTTCCTAACGTGGACGTCGGCATCAGCCATCGCCATCTCTCCGCTGTTGTCGGTGACAGCTTTGGTCCCAGCGCTGCAGCGATGGATTCAAGAGGAATGGGCTCCTCGTGCACATCACGCATGCTCGGGACCTCCATCCATCGGCCTGGGACTTCGCGCTCGCCGAAAGCGACTCGGACGGGTTGCTATGCTCTCCGATCATGGGACGGTCATGGCAACTACAGTCTCTCGTCAAAGCAAAGAAACTTGGACTGATGACAGCAGTGGCACCAGAAATCGCTCAAGCAAAACGCTCGAGCGCAATCATAGTGCACGCATAGGAATTTCCTCATTCGCCATAGGGCGTCATGCACCCCGCGCGTCCATCCAGAAACACTCACCGCCGGGCGACTCCTGACACGGTGCACCCCATCTCGAACGCATACTACCTGCACACCATGTTCCTTTCAAAGCATTGACAACATGAAACCTCTTTTCTAGCGTTGCCATGTCGTTGTCATTGAAGCCCGATTCCGACTGCGATTGCCCAAATCCACCCACGTGCCTGGCCCCCACTAACATTGGCGGATCCTATTATAGGAGACTAGGATTGGCATTGCGCACGTGTGTGGGTCGGAGAACGCGCCAGATCCTACGGCTGCGCGTCTGTTCGCCATGCCTACAGTCGGCATAGTGTAGGAGTCGTGTGAGGGCTCCGAGGAGACTTCTTATCGACTGCCAAACGCGGCGTGGGCGAGCGAGAATACGAGGGTGGAGGGAGGCCGCTCTACAGACTGGGGCTCCTGGGCCTGTGTTTCAAGGCTACGAGGAGTCATGTACTGCCTCAATCTCGACGTGCTGCGAGGCTGTGTGGTTTGGGAAGTCGCTAACGATCCGTAAAGAAGACTGAACAGTCGGGCCTTCGCAGGGCGGCGATGCGGCAATGTGTTCTGGGGACGTCGAATACGGACATTTCTCCACCAACAGGTCTATGGCGTCGCCGCCACGCTGAGAGCGAACCTGGTTGCCGGGCCCATCTCGTCCTCCCTATCCACGATTCATCGAATCGCAGCACGCGCGTGCGCAACCCCCAAAAAGTGAACGCCCTTCTCGGTACGACATTGTATCCGGCATTTCGGTATTGCTCGCTCTGGGATCTGTATGCCGAACAAGCCCAGCTGAGCACCTTCTGCACCACTGTACTACACGCCTCCATCGTCGGCGTTGCGCTCACCATCACCGCCCAGCCTTTATACCATGTAAGAGAGCAAAACGTCTCGCCGCCGTGCAACACACCGAGCCCTTCCTCCGGAGCCATGGCCAAATCCACCAATTCGGGTTTTCCGCGTTCTCCACCACAACGACCATGCCTTCCCCGCTAGCACCGCGATAACTGTGTGCGAACCAACTCCGCCACGGCATTTCCACAGTCGCACTTCGACGCCCGAACCACCTCGCTGGGATACACCTTTCCCGCCATGGTGTCCCAGATTCCGACCGCAGTTCCGGAGCCTCGGGCATCGAGACACCACGATCCCGCATCGAAAGCACCCTGCAGCTTGTTACATTGCAGCTGTGGTTCTGGAGGGATTGCGGGATGGTGGGAGCCAGGGCTTAGACGCTGTGTCCCCGATCCCAATGTCCGGACTCGATCGGTTCCTCGACTGCAAGTTGCTGTATGAGGTGCGATATCGGGAAGAGAGAGCTTGCTTCGGACCAGGTGCGATGCAGCTATGTCTATAAAGATATTGCCTGGCACCCGTGAGTCTAGTGTTGGGAAAATGGTTGCGGGAATGTGCATAGACGGCGACTCGTCGCTCTCTGTGAATGGGATGCAAGGGGATCGAGAAGATTGCCGAGATGGGCACGAGGTACGTGTACGTGTCACTGTTTAGTATGGGTGTACGGAATGCAGGTGAGTGGTCTTGACCGCACGTGGCTGCTACATCTCGTCAAGTACAGTTTCTCTGTATGTGTGCTTTGCATGCATATTGTTCAAGTGCAAGGTTCTGCTCATGCTACACGATCACGTGCCGATTACGTCCAGACTTCTGCTCTGTGACCGTCAAACTCCAGAACACATGTCCAAAGGATCTTGTTAACGGTCATCGGTTTTCCAGTTTCGGTACAGGCAACATTGGATCAACAGTCCACAGGACGTTCATTTCTCCAATACTGATCTCACTACAGCCCAACATGAAAGTCTAACATTTCCGCTATCTTCCTTCCCGATGCATTTGATTCAGTATCACAACCCCAATGATATCTACCTCGCTTCACAATCTTCACCTTCGCCATACTCCCACTCAAGTCTGCCCTCACCGTCTTCCCATCCCACGCTTTCCCGTCACTCAATCGGCCCGAATCGCCCGAATCGCCCCAAACAAACCCACGCTGACTCGATGCCAACACGCAAACCTCCGACCTTCGTCTACCGGCCCGATACCTAGCTGCACCCGCCCGCGCGCGTTTCGTCGCGGATAAATGCACCCTGGAAACCTTATCGCGACATCAGCACCGCCGTCTCCCCACGCGCTTCCCATCCACTTCCGCTCCTCAGGAGACACGTGGGCCAGACGCTTTACGTCACGGAAAGACGCCCACGCCCACGGACAGTGCGCTTCTGCCCTGACTATTGCAAGGTCGGCGAGCTGCGATGTTGCTATGAATAACTCGGCATGCAAGGGAGAGAAGCCACATGACCACGCGGCTACGTAGGATGATGAAAACTTGTGCACGTGGGTCGTAGGGCGAGATGGACGCCGACATGGTCGCTTAGGACTGCCTTATTCGAGGGGGCCTGCATGCCGTTGGCGTTCTGCGCGATGCGTCGCTTATCTAGGTTTGGTTTGCGCTGCGCAGAAGGGCTGAAGAGGCGTGCATCTGTAGGTCTCGGGAGGGATTCTAGGACTAACCGTACGAAAAGATAAAGGAGTAGAGGGAGATAGCGATGGCGAGACAAATTTGTAGTAAGTAATACTATGATGGATAGGAGGTGCTCGGAAATGTAGAGCGGATACGGGCTGTTGTGCAAGGTCATCTGGCATAAGCCACCGCGATGCCTTGCATGATCGTGTATCACCGTACACCACACCGTGGAGAAACCATGACGAGTCAATCTTTAGAGTCCACAAGCTCTTCTGTTGGCCTAACGCGCGGTACGCTGATCGACTACGCTCCTCGGAAGCTAGCGATCTTTTACGCACCCAGCCGATGTCGTGATCGCGCCCACATATTCTCAAGATCGAAGCTTCTTGGTGAAACCATCGCATCTCCGTTCAGACTGTATGCTTCGCTGTAGTAACCGAAAGAAGGTAAGGGCGATAAACGAGATCGATGATCGATACGATACATGCAAGTAGGCCGATTTGTAGGTCAACATTCACTTAAATCAATAGGTGAAAATCGTGCATTCTGTTGTCAAGATGAGGATGACAATTGGTCAATTTTCGTTTCAAACATCGAGATCCGTCGTAAGATTCTTACGCGCTGAAACGTTTCATTTCTCTACTCAACAGTGTAGCCTAGGGTAATTTAAATTGCGAAAGGCCTTCAGCATCGGGATTTATCAGTGCATGAACGACGTCCATATGGACGCGAGAGTAAGTGTAGTCAGTCTTCTGCGTAGAAATAACGAGCGATATCAATCGAACAAACAAGTTTGATACCGAGGATACAGAAATTCACAGTATACAAAGTCAATGTCACAGGGCAGCCAGCAATTTTTTATTATTATTATCACCGGCTCAAAATAGCAATACACGTTGTTTTACTACTTCTCAATCCCCAACACCTCCTCAAACGGATGATTCGGGTCAAACGGATACTTCCTCACCACCACATCACCCACATACTCCCAAAGCTCCTGATTGACATCTCCAATCTCATTATTCAACGGACACACGTTATCTTTCTGACCGAAAGTCTCCACCCCGGACACATGGCCTGCGTCATAGTTGATGCGAACCTGGTTAACAGTCTGGCGACTAGCATCTCCTAGCAGGTAGTTCAAGGGCATGAACTGCACACCTGAGTGTGCGGTTGTGAACACCGTGTTTGGCAGATCTCCTGTATGAGGAACATGATGCATACCAAGGTTGATCCACGCGACGAGGTCTTCCTGAACGAGGCTCTCACCGTCGAAGAAATGGTCGAAATTAATCGGCGGATTCTGGACATCCTGCGAGTTGTAGGGATGCGAGCTGGTGAGTTCGGTGTCGTGTTGCTTGGTGAACTGAAGGTCGTAGCCAGCCCAGTTCGCTGAATTGACAGTCGAAGAAGAGTTCTGGACGGTGAGATGAGCCGTGCCTGACGATGGTAGGATGCGGTAGCCTCGCTTCTCGCCGTACTTGTTCACCTCATCTTGATTAACAATGATGACTTGCGTTAAAGCGTTCTCGCCATAGTTGATGCGAGAGTCATCTTCGCTCTCGATGAAGCTTCTTTGCAGTTTCATCGTGTTGCGCGGCTTGCCCTGGGACCACGGGTATGTCTCGGTTGTGGCCACATTCTTGACGAGCTGCACAGTATTGGCCGTGCCTAGTATATCGAAATCAGCCTTGAAGTTAAGGACATGGTCGTGCATCGAGCCACTCAGTGCGTCGTGAATGTGCCAACCGTAGTCCTCATTGTTGGCATAGTACGCCCCTTGGATATATCCCGAGGCGCGTACCTCAACGCCTACCGTGCCGTCCTGGTAGAAGGAATAAGTGAACATGTAGTCATAGTTTCCGACCGTTGAGACAGATCGGAGGCTGAAGTAAGTGTTTTTCGTGGCTGATACGTATGTTGTGGTGCTATGACGCTGCTGAGGATAGTCTGCATCAAACTCAAACAAACAGATGGAGTTAACGTGAGTATGTGTTGTTTCGGAGACATAGAATGATGAGTTGAGATATGTCGCGTAGGCAGGGCAATCGTATCCTTCAACGAGCTGGAAGGCGTAAGGTCCGAACCCATAATATGAATCGAGATATGCTGTTCCGGATTGGTAGGGGTCAGCACCAGCATAGTGAGCAAGTGCTTCCTAAGTTAAACATGTCAGTCGGAACATTGTGCGTATAGTGCTGGGCAATTGTTTGGGTACCGCATTGCTTATCCCAAGGCAACACAAGGTATCGGAACTTGTAATAAGGTACTGTCAGGGGATATAGTACTCACTTGTAGTCCCAGTTCATATATGATCCGGTCGCCCTTATACTTGATGTCGTAAAGTGTAAGACCGGTGTCACGCGAGAACCCCACGTAAAAGCTGAAGTCCATCCACTCAACGTACTTTTCCTCCACATCAACAGAGTAACGTGACCCAGCCGGTGCTATGGCCATTGGAGGAGACAAGGTATCATGCGGAAGAAGAGGACCACTTTGGTCGGTGCTAGCCCAAGGCCCATCAATATTGATCGGCAGCTTCTCGAAACCAGGACTAAAGAACGCATCTCTAAAAGCCTCGGTAGAGTCGTACCATACGTTGTTGTAAAACCAGCCGAGGAGCTTCCATTGAGACGGATCTCTGCCGGTTTGGTCGACCAGGAAATACAAGCCAAGAGAAAGGATTGAAGTGGTATCAAAGCCCGTTGCGCTCTTGTGAACGAACATGTACCAGCTGGTAATGCGATCGTCCTCTTGACCCATTGGATCCACACCCCAAATAGTGATCGTGTCATTATCGTGGCCAAGCGCAGTCCCACTCCAGAGCTCGAGGGTGATGTCTTTGATAGATGCGCTTGCAGGGTAGAGGAGCTTCTCGTAAAGTGTATCATCATTTGCACCGAGGTTCCGCACTCGACCTTGAGTCTTCCGCGTGTGATAATAGTCAAGGGGCGACCATGTTGTGACATTGGCCACTACAGGTAGCGGGCCGACTAGAATATCTGCATAGTAAGGTTCTTCGGTTGCTCGGACGTTGAGAACGACATGTGCGTAGCGCTCAGGAGCCGGACCGGACCCATCGAGGTAGGCAACCACATCGGTCTTGTTTGGGCGTTGCAGCTCAATAAGCAAGCTTCATATGTCAGCGTCATTTGTCGAGCATGTAGGGGAAATCCATACACAGAGTTATCCCATTCTCCAGCCTCCTCGCTTGTTGTCAAGTTCAGATCCGACTGCTCAAAGAGCCAATAGGCCACGGATGCAGCTTCCTCGTCAGTGAAGCCTTCCCAGACATTGGGGACCGGTGCAGTAACAGGTACTGCAGCATCACCGCAAACAGGGGCCTCGGGACTTGTGTTGTTCAAATACTGACGCTTGGCCTGCCGTGAGTCATGTGGTATGACTCTATGGCCTCGACCACTCTTGACCCATTTAGCCTTTGCTTCAGGCGTCGGCGCACTGTTGATCAAGGCCGGAACGAGTGCGAGAACAAGAGCCGACACAGTTGTGTGAAATTTCATCCTAAAATGACCACTTCTGGAGAAGGCTTTGGTGTTTCAGTGAAATCATGGCTAGCTACTCTGGCCTATATACTTCCCTCAGAAGAAAAGATCTCACGTAACAGCGCCGTCGCCCAACGGACGATTACGAATCGGCACTGCACTCCACCATTGCTGATAAGGCGGGCGTATCTCAAGCTCCCACTTTAAGTGAGTGCGGAGAGTCAGTACAACGGACCCGGTGCGATTTCGCCGACAAAATTTCCTAAGATGGAGTAGTGCTACTCGGTAGCAAAGCCCAATTGTGTATGGAATCAGCATGGTATAATAAGCCTAATGCAAGAGAACCGTAGTTCTGCCGATGTCGGCCTCTGACCCGCCTTCTTGTAAAATGCCAAAAGCCTCTAGTCAAGCATTGAACAAGTTGTTGCATCTTGATAGCCTGGAGCTTCGTCAATCAATCTCGGCCGAGCAGAGTGAAACCATCAAAGGGAGACTTTTCTTAGTGAAGATATCTGTACGGACGTCTTCATGTGTACCTCTGAGAAGTAACGCAGAAAAGTTCGGGTAGTATAGATTTTCCCCATGGGAATGGGATTGCGATAGTTCTCAGAGGTAGAGTTGACGAAGAGTTCAACCGAACTAGTGCCAAAACCTAACCACATCAAGCTTAACACGTGCAGCGGAGCTCTTATCAACGTACCTGTCGCTATCGTCCCTGGACCTGTGCGATAAGGTACCGCATGTTAGGAACGAATGAACTTCGGAGCAACCCCTAAGCGACTTAACCTGCTGGCTCGATGTAGCAAGTCCATGCGACGAAAGCCCTGCTGCGGGCCCCGTACCGTCCGACAACATTGACGACCCCAGAAAATCCACTCTCCCGGTTCACATATGTACGCGCGAGAAAGATTAGGAACTCTCCGTAGAATATCGTGCCTACGGCCTTATCTGATCACCCTAGGTGTCCTGACTGTTGACAAACAGATAAGCATTCAGTTACCCTCGTTTACCCGGATGTGAGACTGCGGAACTCATCCGAGCACTCTTGGGATCCGAACCGTTTCTCTCGAGACGACGAGATGTTTCCAAGGGACACGCGGGGTGGAAGCTCCCGCAAAAACTCTGGATTGAGTATGGAAGGCGGAAGGTCTGCATGCTCAGATAGATCATGGGCTTCGCATACTACAGAAACTGAGTTCTAGTTCAGGTGCCGGTTTATGTTGAGAAGGGCAAGATGCTAAGAATAGATCGCAGAGGCTTGGCTAGAGGCTAAGAGGTGATAGCCCCGGCACTTGCTTAAGCAATAGCAATGTCGATTTCGAATGGCATGCTGTCTTGCGGTTTGACAGAACGTTTGATTTTCTTTGACCTAGAAGATGAAGAGCATCTTCACGAACACAGCGTAAGAAGCCAACCCTCTGGTGAAAAAAAGCCCAGGACTCGGTCTGCCCAAGAACTAGTCTGCATGGGATTGACCCTTGCTTTGTGTCTTCGGTATGCAAAGGAAGACAATAGTATAATAATGCTTATAGGTGATATCTTCGTGGTCCGGATAAAAACAACCAGCGGAAAATGATCCACGTATACAGCAATATTTCGGTTGGGGTATTTTCACCAGCTTGCCACGTGCTGAATGTACTGGGCCCTGGTTCAGAGATAGCGGGATCCCAATAACTTGGCTGCACGTATTGCTGGCTGAAACAACAGGGGCAATTCCTTCAGGCGGATGCCGTTCCGTAAGCGGTCGGTATTCGAGGTCGTGAGTGCCATCGATTCGCGGTTCTCCAACTAACAGCTGAGCGCTACGTAAGACCGTCAATAAGGGTAGGGTCGCTCCCTGAGATCAGTCGATGCGGAGTTCCATTAGTCTTCATCCCTAGAGAAAGTTGACACCGTGGAGATAGAGTTCTAGTCCGACATGCTCTAATTGCCGCCCGCAGCTAAGTCGGGGTGAAGTCGACTTCATATCTCAGAATAAGGGCACACAAGTCTTACGAGTCTCTTTCAGCTCCTGGGAAAGCCAAGATGGATGAAGAATATCATGAAAGTTGGAGAAGCATTATCGGCAAGGCCAGATGGAGCATTTCAGCAAGCTTGAAAGACCAGTGAAGGCGGCACGTCGGATCCACAAGAAAGATGCATCTAATCAGTTTGATCAGATAAGATTGCAAATCTTACAATATGGGGCAACACGAGTCGATAGGAATTTCGGGCGAGTCACGTGAAGACGCGGTTACGCTTCGTCAGGTGTTGTCTCGGCCATGGCAGCGGTTGCGAGGCGGTGTGGATCTTGGTACGCGTCGAAAGTTTATCAGGCCGGTTTCGCGCCCCCTTTCGCTCGTGTTGGCTGGTGGTGCGGCGCACGGAGATGATTGAGTAACGATGAGGCGACCAAAAGGCAAGGAGCTGGCCAGCATGAGGTGACCTGCCTCTTTGCGGGACGCGATTTTACCGGCGCGGTCTGGCGCGCAAAGGCGGGGGGAATCGAGGGCTTTCATTGGCTGCTGCCGCGTCGTTGTCGCTCTTCTCCACCTGGCGAGCGAAATTAAACGGCGTTAAGGGCTTAGCGCCCCTCCTTCCTGTTCCTGAGTCTGGCTGCGCATCTTTAATAATACCGCGAAGCCGTTGTCGCAGCGCTCCTCATTCTCTCGTTTTATTGCTTTTGTTGTCCAAGTCGCTGCAATTCGTGCGCGAGCATCTTTCACCGAGGAAGCGCCCCGGACCGCTCGCTTCTTCCCGCGCCGAAACCATTCCTACCAGAAGCCAAACAAACCGCATACCGAGGCGCTGCACGCCGCCCAGCCATGGATCTCGTCCTCGAGGGGTTCGACACTTTTCTATTCGATCCCATCTATGCAGCCGTTCTGCCCGCGAAGACGCCCGGCCTTTCTCCCAATGGCACTTTTTCGAGCTTGAGGGAGGTGCCCACCGCCGCTCCCTACGCCGCGCAAAACAACTGGAAATATGAGCCTGCGAGCCAGTACCTGAGCTTTACGCCCGGCAAGTATGCCTACATGAGCGAATGGGCCCGCGACGACTGGCGCAGACAGCTGGTAACCCTATTCTTGATCACCTGGTACGTCCTCGCAACAACACTCTCTCGCTTCCGGCGCATCTAACAAAACACCCAGGCTCTTTGGCCTCGTAATATACTACGTCTTCGCCACGCTTTCCTACGTCTTCGTATTCGATAAGGCCACCTTCAACCACCCCAAGTACCTCAAGAACCAGATTCGCCTCGAGATGCGCCAAACCAATGTCGCCCTTCCTATAATGGCTGTCTTCACTACCCCTCTCTTCCTTCTCGAAGTCCGCGGATACTCCAAGATTTACGACAACTTCGATGAGGCCCCGGGCATGTGGTACAACTACATGCAGTTCCCCTTCTTCTTCATGTTCACCGACTTCTGCATCTACTGGATTCACCGCGGTCTGCACCACCCGCTAATCTACAAGCACCTTCACAAGCCTCATCACAAGTGGATCATGCCGACTCCTTACGCCTCGCACGCTTTCCACCCCATGGATGGCTACGCGCAGGGTTTCCCGTACCACCTCTACCCATTCCTATTTCCGCTGCAGAAGTTTGCTTACGTCTTCCTCTTTATCTTCATCAACATCTGGACCGTCCTTATCCACGACGGCGAGTACGTTGCCGACAATCCGATCATCAACGGTGCGGCGTGCCACACCATGCACCACCTGTACTTTAACTTCAACTACGGCCAGTTCACCACCCTGTGGGACCGCCTCGGTGGCAGCTACAGGAAGCCGGCCGACGAGCTCTTCCAAAAGGAACTCAAGATGTGTCACTCCACATGGAAGAAGCAGAACCAAGACATTGACAAGATGATTGCCGAAGTCGAAGGCTCGGATGACAGGAAGTACACGCCGGAGGAGCCCAAGAAGGTCCGTTAACGCCGAGCTTGCGACGAATGTTTGATACGCCGTTACGAAGAAGGCCTAGAGCATACAGGTAATGGCAGATAGGGTTGTAAGGCGTTATGCATATCGTTCATCACGGCCGCTGCTCTGAGAGCCGGCCTTTGTAAAAGTATGTTGGGCATGGGAGGTTGGCGTATTGATTGGTTTAAAAGTATGTTTTAATAGTGATGCCAAGGGAAGTACGATCTGGCGTCGGCTCCCGGACATTCATTGTATATATTTAAATGTAGAAGATTCTGAGACACCACCCACATGAAAACAACATATGCTTCGACATAGCGGTATGTCCGTCTGCAGGTGGAAGTAATCTGACCACTTTACGGGATGCATCTTACACAGCGTTTTATGAATGCGTTGCTACGTCTAATCTATGGATTCTACGATCTCTAGAATGTGACTCCAGTCTTGTACCACGTGGGCCCACGATGCCACGACGGGAGAACTTCTATAGCCAACCACCCATCGCCCTCGGCGCCGAAACCCAGCCCACGAAATAGAGAGATCGGGACGGGTTCGAAGAGCCAAACGCCGCCTCTTGCAAAGTCATCGCACAACAAATGCGCGGTATGATAGAACCACACATGCACATACACAAACGTCAGCGTACGCTTCACCCATCCGGGCACACACTTCGCAAACGCGCTCCCCTTTAGACTTTGCCGGATAATCCCCTCGGCAAAGCACGCCCCAGCTTGCAGCAGGAAGAACCGCATCGGCCCTGTGAGTGGGAAGGTCGAGCCATGACACGTTACACTGCCACTCGCATGCAGCGCCCCACTCAGCCCAAACGCCACCACTAACTGCACCGCTTTCGACGTCGGCGCTTTCGGATCCCATCCCATAACCTCAATAATCTTCTTACTAGGCTGCTCGAACGCAAACCGGAACGTCTGATGCCACCAGCCCGACCACCAGCCCGCTAGCCCCTTGTCTAGCACCAGTGTATACGAGCCCCATGTCGCGGGGTACATCCAGGGTTCTGCGCGTGCGCCTAGTATGTTTGGACCGAGAAGGCCAGAAAAGAACAACGGTGCGAGCGCGAATATGGATTCCAGGGCCCATTTTATAGCGAATTGGCAGATTACTAGGCGGAAAGCGTGTATCAGGTTCGGAGAAGAGAGGAGGAAAGAGGGGAGATAAGGCGCCGGCGGTCGATCAATGTACCCCCAGAAATACGGGTCGTGGCTCCCTATCGTTTTGATGATGTCTAGGACGAAGTAGCCCGTAAGAAGCGTCTTCGCGTTGGCGATGAGCAGCGCACGACGCGTCGGATAGGCGCGCGTTTGACTCGGGTGCGCGCGGAAGGTGTGCTTGGGCTGGATGGCGGAATTGCGGAGGAGTTGCTCTTGAACGGGTTTTGGAGGCGGAGGCGTGACTATCGTGCGCCAGTTCCAGCCTGCGCCGCGGAAGTTGGCAAAGAGGTCAAGGACCCAGTCGAGGCGCTCGATGAAGGGGGTGGATGGATAGGGTTGCCAGGCGAAGTCACCATGGCGTTGGGAAGGACCGAGTGACTCTCTTATTTCGGGGAGGTCTCGAGTTTGCTCCATGTTTTTGCTGGAAGATGGGCTTGCGGCGCCGTTCTGTGAGTTGTCGTTTTGCCCTTTGTCCCAGCTGAATATGCCCTCTGTCCTCTCAATCCTCATGAAGTCTCGTTGCGGGTCATTGCATACGATGACCGCTAGGATGTAGATGGAACTCCACGCAGCAATCAGTCCAATCCCTAGAGCGTTCGCGACGCCCTTTGCTCTGACATACTTGATCAGATACCCTGTATACGCCAGATTCAGCGCGAAGACAAGGAACCTTGCTTTCCGTAGCCAAGGTCGATTTCGATGCGGAACAAGCATGTATATGACGACTATCAGAGCTCCGAGTGTGTCCCAAGGATACAGAATCGGCTGATATTTGCCAGCATGAATGTCACTCGCATATTGATCGTGGTAGAAGCGGGTGACATCGTGGTGGGTGTGTGGCCAGAGGTTAGAAGGTATCATGCTAGGCTCCAAATCATACAAAAAGAAAACGAAACGATGCTGTTACTGAAGAAGAAACCATGGAGTCGCAAACAAAATGGATATTTACGTCGTCGTCCCTAACGTGGCGCCGCCACGAAATAAACATGTGATGACGTCTCGAAGCGTCGCGCGCAGCGCATGGCTCGCTTGTGAACGCGCTACTCTCGAAGTGGGGGATGCGGCGACTTCAACACCAAGCCGTTTTGATCGCGATATCGTACACCAACGGCAGCCGCAGGTTCCACTCTACCCTTTGTGATATATCGCACTTTCATTCGGGGTTCAGAGAACGACTCAACATCCGTCAAGATGGTGAACATTACAGAAAAGATCAAGGAGTATGGCGTTCTGAAGTTTTTGTGTGGAGAGCGCACTGACGCCCCGCAGGATTGAGCAGGAGATGGCGAGGACGCAGAGTAAGGGGACTCTAAACTAGACTGAAAGGCACCGTGCTGACGAGAGACAGAGAATAAGGCGACAGGTACGGCTACATCCTGGACGTCTGTCTCGTCGATGGACCCGGACAACCTTGAAATATGCCTAATCACGTGCACTAAAACACCCCCCAGAATACCATCTCGGTCTTCTAAAAGGCAAACTTGCCCGTCTACGCGCCCAGCTCCTCGAGCCCGCCCCAGGTGCTGGCTCGGGCGGCGGTTCCGGCTTCGACGTCTCCAAGAGTGGCGACGCTCGTATAGCCCTTGTCGGCTTCCCCTCCGTCGGAAAATCCACCTTCCTCTCCAAGATCACAAAGACAAAATCCGAAGTCGCAGCATATTCCTTCACCACCTTGACCGCCATACCCGGCGTGTTGGAGTACGGCGGCGCAGAAATTCAGATCCTCGACCTTCCCGGTATCATTGAAGGTGCAGCCGAGGGAAAGGGAAGAGGAAGACAGGTTATCTCGGCCGCGAAGACGAGCGATATGATTCTCATGGTGCTGGATGCGACGAAGAAGGCTGAGCAGAGGAGACTCCTTGAGGCGGAATTAGAAGCCGTAGGCATACGGCTGAATCGTGAACCACCGTACGCTCCCCTCTCTTCCATCCCGCTCTTCTTACCTCTCCGCCCAAACAGCCCGCTAACGCAGATTTAGCAACATCTACCTCAAGCCCAAAAAGGCCGGCGGCATGAAAATCACCTTCCAGTCTCCCCCCAAAAATCTAGATGAGAAAATGGTCTTCAACATCCTGCGCGACTACAAGATCCTAAACTGCGACGTCCTGGTCCGCGACGAAAATGCCACCGTCGACGACTTCATCGACACTATCATGGCCCCGCATCGCAAGTACATAAAGTGTTTGTACACGTATAACAAAGTCGATGCTATCTCGCTGCAGCACTTGAGGGAGCTGGCGAGAGAGCCGCATACGGTTGTCATGAGCTGTGAGCTGGATCTCGGTATTCAGGTAAGTTTTCTTCTTCCCTTCTTGATGTGCTTTGACTCGATGGGCTATGGGATGTGGCTGAAAAGTACATACAGGATGTCGTCGAGCGGTGCTGGCAGGAGCTGCAGCTCATGCGCATCTACACTAAGCGTCAAGGCGTGGACCCCGACTTCAGCGAAGCATTGATCGTGCGAACGGGCAGCACGATTGAGGATGTGTGCGACCAGATCCATCGGACGCTCAAGGAGACGTTCAAGTACGCGATGGTGTGGGGTGCGAGTGCGAAACATGTGCCACAGAGGGTCGGGCTGGGACACGCCGTTGCGGATGAGGATGTCGTGAGTATTGTTTCGAGTTATAGAGCGTAAGTGGGACGGGACATAGGCTGGATGCACTAAGATATCATTTACATCAAATAAGCATGAACGAGAGAACGAGCATATGTTAATGACTTGTTACATTCATTTACTCTTTCCCGCGCTCTCTGCTTTCCACTATGCTACAAGTACAATTCGAGCTCCTATCGCTCCACATGCATCGATATAGTTGAGAGGATACCCAAGTATTCCCAAGCGCCGAGCATGCTTCCAGATCTCCAGACGGGTATCTCCCAATGATCCCTAACATACGCCATCGCTATGCATGCAAATTGCCTTAAAGTACATACTCCAGATGTGCCAAAGCTTGATGACAAAGAAAAAAAAGGAAAAAAAGTGCTAGGTGTACATATTAACACTAAGCTGGTGCTGCTTCAACGTCGGGAGCGTTTCGTCTCTCCATGAGGCTGATCCGTCGGCTCGCGCGATCGCTTTTCTCCCTTGCGATCACTACGCTCACGATCATCCTTCCTGCGGTCGTCGCCTCGACGATCTCGATCGCTCCTCTCGCGATGCGAACTGTCCCGCTCGCCGCGAGGCTCACGTTCGCTTCGGTCGCGCCGACTGCTATCCCTCTTCTCCCGTGAGCGCTCATCTCCTTTGCGCTCGTCCTCTCTACTCCTCTCACTTCTTCGGTGACTTCGGTCACCCGACCGCTCTGGCGGCGGAGGAGCAGCAGGTGGTGGGCCCTGAGATTGCCCGCTCTGCAAGAGAACATTATTGATGGCTCCCAGTGCAGTGCGGCTATCTTGTCGGCGAACGTGGCGATCGGGACCAGCAGGACCGCTAGGTGGCACACGAGTCGATGGCGAGGGCAAAGGTGTCCGTCCCGAGCCACGAGGGCCACTGGGTGCGTTTGAGAGGTCTGTCTGTAGGGGCGCCGGTAGGGGACCGCCTGAACCGCGTGGGCCATCAAAGTTGCTCATGCGACTCGGGTGGACACCTACGGTCTGTGGGGCCACTGGTACAGCGTTTGGGTTGGATGTCGACGGATGTGATCGCACGTCGCGGCTGTCCGATGACGGGTCTAGCAAGTTTAGCATCTGAACGTGAGCTTCAAGATGGGCTGGCTTACTGCGTGGGCCTGACGGAATGGATTCGGCTGGTTGGTTCAACCTTCCATAACTTGGATCCTGGCGTGAAGCCACAGGCCGAGACGACTGAGAGGGCTGGAACATCTCGCGGGAAACGTGTGAAGAGCTTTGACCTTCGCGCCCGCTACGTGGGCCGGTGGGAGCGCTGCTAGAGAACTCATCACGCCGATCGCGAGAACTAGGGTAGGGTTGAGGCTGGGATCTCTCGTCGCGATAGTCCGGACGGTTATGTCGGTTGTCATTTCCGTAATAAGCAGCCGTGGAGCGGTCATCATGTCGATCTGATGTTGGACCTCTACGCATGTCGCGTTCATCAGGACGGACGTCACGCTCCGGCCTCCCACCTGGGGTTCTGCTTTGGTCCTCTTTCGCAAACGGGTCAAGAGAGTTGCGTCCATGGCGATCTCCAGCTTCAGCGAATGAATTCCGAACATCGCGTCCATGTCGGTCTCCTTCTTTGTCGAAAGGGACTCGAGAATCACGACTATCGCGGTCTGGTCGCACAGAAGTGTTCCTGTTTCGATCATCCGGAATGAGTGCAGCACGCTCGGGGTTGACACGGTCGTCTTTCGTGTAGGCCGATCGCGGAGGTGGCCCTCGTTCGAGCCCGACTTCTTGCTCGATCAGGGCTGCACGTGCTGGATTGATGCTTGGAGCTGGGGGGCCAGCGTTGACAGTTGGCCGCGGCGGAAGGGGTCCGCGCTCACTGTGATGACTAGGAGTGTCTCGTCGACTAGAGGGTGCATCGTTCGGTGTCAGACCAGAACCAGTGTGTAGACGACCTCGAGAATCGGCTGGCGTTGTTGGCAACAGTGGAGGACCTCGGCTATCGGTTCGCTCGCGCGGAGGCTCCCTCCCTCTATAGTCTCGCTGATCGCGACTGTCCCGGTGGTCTCGAACGCTATCCCCATACTGTGCATTCCTATCGGGCGGACCACCACGGACGTCTCGCGATGGTACCCGTAATGAACGATCGTCATATTCACGAGCTTCTCGTCCAGCCCAGTCCGGACGCTCGCCAACAACCGCTCCCCTATCTTGTGATCTTGGACGCGAGTGTCGACCAGGAGATGCTGAGCGGCCTCGCTGAGCACCTGGACGCTCAAGACGTCCATAATCACTTGGACCGTTAGTCCGAATGTCGTGGCGTCCATGGCTCTGATTGTATTCCACTGAAGGATGACTTGGACGATCGTTCGGTCTTGGTCGGAGAGGCTGCGTGTCTGGTCTTGTCGGTAAATTGTGTGCAGCTCGGCCGGACTGTTGCGCTTGGTAACCGCCCCTGCTGTCTGGTCTAGGGGGTACAGGGGAGTTGCTTGCGGATGTTGAGCCCGGGCCAGGGCCCAGTCGCTTTACGTTGTCTCTGCCTGGATACTGCGAGGATGCCGGTTGTTCATTTCCGCGTGAAGGTCGAGCAGTGTCGTTCCCGTTCACACGTGGTAGTGAACTAGCAGCGTGGGAGGCTGCTGCAGGCGTTTTACGTTCATCGGATCCACTCTTCTCGGTTGCAGAGCTGGCGATCCCATTACTAAGTCGATAGGTCAATGGCATTCTTCAAGGGAAAGACGTTCTTCTTACGTAGTTGAAGGTTTCGGCTGGAAAGTTTGGGCCGAAGCGCTGAGCTTCTTGAGTCCAGCATCCTGATCAGCAGTCTTCGCAGAGGCGGGTGTTGCAGCGCGAGCAGGTGTCGACTCTTTTGGATCTTCCTTGCCCTAGTCGCGCGTTAGTCGAGTCAATTATGGTATGGATGAGTGGGCGTACAGTGACAAACATGGTGTGGCTTCGAAGTTGCTTTTCGTTCTTCTGGAACTCGAATTGTATCGAGCTCGCTGCAACCCGGATATCCGCCCTCTCTTCTTTCTTCTCATCTTCGTAGTACTTGAGCTGTTCCTTGAGTGAAGTAGCGTTTTCGCGCATCCTAGGGAACGAGGGAGCAACAGCTTTCAGGATGTTGATGGAGTTCCGCAGTTCAGTGTACTGTGCCGTTGTCTTGAGGCTCTTGTCCCCCGGCTCTCCGTGTCGCAAGCATCCGTGCAGAGCATCGTGGATCTTGTTGTGCCACTTGCCTAGCAGCAATCGGAACTCCGAATACTTCAGGAAAGAGTCAGGATTTTTCGGCCGGCCTTCGTCGTTGAAGACCTTCACACATTCAAACTGTTTGTAAATGCGCTCGCTGCTATGCCAACGACCCAGCTCTTGAAGAATATCGTTCATGAAGCGACCGATGTTCTTTGACTCGTCCTCGCTCATGGAAAAAAACATTGCAGAAAGTCGTCCAGTATTGAAAAGGTCATCTAGCATCTTGATCAAGCGGAACTTCGGTACTTTAGACTTGTGCATGAAGAACAACATGGACGCGCTGAATTGAGCGTCTTGCAAGGACATGCGAGCACGTGCAAGGAAGCAGTCTTGCAGGAGCGTCATGTGTAGACCCGGATCCATAGACGGAACGTCAGGAAACCAGAAAAGCATCTCGTCTTGCAGACTAGACTGAATGAGTCGAGACTGTTTGGCAAAGTCTTCAAACTCGTCGATGTACAAGTCAGCCTCTTTCCTTGCCTCGCGAATCTTTTCGACATCTTTGCGACGACCATCGTTCGCTGTGGCGTCTCTGATAGTACGGTCCTTAGCTTCCTGATATTGATGCTTGAGTACGTCACCTTTAGGATCTTGAACATGCTGCAACGAAAGCTGCCAGAACGTGACTAGGAATGTGGGGCATGGATGATTTCCGAACTTTTCTGGCAGAGCTGCTTGAAGTTGCGATACCAGCGTGTCAATCTCCACATTCGACTTGGGATCAGTGACCGAGTCTTCATGCGTGATTGTTTGATTGTCACCTTTCCCGCCACTGTTTGTATCAGAGCTCGCTGCATCTCCCATCTCGACATCATCAGTATTGATCTTGGCGACAAGGGTGTTTTCCTTCGAAGAATCGCTGCGCGTCTTTGTTGCGTCCTCCATGATCGCATCTCCACCAGAGATAGCCTCAACGGCTTCTTTAGGCTGCAGCCTAATGGCGTTCGCCTTGGCGGTTATGCTGTCACGAGAAATATGAAAGGCAAACTCCGTGTCCAAGTAATACTCCGACATCAGTTCGACGAGGCCAGGAATCTGTTCGTCGAATTCTTCAATGGTGAGGTGATGACGAAGATATTCGAGAAATTGAAAAAAGTTGAGCTTGAGGTTATCGTAGTTGAACAAGACGACTTTGTCAGGAACCTTGCGCTGATTCTCTCGGTAGAGGTACGCTTGTACTTGATCCGCAAGGGCAATGAGTATGGGAGGCGCAAGAGCTGATTCTCTGAAATGATTCATGAGACGCTCGGCAGGCCTCTGGATCTTAGCTTTGTAGCGCTCATCGTCTAGGTTTTCGAGCGTAAATTTGCGCAAGCGAGGGCCGGCGGAGAGTGCAATGACGCTCTCTTCTTTCAATACTCCAGGAAGGCTGACACCGCCCATGTAGGTAATTAATTCCTCCAAAACCTTCATGACAAACAACTCCCCCTCTCGGTCGAGTAGTTGAGTGCTGATGTATTCCAGAATAGGCTTGGGGTCCATATGTTTAGAATACGCCGTGTAGACTTTAGCCACGAAGCTTGCTGCATTCTTCAACCAACCTTCTGTTAGCATCCCATCGCTCTGAGTCGTCGGCCTATTCCCCGCGGTGATGTTGATGACAAGCGAGAAGGTCAGACAGTCGTAACCTAGCTCGGTGAGATAATGGCTACAATCAACAAGAGCCTTGATCATGTTCAGGTATTGTTGCCCTCGCTCCAGTGTCTGTTTGAAGACCTTAACAGGGCAAGCACAAGCCAGCTTGGCTATGGCTCTGCCCATTTGCCTCGTGTTGGTGTTGGCAACCCGATTCAATATCTGGTTGGTCTTATATATCACCTCTGCGAAGGCCGCCTTCATCACAGGTTTGAAGGACTGCTCCCACTGGTGATAGATGGTGTATCGTGTCGCCGTATCGAAACGCTTGAGAAGCTCCCACATCTCATTCACGACACCAGGATTCTCGCCAGTAAATGTAAGAGCAGGAACGAGGAATGTGGCGAGGAAGTCCGACCACCGCTTCATGTTCTGGTTGGATGAATCGTCCATAATGCTTTTCCTTCCGATCCGGGCAAGTTTGGTCAGAAGCAAAACGTCCCGCCCACATTCGGGCCCTACCAAGCCAAGGAAAGACTGACAGAATAGGAAGACATCGTCCACGGATTGGCAGACAGGCACGTTGTCCGACCAGTCGTCCCAATAAAACCGGTAGTCAATGCCGTCACCGGCATCCTTGAGTTCAGGCTTCGCCCATCGAAGTGTTCGTCGCGGCAGGTAATCGTTAGCGCGCGTTGTCGAGTTCGAAATGGTACCCTTGGTAGAGACAGGTACTTGTCCAGGGGGAACAGGCCGGGACGATTCATAGACTTTGCTGAGGGAATGGTGAGCAAGACGGAAGATGTACGAGTGCAGGTCAGGGTATAATTCCAGCATCCACTTATTACGTCCAATGATGAACAGAGCCTCCGGAATAGCACCTATGCAGAGAAGACTTCGCAGCAGCGCCACCTTCTGGTCGACGGGTTCGGGTAAACCGGGTTTAGGCTCTTCATCACTTTGAGCAGGTGTGTTCCGCTCTGACTCCGGTTTCGATGATAGCTTGCTTTCGGCGTCTCGAAGTCGGGATACAGCGGGTACAGAAGGCGCATCGTCGGAAAGGGCTCCAGCCATGGTCAAGGCATTCGCGGTCTTCCCTTTCCGCTTGGCCTCTTTCTCTTCCTTCTCAGCTTTGAGCTTTACCTGGAGCTTCTCTAAGTCCGCGGCTTGTGGGTATAGGTGTTCCCACAGGTCCGTTATGGAGATGAAACCGATTTTGATGAGCAACGCCGCCAGATAAATCAGATTGTCTGGCAAGACGTCGCTAGGATCACGCAGATTGGAAGCATAGAACTGTAGCTTGAAACCGAGAAGCTGAGCAGCGACTTCGTTCCCAAGCGGAGGTAGTGTTCCAGTATCCGCTATCCATTGGTCGACCCACTCCTGCGTCGCGGTCTTCTTACCAATGATCGAAGCGTTTGGGTCCGACTTGTCCGCTTCGCGAAGCGTCCGTGTAATGGGACGAGCGCCAAGTTCGAAGAATGCCTTGATGGCATTCCTCTCGCCAAGTTCCGCCACTCGCTGCCAAAATTTTACATCCCGGGCTTCGCGAAGGCGTAGCTGTTCTTCCTTCTCTTCGTCCGTGTAGTACCAATTCGGCGATGTAGGTAGTGCCCAATTGGGTAACGTCTTCACGTCGGATGCCTGCCACTCGACGTTATCGGTACCGAGTTGCGTTGGCCACCAGGTGCTGACACGTAGGTATTTGATGAAGAATCGGTAGTGCTTCACTAAGAGATTCGCGAAAACATCCAATGTGACGTCGAGTACCCTGCCGACATCAAGGTCAAAAGTTCCGATGAGGGCGTTCACTCGCTCGAAGGTGTCGGAAACAACGTCGTGACGTGGAGGCTCACTGTTGACAGTGGTGAAGTATTCCGTCATGAGCTTAGAATAACCTTCAGTCTCTTCCCGTAAAAGGTTGTAGTTCGCTTGTTGGTACATGGCTTTGGTGGTAGCCCGGACTCCCTTCACATGGAAGGACTGCCGTACCAGTGCTGTTTGCTCCAGTAGCTTCTCTTCAAGCTGGCGACGCATCTGGTTCGGGTCTATTTCCGTCGCGATCAACAAGTGCTGTATCGGCTGAGTCTTTTTGACATCCTCGCGCTTAGGGTCCAGCTCTGCGTATGAACTTATGCAATCCAAGAAGTAGACAACAGGGTCGATCAGGTCATCGGTGGGGGAAGTGACGATATCGCGAACAACGGATCCCAGTTCAGCTGGAGACATAAGACCCTCCCCGGCCGCGTGTATGATCTCGAAGAAGACAATGTTGAGATTGAAGCCGTCGCCCGCCTGCTGTGCTGTGACGGCAGCCTGAACCACGGCATTATGAGCTTCTGCGTTCCACCGCGCGACCCGCTCGGGCGTCAAGTGCTCGTTACTTTCGGGGACATTGCGTCCTGATGGCTTGAAGGGTGGCTCTTTCGGGGGCGCTGGCGTTTGCGAAGGTGTAGCAGACGCAGGCTTCGGTGCTGCCTGGGGAGTATATGCGGGCGGTGCCATGGCCGTAGGAGACTGTTGCGCTAAATTCTGGTTATGTGCGCTGCTGTTGTTGTAACCGCCACGCCCACGACTGCCCCGTCTTCCGCCTCGGGGCGAGTTGTTCTGTTGGGGACTTGCCATGGCGAGGTTCTGGGGACGGTGCGGCGATGGCCGGCCGGAGTGCTCCTCATCGTAAGAATAGCTGCGGTCGCCGCGCTTTCGCTTGCCGGCGGGAGCCATGACTGCACTCTCTTAGCGCAAAGAGAGCGAGTTTGCGTGAGGCTCGGAAGAAGCTGCGGGGAGGAGCATGCAACGCGCGCGAGTGAAGCAGGACCGTGGTCGTCGAAGTTCCAATGGGTCTGCCGCGATGGTTCGAAAGTCAAAGGTCCCCGAGACGATTGACACGCCGTCGCACGCGCGTGAGATGTCTGGTTTGGATGAGTCGCGGTCGCGTGGGTTTGATAGACAGTTTCTCGAATTGCGGCTCACGGCTTGGCAACTGCCTGGCCCGAGCTTGCGCTTTGAGGTCCCCACGCGCCTAGCGTCGTATCGCATTCACCTGCATCAAAAAATGAACAACAGCCTTCAAATTCTGCCGCTTTGTTACCATTTTGACGCTTAGTACACAGAGCGTCAATCATATGTCATCGCATTAGTTGGATGAGTTCCATGCGCAGCGGACTAAAACACAACCCTGGCGCCAATATAGACTCGCCAGTCCAACGGCCGAAGTAAAGATTCGCTGCCTTGGCTCAGGTATTGCTTCGGCGTCACTATTTCCTCTGATATAAGATGTTCAAAGGAGCCGCCAAAGTGGCAAGGTCGTTCGTGTGTTTAAGCCATTTGATCCACGACGTATATCTCCGATTGATATCGGTATGTTGATACCACCAAAGTGCCGCATCAGCCTGCCTCTCCACCTTAACGGCTATCCTAAAGATGTCTGGAGGCGTTTCAATCTACTCGATGTTCATTATGACTGCATTGCCACACTATTCACACCCTCATGTCACTTACCCGAGGCAATGATAGGCAATTGCTGCCAACACAAAACGCCTTGCCAAACAAAGGCGACCACCAGACAAGACCTACTCGGCCAGATAGCATTAATGACAGGCGCAAGCACAGACATCGGCCAACAATCGCTAGCAACTTACCTAGGTAGCTTTGTGCGGCTGCGAAACCCTAGGGACGTGTACCAGCTCAAGCTCCCTGACCTTGATCGACATCCTTCGTGACGAATCCACAAGGCCTTGATATCCAATGATCATAACATCGAACCACCGGTCACGCGAAGAATCACCATCTCCCTGAAGGTCACCCGGTTTCACGAGCTCGTGGCAGATGCCACCACTCAGCATTTCGACTCTCAGCTTAACACCTCCGGCAGCAACGCCGGGACTGTGGATCGTACACCCGTTGGCGAATTAACCGGATACTGTTTCCAATATGTGTCTTGGCAATATACAAAGTCCAGCTTCTATCCTATCATAGATGAATTGCTTGAGTGTCAAGAATCGTCTTTGTGTTGAGTATTGAGACTTTCGCATTGTGCACCTGAAGCGCGCCATTGGTACCTTCAATGTTCTATCCGCTGTCAGCAGAGTGCTCACAATTCGAGATAGGCTGATATACGCCACAACTGAAGCCGCCAACGAAGCCATGGTCCGCTGCTACGCGAACATTTCCGGAGGTCGCCACCCGAAATTCGACTTCACGGCCCATAATACTGCGAACAGCGTGCTTGTCAGCCCGAAAGAGACCGACGGACCGCATCAATATGTTCATGGCGTCTTCAAGGACCTTTAAAGACTTTCAAGACTATGGGGCCGGAGGCAAAATCTACCGCGCTTGGGCAAGCCGCAGAATGTTGCAGATATTGTTGACATTCTGTGCAGTGAAGGATTACTAGGAGCGAAGTATCTGCGAGTGGCGGCGCCATAGAAAGTCTACGATTTTGCTGCCGAATGGGTGATCATTGGACTGGTGAATGAGACCTGAGCAAGGTGATTCTCCGATTGTTCGGTAAAGGTATGCTTCTTCATTCTCCTCTTTCTGACGCTTAGCAGTTAAGGATTATAGCTCGCTCCTATCTACCCTCCCATCCCTCCACAGCTGCACTGCCTTATTCGCTGCCTTCAGGTGCTTTAAATCTGGTGCATCTTCACCCAGACCCCACGCAAAAACTCCGCCTATTCTTCTCTTCTTCCTGATCTGCGAAATCTTCCTTCTGATAGCGTCAGGCGTATCAAAACTCCAGAATAAATCCTCTTCAGCATCAAAATAGAAGTATCCATCTTTGTCATACACACCACCTTCTAGTGCCTTATTGAAAGACGCCTTCAGTTCGGTGGGTACATCGTCGTGCCAGGAAAATGCGCCTGCTTCACCTAAATCCGCACCAGTAGTGGGATCTTCCATCAGCGCAGCCGGGCACCCAACAGGCTGCGCTTTGCATTGCTGTCTCGCGGCGGGATCAGTCTTAAACCATTTCACATAAAAAGCTAATCCCAGATTCGCCTTCGATGGTTCGAGCCCAGCGCCGATGTAAGCATCGATAGCTTCAAGCGAGTTCTTAAAGCCAGTGTGATGCTTTGTCACGTTATCTCGGCGGTTCATGAGGTCGTATGTCATGATGTTCAGGAAGTCGACAGAAGGCATGATGAACGGCATGGTGGACGGTGCGAAGGCTAGCATGTCACGAGAGAGCCCTGGCACTGCGGCGGAGATGAGTTTTGAGGGGCCGAGAGCAATGCGGACGGCGGAGAGGAGGAGAGGATAGGCGGTTAGTTCCCAGGCGTGCGCGGAGTTGGGGGTGCGCTTGTAATCTTCGCCGTTGCCGCTGGGGTTTGTTAGCTGGAGGGATGAGTCATAGTATTAGTGCGGAGAACTTGCCCTGGGTACTCCCAGTCGATGTCGACACCTGCGGACGAGTCAGCTGTGTCGTACGGAGTGGAGTGGAAGCGATCGTGTACACACCATCCGCACCGGTACTTTCAACCATTATTCTTACTCCTTCGGCCCAGATCCTTCTTGCTTTTTCGGTGCGCGCTGCTTCTCTAAATCCATCCTCGTTTCCCCATCCTCCGATTGCAACCATGATTTTCGTCTCCTTCGGGAATTTCGTTCTCGCTTCTTCTACAGTCATGAACAGTGGCCACTCATCTCGGTCCGGATCATTGAATATCTCTGAACGCATGAAAGCCATGGCGACATGTGTGACATCTTTGATAAGTGGTGGAGAGGGGACTATTGGATGCTGGCTGGAAAATGTGTTAGTTAAGTGCCTAGGTATGCTTAATAGGAATTTGGCTTGTAGCAAATCAAAAGACCAACCCTGTCAGGTACATGATGTATCTAGGTACATCTCCCGAGGCCTCAGTAACGATGGCCAGTACTGTCAAAATGCATGTCAGGAGTCGAAGACAGAACCGCGCCATTATGGACTGCAAAGACGTTTCAGGAGCTGAAAAGGCCTGTAATTCCAGTCGGCCACTCAAATATGTTCCTAAACTGCTTTGACTTTCAGGAAAGTGCGGATGGGAAAGAGAAGGTACTACTGAGGGAGTAGATGCAGGGTCGGGTCAGGCTTCCCCGCCTTTCTACAACCGAAAGCAACTACGCTAATTTATCAACAACACCTGTCTATACTTCGCTAGAAAATATGCGCAGTGCCCAGAAACTACCCTTTATTCTGAAGTACATTTAGAGCTTAGGAGAGAAGAAAGAGGCTAAGCTTCTCCCGTGATAAGGTTATGAGGTCTGTCTCGAAGATAACCCAATTCGATCGATCTCGATTGAAAACATGATGTGTGTCACACAGTGTGTGTATCCACCCCTGCTATCGAGCTTCTTGTGTCACCAACTGCCAGCCTGCTTTGCTATCGTGCGCAGTGTTTTAAAGCAGCTTTATCATGGCTCTAGTTCAGCTTCTTATTGATTTCTACATATATTTCCTCTAGTATTAGTTAATCCTTGTACTACACGTTACTTTAGTAGTGGTACAATTGAAATGGGGTACCAGGCTGTTAGAATGAGCATTTTGAAGACACTAGGCCTATGAAAGGGTGAATAGATCATAGAGCCATTAAATAAGATGACCCAGAGCCATAATAAAGTGAGGAACTTTTGAAACCGACTATACCGCCATTTCCAAAAGCTCGTTTGATGCTGCAGGCACCGTTTATAGAGGCTTAAAATCGGCCGTCAAAACTCAGATACATCCTCAGTATCTCCTGCGCAAAAATGAAGAGTACATATGCGAGTGTTGGGTATAGTTTGCCGATCTCTTTTTCTGCTAGAGCTGCAGGAGTTCTGATTCCAGAGAATACCACTACAAACCATTGTCGAGTGCGACTTGTGTAGGGTTTCTAGAGTTGAAGCCTGCAAAGCCAGTAGACGTACGTGGGTGCAATATATTTCAAAAATAACCCTTCGCGCATTGCGCTTCCGTACTCATGGGTCAAAGATGAATCATAAAGCCATTCTACCGTGTCCGCGATTGTGGCACTACCTGAACATGAAGATATAGCATATTGGAGGCTAAGATCACTTCACAAACACCACCACTGGCCTGAAAAGTTACCAAAAACCCAAAGAAGACGATGCAACTCTACAAAATTGCAAGACCAAAATGAGTTCTGCGACATAACGTTTCCTATCGATAGTAAACAGCGGATCTCTGGGACTAGGATCAGCCTATATAAGGAAGCAAATTGTTATCGCTCTCGTTAAAGGTGGCAGGATACCCTATCTCTTCTTGGACCACAATAAAAAGGATGCACATGAGGGGTGATTGCTGGTTGGTGAGGCTACGTGCACAGTATCATATTTGGTGATTTACGATTGAATATAACGCGTTCGATGAGATGAAATAAGGATTGTGTAGCAGTTTGATTTCCTACATATATACCAATCAGTTGGTCGTCTTGTTATATCTGTCCGCCGAGGGCTCCTCGTAATCGTACTGTTGGCGACGTGAGTGTTCGCTTTCATAGCATCAAATTGAGATCTTGATTGAAATTTCACAGTCTCTCTGGGTCGAGATCCGGGCTTTCCTTCTCTTGCGCAAATATACAAGATGATGTGACAGGAAAAGAGGTGCGGTGGTAGCTGGCAGATCCGGTTGAGCCTCAGACAGCCGTTCGGTTATCGATAAGCTGAAGCTTTCCTTCCGAACCCGACTCGCTTCGACGAACAACGACAATGGCCACTCGTACGCGCTGTTTGTACAGCCTGGCGAAGACGCCGTTTCACCGCACACAATGGCAACGGATACGGAAACCTCATCGATCTTACTCATCCGGCTCAGTCGAGGGCTCTGGCAACCGCGAATCGATTCCGCAATCGACGGATCCAGAGGCCGCAGAATGGTTTCAAACCCTCCGCAAAGACATGCTCAACCGTGAGCTACCGCTAGAGCGCGACACCATTGGACATACAACAGAAAAGAAACTCGATAATACTTTATACTCATTCTTCCCGGAAGGATGGCAAACGTCACCCACAACCGAGCGTCAAACTACACCGATGCCTTATGCGATTGGCGAACATTTGTACTTCTGTAATCCGGCCCTTTCTGATGGTCAATTATTGCCCGATGGCACCGATCCATTACATAGCCCTGGTGGCTCTTTTGTACGCCGTATGTGGGCCGGCGGCGCTGTCAGAGTAGACAAGAACCTCTATTTTGGCGCAAATACTGGTTGGGCTTTGCACAAACATATCCTGTGTTTTGAGCGTATAAAGGATGTGAGACTACGAGGTCAGGGTGACAACGAGAAGATCTTCATCACGATTGAGCGCAAGTTCGCCAGATACGACCCTGTATTCCAGGCTGTTCAAGGTTCCAGGGACAAACCCAGGCGAGGCCCTTCACTGGATGTAGCTCTGAAGGAAGAAATGCGCAACCTGGACCAAGCCTTTTTGACAGAGGATCGCAACATAGTGTTCATGCGTGAGCGGTCTGCTGGTGAGCTTCAAGATATTAAGGCGGGCAAGTTGGCACCCGTCAAATACCTTCAGTGTCGGTAGTCCCTCTAATTAGCAATTACATACTGACTCAGAGATACAGCACTTGGACAACCTGATTTCTACCACGCACTGACCCCTACAAGCACACTACTTGCTCGCTTTTCGGCCCTTACTTTCAATGCGCACCTCATTCATCTCGATCGAGAGTACGCTCGGAACGTTGAAGGTCATCGTAACGTCCTCGTACACGGCCCGTTAACGCAGACGCTCATGCTTAAGTTCATTGGTACTCATCTCCAGTCGATTTCCGAGGGCGCGCACATCGTGGAAGCCATTGAATACAGAAACCTTGCGCCGTTGTACTGTGGTGAAGAGTTGCGTTTGTGTGCAAGAGAAAAGGTTGGGGCACGTACGGATGACGCTCGGATATACGATATATGGATCGAAGGTCCGACAGGAGGAATGGCTGTGAAAGGCCTCGTGCGGACAGTACGTCTGCCCAACGGTCAATCACCGTCGCCACGAGTCTTAGCTACGCCATTGGACAAGGCTACAACCAAGAAAATTTCACGAAAGGCGGAGAGAAAAGAATCGAACGGTACGGCGCACCATATTAGCCGCAAAGTCCGCAAAGTGGCCGTTAAATTTGACTCTGACATCACAGGTAGAGAACCGTCAATTACCAGTGCAAGAAACGGCGTAATGCCAATTCGCCATTACGCCAGCAACTTTGAGCAGGAGCTGACGAACTCTGAAGATGGTACGCCACGAAAGGCAATGACCGTTTCAGTTTCTTCATCCGCCTCCGAATATTCTAAGCAAACACCAACCGCGCCCGCTGACGGCTCATATCTTCGAAAATACCTACGAGCTCACCGCCAGCAATATATCCGTAAACACCGAACCTACAACCCACATGTGCTCCGTCGCTGGCTACAACAGGTTCGCAAGAACCATCTTAACCACACCGATTCCTTGCCCCTCATGCGCGCCGTCCACGTCCCCATCCCCATGCGGTCAAGCATGAAGCTTGCAGACCGGAATATACTACAGCGTACGATGCGCATGCGCACTCCCCGTCAGCACATAGCGCCGGTTCCCATTGTGCGCTTTCATTACCGCGACGACTGGCGGGAGCGCAGGTTTGCGAGCCGTGGTCCGCGCCGCCTGTTGGCCAGACCTTCTGTTCGGATCAATGCCACAAGGGAGACGAAGATGTCGTCCATAGATAGGAGGAGAGCTGCAAGCAGGGCTGCGCGTCGCGCGAGAGATCGTTTTGCAAACCTTCAATCTCCAGGAGACATTTTAACAAAACCTTGAGTTGTGTGGGAGGCTGAGGTTTAGTGGTACATGCGCGAGATGCCTGTCATGACTTTTAATGTGGAGCTTGTAAGATTAACATCGTGTGTAAGCCAATGCGAACATACGAAGGCACAATATAGACAGTACTACGCTTTCCAAACAAGCTCAGCACACGGCTTGCTGCATGGACGGATCACGTTTCAGAACCTTTGTTGAAGTTCAGGGGATTTTGCTGGCCGAAGAGCCCTGTATCAAGAATGAACATGAACAATCGGAACATCAAGTAGGCGCCATGTCAAAAATTGATTCATTCCAGTCACTGTGGACTACATGCCCACGAACGCCATGCAATTCGTATCCGCTTTTCCATGATGCCAGCCAGGTATTGGTATTTCCCAGATCCGTCATATTCATCTCACGCACGCCATGCCCACATACGCATGCTTCGTTTAGACGATGGCGAGCTTGGTGGCGGCAATGTCGAGGGCATCGACATCGGGGGTCAACCGCGCGAAAGCCTTCTTTGAGCCGTCCGGTCGGATGAGGGTGTTGATCTTAATGGTGGTGACATCGTACTGCTTCTTGAGGGCGGCGGCGATCTGGCGCTTGTTGGCCTTAATGTCGACGATGAAGACGAGAGTGTTGTTCTCCTCGATCTTCTTCATGGCGGACTCGGTGTTGAGCGGGTGGATAAGGATCTTGCCAGCATCGAGGCGAGGTTGGTGAGGGATAGACTTGCGGGGGTACTTAGGAGCGCGGCTGCCATGTTTTTAGCCACTGCTTCCATGCGAGCGACAAATGTGACAACGATGGACAAGTATACGTACGAGAGCTCGAGGGTCTTGGGGCGGTGGAAGCTGGTGCTCTTGCGCACCTTGCGGACCTTGTGCGAGTTGACCTTTACATCTCGTTAGAATTGCCGCCCATGGCACGAGAAGTAAAAGCCGCCAGCGACGGGATGCTGGCACGCCTTGTAGGTCTAACTTACTCCCTTGAGAGCAGCTTTAGCAGCGGCGTTAGCCTGCTTGCTGGGCTTGGAGGCTGCCACTCGTTAGCACACATCCATACAATAGCAGCATTGAACAGGAATGATACGATCTAGCACCGTCTTTGAGAGACGACTTCGCGGGGGGGATGGTCGCGAGGTGTTGCTGATCGCTTCGCTGAGACTGGAGTGCGGCGTACCCTTGGATCCTTTGGGAGGCATGGCGACGGATGTGTTGTGTGTTAGTAGCTGTCGTGGGAAGAGGTCGGAAGTCGAAGTCTCGATTTTCGCAACAGGGTCAAAATTGCGGCAGCGGAGGTGCGCTTAGCGACCACGTGATACAAAGCGCTAGTGCAGTAGCGCAGAGCCGTTGAACTCTCGGCATTCGTTTACCGCTAACATTTTTGCGCATCGAGAAACCACATGTGACATTGGCCAATGAAGACAGAGGTATGGCGGTCAAAAGGCGTCAAAAGACGTTATCGCAGGGGCGCCCGCCTACCAGCAAGCCGAAAGAGCGCATGACCTCCCAGCGATCTCGAACCATCATTCGGACCCATCATCGATTACACAAAGAGCACGCGTCTGCTGTCAAGAAGGGTGATACGAAGCTCGCAGCAAGTATTGCCAAAGCCATTGAAGAAAACGGGGGGCTCGAAGTGTATCAAGCAGCTAGTAAGCAAGGTCAATCTAAGGATCGCGGTGGAGACTCGAGCAAGGTACTCGTCGACTGGTTGCTAGGTGCACATATTCTCGACCGCACTAAAAAGGCAGTCAATGAAGATGCTGCAGAGTCAATACTTCGATGCTTGGAAGTTGGGGCACTTTCAACCAACAACGAAATTTCAAAATACCCCAAGAAAATTGAGATGACGAGAATCGATCTAAACAGCCAAGGGACGGGTATCGAGAGGCAGGACTTTATGAAGCGTCCGCTTCCGGCCTCAGCAAGTGACCGTTTCGACATCGTTTCTCTTTCTTTGGTTCTCAATTACGTGCCAGACCCAGCTCAGAGAGGCGAAATGTTAAAGCGCGTAACGCAGTTCTTGCGTCGCACCGACCTACATCAAAACATCAACGCGCTCGTCCTTCCTGCTTTGTTTCTCGTCCTGCCGTTACCTTGCGTGGAGAACTCTCGGTATTTGGATGAACGGGTGCTCCTTCGTATCATGACGAACCTTGGCTTTAGCCTGATGAACGAGAAGAAAACCCCGAAACTGTGCTACTATCTTTTTAGCCTAACAGGTGCGAGCAATTCCACAAAGACCGAAAAGAAGAAAGTGAGGGACGGACCGGCCATGAACAACTTCTGCGTCATTGTCGACTAAGTATCGTACAACAACGCCCTTGTTCTCGTTATTCATCTGAGCCAGTACTATATGATGAGGGTATTATTCCGCCGCCGTCTATATCCGCCATACACACACCAAGTACATGCAAGTTTTGCATGATTTGCAACGAGCTCCTGCAGCCATGCTACTCAAAAGCAGAAGATCTCATCGCCCATCTTCCCGACCGCACCGGGCTCCTTGAAACCCAATTCAACTAGCCCTTTCTTCGCAGCTCCTATCATTCCCGGCGGACCGCACAGCATGACTTTCGTGTCCGGACCCACCGCAGGCAATCTCTCCTTCATAACATTGCGCGTAACAAACCCGCTTCCACCCTGCCAACCCACCGGTGGGCTATCGAGCATAAACCACACCTTGAAGTTCCTAGGGTACCGTCTCGCAAACGTCTCGAGCTCGGAGCGCAAGAGAATATCGTCCTCAGTGCGGTTCGCATATACAAGCGATATCGACGTCGTATCTCGTGGATCTTCGCAAATGGCGCGGATCAGGGCAAACATGGGCGTGATACCTGTCCCACCAGCAATCATGCCAATGTGCTTGCAGTGCCCTGCGGCGTACTTCATGGCGCCTTTCGGTCCGCGAAACAGTACTTCGTCTCCAACTTCCAGCCTGGCGAAGTACTTTCCTGTGAGCGCGCCGTCGGGATAGATCTTAATGACGAGTTCCAGCACGCCGGTGTCGATGTTGTTGGAGGTTGGCGTGTATGAGCGTGTGACAGTTTTACCGTCAATCGTGGCTTTGATAGCGACGTGTTGGCCGATGGGCAGGCCTATGACATCTCTTGGAGCAGGGAGTGCGAAAGTGTATTTGAACACATTTGGAGAGAGTTTGGTAATCTTGGAGACTTGAAGCGGCTTGTAATCTTTTGCATCGAGGAAGCCCTTTGCGAGGTGAGGGTTTGCGGGCGCTACGCGTGGCCGTGCCTAAATGTGGGTAACAAAGTCAGTGCAATCTTCACACATTAGGGAGGTGGGTGAAGTAGGTGTTCTGGCCAGGTGATAGATGTCTGAAGATTCAGACTCAGAAGTGTAAGCCTGGAGTCTAAGACAATCGCCCAGCACGAACACAAACTTTGTACCCTGACATTGCGTACCTGGCGATAGGGTGGATAGCGTCCGAAGCCTTCTTCGACGTGCGTAAACTTTGCGAGTTCTTTGCCGACCACGGCAAAGGCAATGCTGGAGAGGACGGTGGCGATGGTGAAGCCTTTGAAGAAAGGGGAACCCGGGCTGCCTGATGCATGGCTGCCAATCAATGCAAGAGAAGGCAATTTGTCGAAGGGTATCTGGGGGAGACTACCGCGCTGTGAAGCGTAATACGAGGGTGCTGCTACGGCGACTGAAGCAAGGACGGCCTTGAGCGCAGTTGCTGAAAGTGAAGATTTGTGCGTGCTGGTGGGTAGAGGGGATGATTGTTGAGCGAGTTTTACGGCCTTGGTCTTGCGAGCTTTGCGGCTATCGGCTGCGACTCCAATGAGATATGATCGCAAGATCTCGTCTGCATCTTCTGAGTGGCCGACGTCCTCGTAACCTTCAGTCGCATCTTTCCCTGCGACATCAAGAAGTACGTCAACGCCGCCTGGATGATCTCGGACGTATTCTGTCACATCGTATACTGAAGCTTATGTTAGCAAGCGAGCACTTCAAGACGAGACGAAAACCTGGTACCTTTTCCATGGATCACAACCCACAAGTCGTCTCTCGTTGCGTGAGATGCAATTTCAGTTGCACTCAAAATTTTGGATTCTGACATCTTGATATGCACGGGGACGAAGAGCACAAAGAGGCCAGAAGATGAACGCGACCTTTATCGCGAGGATTTTCTAACACAGCGCACAGGAGCTTCTAGGCATCGTTGCACTCCTCCATGTGCCTCGGCATCTCTGAAGCCCTGTACAGCATCAAGGCTTCGTACGAGCTTCGAAGCCTCAATCTCCTTTGCATGGTGGGGCGACTTTCGCCGTTTCGGTGTTGCCTGCTCCACTTATAAGGCTGTCGTATGCGCCGCGCCGGCGGAGCGCCACTAACGCAGATCACGAAGTTGACAAAGCTCTCCAGGGGTGATGCCATTGCCGATAAATGGCGCTCATACGACTGGCCAAATCCCGCAGAGCCGCACGGGTAGTCCCACAATATATCGGCGCGCAACGACGGTGTGTCGGAGAAAACGTACCTCGGCATCTTTGACAATTTGAAGCGCATCGACTCTCCAATTATCGTGTATTTGATAGCGCAAATTTGATGAAAACCCTGAGCCTGTGCGTTCGCAATGCCTCGGTTTGTTTTGTCGAGATGGCTGAGTTATCGATGAATATGACGGAGTATGGCGGACGATCGCCACATATAGGTCTGTCTGCGACTGGCTGCCGCAACTTAACTTTCGCGGTTTGCTATTCACCACATCAACCAAGAATATGGAGTCACATAAATTCTACCTGCTGGGAGAATCTCCTGCGTCTACAAGGACTATCAGCTTTCATAAAGATGCCTCATTGGAGGATGTGAAAGATGTCATCGCTTCACACTTTGCGATAGTTGTTCCTGGAGGTACGCAGAGAGTCGTTCGACGATGACCAATCACTAACAAGAGGAAAGGTATTGCTTTCGACCGCAACGGCACTGCAGTAACAGAAGTTTCGGACATATTGTCCTCAGAAGATGCTGTCGCTATCACCATCGATGGCCACGCAGTGCGGGACGCGCCAGGTCCTAAGGGTCTTCCCTATGTAGGAAACTTCTTCGAAGTGTTTCCTGATCATCTAGGCAACCATCAACGACTCTTCGACCACTATGGCCCGCTGTTCAAGACGACCAACATGGGCCGTACTGTTTACCATAGCAATGACCCAGAAATTGCCGCTATTGCCTTCGCGGAATCAGACTTCTTCACAAAGAAGATCAATGAGAGTCATCCACTCTTCGGCATCAAGCAACCACAGGCTGGCGTGTTCCTGGGCGACACAGACACACCTGAGTGGCGGGTGACACACAAGTTTCTCCCTCCTGCACTGGGACCGAAAGCTGTGAGGCACTACGCTCCGACGATGCAGCAAACCATCGAGGAGGCCTACAAAGTGTTTGACCATTTTGACGAGCAAGGACAGTCTTTCAATGCGTACATCTACATGCTGAAGCTCGGCTCTCAAGCTGTGGCAAAACTCACTCTCGGCGTTGATCTGGAGCACTTCTCATCGCCGAATGCACCGGTGCACGAGATCGTACGATTGATCGCGGAGACGCTGACGCTGAACAAGAAGGTTACATCTTGGGGTAGCTGGTATGCTTCATTGCCATTTGGCGACCCCAAGGCGTTGAAGACCAAGCAAAAGCGTATGGAAGAGATCATTATCAAAGCTGTCGAGGATGCCGAACGCGGTGGCACCTCCGATCTCCCACTTCAGGACGCCGCCCTCACAGCAAAGAACATGGTGGACTATGCTCTTCGAGCAACAGACAACAAAGGCGAAAAACTCCCCCTCACATCCATGGCGCATGCCCTCGTGGTCGCCACAGGCGCCGGCTTCACCACTACCTCCTCGCTCCTCTCATGGCTTCTCTACGGAATCGTCACCTACCCTGGCGTCCAAGAGAATCTTCTCCAGGAACTAGTCGACAACGGCTTCACCGACGACATGGAGCTCACCTCCGACTTCACAGACAAGCTTACCTACCTCGACCGCTTCATCAAAGAAACACAGCGCCGACACAATCCCTCCTTCCAGCCCGGCCGCACCGCAAAGGCCGACATGATCCTGCCCGGCGGATATAAGCTGCCGAAAGACTCCGTCATCATCCCAGCGCTGCACCATATCCACAACAACCCTGCGCTGTGGGACAACCCTGCGAAGTTCGACCCTGAGCGATGGAACACACCCGAAGTCAAGAACAGACACAAAGCTGCGTATATACCGTTCGCAGCGGGCCCACGCATGTGTATTGGATTCAACTTTGCATTGCAGGAGGTGAAAATTTTCTTGCCGAAGTTGATTTGGCGGTACCATTTTAGCAAGGATGGGGATGACACGATCGAGTATGACCCTATGTTCCAGCTGATCCGGCCTAATAATCTGTATGTCAGAGCGGAAAGGCGGGGGAAGTGGCCGCCAAAGACGGAGAAGGCGGATTCGGTCATCGAGACGGTTATGGAGCAACCTTTGGAGCCGACGCAAGTGGACGCTTGATAGACACCTTGTAGGATTGTATGTGAAGTGGGACCTAGGCTTGTTAATACCCAAGATCGCAATATAGACATATTAGCATCGTTCTCGATTCTAAACCTGGCACCTTAGATTGAAGACCTTCTTTTACCCACTGCTTCCTACGTTGACTTCGCCAAACCAGCCTCACTGCGCCATCTTTTCTTTGACGAAGGTGACCGTATCCTCCAAGCCCTCATCAACCGCCTTGATTACACCTCTTGTAAACGCAATGAAACCATGCGGTGCCCCATTGTATATCTTCACCACGCTCTCGTTCCCCCACATGCCCCATTTGGCGCCCATCATCACGGTATCGTCCAACAACGGGTCCTCTGATCCACAAGTGAATAATGCCGGCGGCAGCTTCAAGCCTCTGATGTCCTTGTAGAAGGGGCTGATTGACGGGTGGCAGCGCTCCTCGTGAGTCGTGTTGGGTAGCAAGGCTTTGATGTAAGCTTGCATGATGTCAAGATCGATGACCAATTCTAGTTCATGGTGGTGTACGTGAGGGAAGAAGCGAGCCATGTCGTAACAGCCGAAGTGCAGGAGGAGGCCTTTGAAGGCGAAATTTGGGCGCGTCTCGAGGAGGTGGAAAGAAACGAGGGCAGCGAGGTGGCCGCCGGCGGACTACAATGATCAGCAATGATCGAGTCAGGAGACACATCAGCCTACTTCCCCACCAGTGAACATAAGCGGACCACCGTAGAGCTTCTCCGCGTTATCAACGAGCCATTCTGCAGCATCGTAGCAGTCGTTCACGCCTGCCGGCCAGGGGTCTTCTGGCGCGAGACGGTACCCCACGGACCACACAGTCACCTCGTAGTTATCCGCCATGTATTTTAGGTATGGGTCTTGATAAGCTTCGGACTGCAGCACCCAGCCGCCACCATGTATGTGTAGGTGAACGCCCTTGGAAACACCACTCGCGGGCTTAAAGATGCGGTATGTAATTTCTCTTCCGGCGTCGCGCGATGGGATGGTGCCGTTTATGCCTTCGGGAAGGACAATGGGTTTTGGAAGTGGTGTCTGTCCTTCCCAACGAAGTTTGCGGTATTCCGCTGCGCCGACCTGTCGTTCTTTTGTCAGGTCCGAGTCCAAGCATATCAAAGAGTAGGCACTGTGATTGGGATATAGACAGGGAGCTACAGAAGTAATGGACGAGGATGGCGTGAATGGAAAGGGTCACATATACCTCGTACCACCTAGGTCCATCTTTCCAGATCTGAATCAATTTCTTATTAAACTCTGTTGTTTCCTTGTCGCTGAGACTACGGTCGAATTTCGACGCGTCAATTGTGAGGTCGGATTTGAGAGGCATTTTCACAAATGAACCAACAACAAGCTGAGATGGAAAGGATCTGCAGTGCGAACATGCGATCAATGAGTGTATTCAAGTCTATATAGGAACGAGCGATTTACGCTGTAATTCCAAAAGCACGCGACAATGTAACAACGGGTATATGTGCAACGTTGTCTATCCAGCTATACTTGAATCCATCATGGTGGGGTTCGCGGGGTAACATTCGGCGCGTGTGAGGTAGCAAGGGTCCTGATAGATGACCCGTTATTCGCGGAGATGCCCGCCAGGAGGGAAAGCCGCGGGTTACCGGATTAGTATGCCACACCAACGCTAGTTTTGGCTGGAGGCGGCACAGCACATCATTCGAGGGTAAAAGGACTTGCTGATGTATCCAAGTCCTCCTATGAAAGGGCCAAGAGGATCATTTGGTATTGTAGTCCAGTATTGTGCATCATATTTGAGGGACAAGCGAAAACAAATTCTATGTTCAACTTATGAAGTGAAAGAAGTATGAAAAAGATTGGGACAAAATACATACTCCCACCCTCATTGAGAACATCCAATGTGGCCATGCGATGCCAAGGTCCCGATGTCATCACATGTGCAGGCATCAACTCAACCTGCTGCTCATCTGCTCAAGCTCTGCCTTCGCTCGTTCGACCTCTTCTACTAGCTTTCGTCTGAAGACGGGGTTCTTCTCACTTTCCAATACCACGTTCTCATCCTGGAGGAGCTGCAGGTCGGCATCAATCAGAGCAGTCCGCCGGGTTACGGCGTTCCTAATAGCGGCTTCCACATTGATGGACAAATCTCTAAAGGCTTCGCTGACCATGCGTTTGTGGGTGATGAAGAGATCTTGAGAGCCAAATCTACTCGTGACTAGTTTTTTCCGGCGTTGGTCACTTCCCCCACCTACATGAATATGATTAGTCAAATTTTGAGCTTTTCTTGCTGGCACCAAGGTACCAAATTGTTGAGATGCGACCAGTATGCCTTCGGGTAGCAGCGCGGATGTCTCTAGCATGAGGAAGCTGAATATTGAAAACATACCATGTTCCATGTTCGCAGCTCGGTAAGTATTGTCCATAAGCTGTCCGATGAATGCTGTCCGTAGAGGCGCGAATGCGTTAGTTCGCAAGGTGGAAAGTTCATGTTGGAAGTCATTAACCGCATTCTCAATGTCATAAAGTAGTAAGTCTTGTCGGTGACGAAGAGTTGCAGTGAGGGCGTGCAGAGCTGAACGGTTGTCGTTTCGTGCTTGTGCTGCGAATATCGTTAGGTATGAGATGGAATTGTCGTGAGTTAGGTGCCATGACGTACCTGCCCGAAAGGCCAGAGCGGTTGCGTCGTGTAGCGTAGCTGTGATTGATGCCACAAGATCATCTAAGCAACCGTTTGAATCAACTGTGAAGGCGCCCCATGTTGTGTTCATATCATTGACCATTCCACTCATTGCTTCTTCATTCCAACAACGATAGGGCTGGGCTTTCGTTTCATACTCTCCATAGTTACGACACCATGCGGCGTATGATGTATGATGGAACTTGCACGTGTCAGAAAACCTAGCAGACAAGCATGGGGTACTGTACATACTATACCAATCCATACTAAAGCTGCTTGTCTAGCGCTGACACTCCATCGCGGAGTACGTTGTTCTGTGCATATTAGATAATCATTCTCTATGTCGAACGATGACTAGATACCCATGCGCTGTTTGACTTGTCTGTTAAAATTATTCTGGAGGTTTCGGGAGATGTCATGGAGCGAAGATAGTGGAGATGCGATCTGTCCACACTTATCAGCGATTGTTGTGCGGTGCAACCCTCACTCAGGAGTCAATGTAGCACCTCAACGTCGCGATATATAGTTCCTTCAGCAATTGGGGTTTACACGTTCGAGTAAGGCTTGCACGGAGCGATCAATCGGCGTACCTCATGCACCTTGGCCTGTACCGCGTTGACTACGCTCAACATCTCCTGCTTTCTCTCCGTGCTAGTGTCACCGGAGCCTGCCTCTACCTGCGTGGGTTACTTTAGCTTGAGATTACATATCACATGTCCCGGTAGAGCTTACCCATAGTGCAGCGGATCCAAGAAGCGCTGGGATCTCGTGGGCAATGTAGTGACCAATTGCACGCATGTGACTCTCAGCGACGATGCCTATACAATACCGACGCAATTTTACGATCCCGCTGAGCTCTAAGCGGCGTTTTGATGCCGCTGTAGGCTTCTGCCGACCCATCCAGTAGAGAGTGTTGCTCACACAAAATACCTCGAGATCTTGCGCAGCTGGATGGTCTCTGTATTGCGTCTTAATCAGTCGGGAAACGTCTGTATTTCGAACGGTTACGATATGTTGAAGCAGTCTGACACTATCAGTGCGAAAGTCCGTGACACGATGCAGTGTAGCATACCTGAGTTCCTCATCTTCCTTCACCTTCCTATGCGCAAGATTGATTAGCTTCTGGAGAGGAGCAAGTTTGCAATACGTACTGTGCGCGCCATCTGCCAGAAAGCAGTCTGCTGCAATTATTATTTTCTTCTTCTGAGCGATTCATTGGGTCCTCGTCAAATTCGTTGATCAGCTCTGTTAGACACTCCATATCCTCTTCAGCTTGCTTGATTTTGCTTTCCATTGCCTTTATAGCTTTGCGCTCGGCAGGATATGTTTCGAAAGTTTCTTTGGCAACGATTGCCTGGTATGCGTGAGCTCACAATGGGCTGATACATTGATTGATTCCCATGCTCACATCTGACTTCGTACATACAACATGTACATTGGATAGTCTCGCGTGACGAGCCAATTGAAAAATGTCTTGTACGCTTTGGTCGCTGATTCCTCGCGCGATCCGGGCGACAGCCAATATTTGGTGGCACTGGAGAACGTATCGCTCAGTGATGTTTTGACGAGCAATATTCGCATCGCGTAAGCCTGGAAATCTCAGTAATGATCGAATGCAGCCTTGCGTATACTAACCAGGAAGATCGACTAAGACTAATCCACTACTCAAGATGTAGGCATTCAAGTACACCCTACAGTAATTGTGCGTTAGTAATGGATCAGTCATTTATAGCCACAAGACAAGATCATAATCTCTGACATTGTTGTATCTTGTCTTCCCGGAGGGCCATACGTACCTTAACTTTCTCACAAAAGGCCAAGGGATCTTTGGTCCTTGCGTTTCCAGGGTTTGAACTTCTGACGTAAGCTCTCTAATCCTCGAAGAACAGTTCGCAATGTCGCTGTAGGTCTCGTATACTCGAGTTGTCTGGCCAGCACTATGTTGGGGCAGTAACTGTGAAGCCCATTGTAGCATCGTTTGCACCGCCTGGTTGATTGGAAGGGCAAGTAAGTCAGGTCTCTGCTCTAGTCGTTCCCTAAAGCTTGCTCCAAATGTGTCTCTCGCTATCTTCGCTCTACGCTGCAAATCTGCGAGTTCTTCCCCTCGGAGATCTTCTGGTGGAGATTTACTTTCCTGGTATGTTCGAAGCATTTCCCCATATTGTTTCTTCAATTCTTCCATTGAGAATATCTCCCCCTCCACAGCATAGTCATCACGATCGTGGTAATGGTACTCTGTAGCCACGCAAGTGCATGCCGAACCATTGTTGTTCTATGCAATTAATCAGCCGAGTTAAGCACAGGAAAGTAGTGCTTACAGAGCGAGCCAGGTTTTCCTTGTCGAGTAACGAATTGATCAGACTGCTTTTGCCAACGCCGGAGTCGCCGACTAACCCAACAGTACGCGAAGAAGGTAGCTCGAATCGACTCAAGCGCAGAGATTCACGATATAGCCTCTCAATACCTGATTCGGGCTCTCGATGTATGTCTGAGCTGATCAGTACGTTGACGATCTTTGCGCTCATCTCACGAGCTTTATCAAAACTTTGTTGCATCTCTCGCATACGGGAGAAGGTTGCAGGAGGTATTTCATCTTCCACTCGGTACAATGCTTTGTCAGCCGCGGAGCTTGAGCGACGCCCTCGTGATGGGGTCAAAGAACGATCCTGTCGTGTCCGAGAGCGCACTGGCGATTCTGCTAAAGAAGGCGATCGCAAACGAAGAGCATCAAGACTGTCAATGATACCTTCAGGGGGATATTGGCTTGGAACTCGGCCTTGACTTTCAAGATTGGTAGATGGCACCGAGACGAGATGTAGTGAGGGAGTCGACGTGTTACTTCGTGAAGCGCTTCGAACAATTGGTTGCGGGAGATTGGATGTGACTCCCCTCGGTCGGACAGTTTGGTCCACTTGCAAGGAAGTATCCGCTACTTCTGGTGTCTGGAGTCTCAGTGCTTGTAGAGAGCTACTAAGTGCATTGGCATGCAGATACTCCACAACGGGCCCGTCAACCGTTGTAGGCGGAGTCCACGGGGTATTGATAGGGGTATCATGTCTACTACCTGTATCGGAAGGATCCTGTTCGATGGATGGCAAGGGACTATCTGGATCAGGATCCTTCCCGAATGCCAAAGGTTGCGAGGATGCACGCTTCTCGCCAAATGTGCGACGGTCAAGGTTGTCGGTAGGGCTTGAAGCTGTCGAGATATGTTCCAATGTGGAATGTTGGGCCGATCTCTTAGAGCGCAAAGTCCTGGCCGTCACGTTATCCGCAGTTTGCTGAGTCTGCGTAGATTCCTCAGGGCCGTCGAAGTTAAAAGCTCTGATCACAGAGTTGGTTTCGTTGGAGGTAAACACAGACGTAGATGGTTTGAGCATAGTAGGATCAGCAGTTGATGCCCGCTCAGAACGAGAACCTTGAGCAAACATCATGCCGCAACGGTATGCAACAATGCAAGATCGATCGAGCAAGGGATGACAGGACGAAATGGACGAGGAGAAATCTCTGTCACTTGTAGAGGGAGCCTGGAGGGCTGTGCTCAGATGGAGTGGGAGACAGCAAGCAGTACCGAGCGTTAACTCTGGCGACTTCGCCGCAATGCTGCATGCGTGTGTTACAGGCCCCAGCAGCAGCCAATGGCGAGTGCATGTTTAGTTCAAGCTCACTGCACTTTGCGACAGGTCAAGCAGGGATACGGATCGTTTTGGCAGGCAAGTAAAACGTGAAAAGCGATTCAATAGCGCTTCGTCAGGCTGAAGGGAGAATGGCCCCATTCTGAGGGTAGGAGTGTTGGAAAGCATGCAGACCAAACCCAGCCACAGCTTCAGCCACAATGGGATTTTGGAACTTGTGCTAAACCTAGTCGAACTTAGAACAACACCACGTGAACACTAAATGCACCAAGAAAAGACCTGCTCTCCAACACGACCAAAAAACAAGCAAGCCGTGTAAGAAGTGTCTGGCTACCCTACACCTTTTTCGTCCCTATCTCCTGGGTCATGTCGGCGGGAAGCCAATCAGAATCCTCCAAGTCCGTGGGACTTCCGAGGTGGACCCCCTTTGGAATTTCTATCATAGCCAGGTGCATTGCTAGTCGTCGACTCCTAGCTACGCCATCCTAGAATTACATCTGGATTCCGTCCAATACCCACCAAACGCCCAGTTGCAATGATGGTCGACACGACCCTCCGGAGATGCAATCTACTCAGCGGTGACAATTCGAGGAGCTGTACAGTTCATCCTTAAGGATTGACAAATCCGCGGGTACGCTTCCCAGCAATTATTCGAAGTTTGGAGGGAAGTGGACGTTCTAATCCTTGTATGAACTTCCCGGCCATTCCAGTCCTGTTATAATTTGGAGCAAGGCACCGGTAGTTGCAATGTGTTGAATCTCTTGTAGCATATCTACCATTGACATTGACATCACATCGCGAGGCTAAAGATGTTATTTTGACTGAATGGTATCAATGAGGGACAGGGTTAAGATGGAAGATTTAATTATATTGGTCGACGAGCTGATCCATGGTTGGAGGCATGGATTCTTAGCATTTGGATGCGTACACAATGCGGGGCAGTGCTGGATTACCCAAGACGAGCAGGTGCGGAGACAGCGGCGTGGGATGTTGGCCCTGCATGCGCCACGGGCATGAAAACCACGTAATCCGGGATAGGAATGACCTCGTAGTACGATAGATTCAATGATATTTCCACCCTTCTCCCTCCAAAATTCGACGATTCCAAAAAGTTCTTTTGATTCCAACAATATTTGAAAGCTATTAAATAGTTACTCATCGGCATATCGCCACACGAGCTAGCGTTTTTGGACATATCCAAAAATCAAAAAAGGCAAAGAACGGGAATTCAAGCTCTGCGGAACCCCTCCGGCTATCGTCAATCTCCTTTGATTATTTCATCTTTTTTCAGACCTGGTCTTAGGTGCGTACGTGAGCGCCAACGAGCAGCTCTGCAATGACAGGAAAGGCTGAGTATAAATGATGTGTTCTTCAAGCTCACGTTTGCTAGCTAGGCGTCAGAGTTTGGGCATGTCTCGGATGCCTCTCTCCTTTTAGAACACTCGTGGTGATGGCATTTTCCGATAAGTCAATTTCCTCATGGAATTGACCGCGGCCTTGCTGTAACTGTGTAGCTATCTATCCTTTTACAATGTCCCTATTCGACCAAAGCTTGCCAACTCTACATCCATGAACCAACAAGTATTGTTCTCACAGACTGAAAATGAAATATGCTTTCTGTTCACTAGTCGTTTGATGCACGTATGCAGGGTATGGCAGCCGAGGTAAAATTTCAGAGGTAGGAGAGGCAAAGTTCAAATCACTGTGCCACGAACTACTGCCTGTGAGAGGGGCAGCCACTCGGTCTCTTCCGGGAGGGTACCAAACGCAATGCGTCCTGTTGACCCAACCTCCGCGCCCTAGATCCTTAGTGACAAACCTTGTCATAATATAACCAAAGACCAAAATCCATTGCCAAGCGCCTCCCTTGTATGGTGTACGTACCTAGGTATGTAGGCGTTGTATGAAATATACTGTCCATTCAGAGGAGGCCCGTACCTGCGAACCTGGCAGATCAGGCGCGCGTAACGCGGGGTGACGCAAATTTCCAAGTTTCGTGGCAATTTTGCGAGTTCGCACATGCACGTTTGCTAAATTTCACGGTGGGTAAGACGGATAAATCCGTTCTTGGAAGGATCCTCCTACGCCACACTCGCTTTACCCCGGATCGACATACCTCAAACTGGTGCAACGGTACCGTACAAGGTTTTGCCTAATGCAGGTTGTGTTTGACGTACCAGGCTAATGAGGCGTTATTCGTGGAAAAGTGAAAGTACCATCGCTTGTAGCATACACTACCAGGGCCTTCGACAAGAACTCGCACCTTTTTACTGCATTCAAATGAGGGAGGAAATAAAACCTGCAAGCGAAACTTTAGAAACTGCCATGTGATCCCCATTGTCCACACGCAGCGTCGCAAGATGTCAGAGCGACCATTCGTGAGTGTTGTGGTGTGGGACCACATAATTCATTCGAACGTGTATATATATTCGTGCACGGTCGACATGTCGTCGCAATCGGACCGATGAGTTACTCGCACAATTCCCATTTGCGTAACAGCTCTTTTTAGCTATGTCTTCCGATTCAGCTCCGGCCTTTTCTCCACAGTACTTAGCGGCCAATAAGGGTCCACAAGTCGTTGCGATCATAACAGTGCTCCCTATCCTAGCTCTTCTGATCGTTGGCTTCAGGCTATATACACGCTTTGCTGTAGTTCGCAATCCGTCATACGAGGACCTGGCCATTGCATCGGCGTTGGTATGCATCGAAATACCTCCATTCTTCGAGACTTAACTTATTTATATTGTTTAGATCTTCAGCATCGCTACTTCAATATGTCAGGGCTACCAAGTCAAGAACGGCATGGGCAGGCACATCCAGGCTCTAACCTTGGATCAGGGTATCGGGTCCCTCAAGGTAACACTTGTGAAATTTGCGACCATGGCCAAGACGCTCACCCTTAGATAATCTAGGCTCTCTTCGCTAGCATCATGATGTACAACTTCGGCCTAACCCTCACCAAAGTCTCTATCGTCCTACAATACATCCGCATCGTGATCGACCACAACGTGCGCAAAGCCTGCTGGGTGTTGCTGTGGATAATTCTCGCCACATGCGTTGAGACTCTATTCACCGGCCTCTTCTCCTGCTATCCAATCCCTAAATTTTGGGACGATCGAATTCCTGGCGGATGCGTCAATAAGCCAGCACTGTAAGTCATGTCGGGGTACGGAGTGAAGAGTTCGGCTGGTACAGCTTTCTTAGACTTTCAAAGTCCCCAAATTACCTGATACAATAACTCAAGAACACCCATTCCCGGTTCTCGGCATTATACTGACGTTGTTTCTTCGCAATTTAGGTGGTACGCAAACGCAGGAATCAACATCAGCACAGACATTACTCTCATCATTCTTCCTATATTCATCATAAATAAATTGCAGCTGCGCAGCCGGGAGAAGTACACTTTGGCGCTCATTCTTGGATTGGGCGGCTTGTAAGACCATACAGGGGGTGTGTTTTTGTTCATTACTGATTACATAACAGCGCCAGTATAGCATCCATACTTCGCCTTAACGCTCTACACAAAGTCGCAATCACCACCGACATAACGTGGGACAATCCAGGCACAGCGACGTGGTCCGCCATCGAGCTGAACGTCGGTATCATTTGCGCCTCGCTACCCACTCTGCGCGCGTTCATCATCCAGCACTTTCCGCGCGTGTTTCGGTCAACCCGGGGTTCTACACCAACCGCTAGAGTCGGGTATAAAACGAACAATGGAAGCGTTGAGATTGCCGAGGGTGATGAGAGTGAACTTGTGCGCATGCCTGCTGGAAGACCGTCTGTGGCTACGAACGTCAGTGACCCTTTTGGGGACGTAGAGAAAGGGAAAGGGACATTCTTTGCCAGTGATTCTGAGCAGGAGCTCGCGAATAATGACTTTGAGAGGACGTAGTTGCATAGCTGGTAGTCAACCACGGTTCGGAGCAAAAACTAGCTAGGTTGGCTTTACATGTATCATATCAATGGAGTAACCGTTCATTCACGTACTTTGTGTGACAGCCTCGACTTGTAGCTTGGACTCAGGAACATAGATCTGGATACTGATACGTGACATGATGATGGGACACGAACAGGTGGCACGATGGATAATGCAATGTATATAACAGTAGATAGATAGAGCTACCGCTATCAATGGCCGGCACTGGTACGCATAGAGATGCCTGATTAGAGTAAAGAGTGTAAAGGCTACCGAACCGTATGCAAATCCTCCACATATCTCCCAAATGACTTTAATATCCTCGGAATAGATCCCTAAGCTGCCTCAAGCTGCCCCAAGAAAGAAAAGATTGTGTATGTGCCTACCACAGGACACCGATGCCGAACGAGAAGTGACTCTTGATGATCCATAAAGGCTAAAGAAATCCTGAGATCTGGTGCAATTGCACCTAGGCATCCTCAATGGTCTTTTGACTTTTGCCCCGGTCCTGGCTCGCTTGATGAACTTCTCGAACAACATGAACACCTGTCACCTCCCCATGCTTCTCGCCAGCGACATTATCGGCGGCCCAGGCATGCGCAGTAAACGCAGAGGGGTTCGAGGGTGTCTTGTCGAGGACAGGGAGACGGTCAATTTCGGTTGAGATCTTGTTGTGGACTGGAAGTATGGAGTGATTCATGGTGCGGCCATAGAAGATGCGGCTGAAGAAGGATTTCTTATCACTGCGGGCTGTGTCGTGATGCTGTTGGCCAGATGTCAAATTTTCGTTGGTGAACACAGTCTGCATGACGGAGCCGGTTACGGAAGCGTTGCAGCTCATCTCAGAGACCGATCCGTTCTTGCTGATCAAGCTCTTCGCCTTACTCGACCAATTGGACGTCCATCGCTTGACAAAGGTGACGCTTGTAGGTGTTTGAGTGCCACTACTCTCGCTAATGATGTAGAGGCTTGGGAAGATCTTGCCAAACCCGATTGATGTGAGCAAGCCCTTGTAAGTGTTGTTCGCATCGGTGCCGGTGCCAAAGAGAAGGAAGGCAATGTATCCTGCGGCGACTTCACCCCAGCGGTCCCAACGCGCAACACCGTTGGCAGGTACTTTGATGACAGAGTTCCAGTTAGGTCCATGAACGCGTGCCCAGCTGTATTCGTCGACGATGGTGTCGGCCAGTTGGTAGAGGATGAAGAAGGAGTATGGGACCAAGATAATTGAGACGTAGAGCGCCATGAGAAACAGTCGTATGAAGCGTGATTTAGTGGTGTTGCGGGCGGCGATCAGATCGTGGAACTCGCGGCGGTAGTGAAAGAGACGAAAGCCTAGTAAGCCTGTGGTAAGAAGTTAATTGTGTTCATCACTTGTCGACGACCGAAGCGAGCAGTACGTACCTGAATAGAAGGCTGCCACGAGCGTTGTGATGCAGCCCCAAACCCACACAATCGCCAGACTGGGCCAGCTGGAATCGAATACTGCCGTGCATCCGGAGATACCGAAGATGTAATAACGAAAAGGCTGGACGATGTAGTACGTGATCATCAGGACTGCCGGATACACCCAACAGAAGCCGATCTCGAGGATCTTCTCGATGAGTACGCTCCGCTTGCTTGGAGCGACCGTGATATTGCGTGTATCCATGACGTTGGCGAGTCGGCGTGCTATAACGGCTGTACATGCTGCGAGGGCCACCGAGGCGCCAACCTGGATGCGGACTTCAATGTCACAAAGGCCTGTACCATTGTACCATTCTTTCATATTGTCACGGGGCCAGATAAGCGGATTGATGGAATTGAAGAAGTTGAGGAGTATGAGCCAGAAGATGAGGGAGCCTGCTGCGATGTTGCGCTGCGAGAGGTGCCAAATCATGGGGGAGATACAGAGAATCCATGAGGGGAAGGCGAGGATTGGAAGAACCACAGCCTGTGGGTAGAGGGGAAATTGGTCCTCTGCCATTTTCGAGGATGTGGTGAGTGAGGTCCGAATCAGGACGAATGTGGGCTGAAAGCTCAAAACCGAGTTGGGATGCCGACTCCTGTCAAGTGATCTCTTGGCCGGGGATCTGGAGAGGGGACTAGACGGTTTGGTATGGCGCAGAAAGGCGGGCCCAATATCTTTGTTCTCGGATGAGATCAGAACCGTGGTATGCTTCAAGAGGGATGACTATGCATGTGAAGGTTATGGATGGAGAAGAAGAACGAGAGAGACGAGCTTAGGTTTTTAGGAGTTTGGAAGTAAAGAGCGTGGTCGGATAAGTAAGAGAAATGTATGCCGTACGTTAATAAACCCTCATAGTGCCGGTATTGAGTCAATCAATTCAGCCCTCAATACGCGTGCAATAGGGTCTGTCCCTTGATTTCCCCCTCGTAGCCGACGACGGCAACCATAGTGAAGGAGAGACAGTGGCCCTCATCATCTCTCCATGGAGCGCCAAATAGCGAGGCAGTTCATCTGTGCGGTCAATACGGCCCACTTATTCACTCGATGTGAGCGCGCGGCAGGGCACGGCAGTGAAACGCGAATAACTACCGGATTCGGGTCTGAATAGAAAAGTAGCCCAAACTGTAACTTTTGAATAGAAAAATAAACGCAATCCTATCAGACATGTCTCTAGCGGCGGATCGTGTTCGTCGGAGCCCAGGCTCGGTTCTATCGTGGCCGTGGTGAGTTCGCTGCCTTTCCTGTATGAAGACGCGGCAACAGCATCGACCGTGAATACATAGTAATGCATTTCGCCACAGGACTTATTAGACTGATGTAGTACTTTTCAGTATCCCGACAAGCAATTGTCATCGAACAAGTGGCGCCTGGGGCCTCCAACCAGCACAGGTGTCCCTCATCGTTTCACCTTTTCGATATGCGACGGCCAAAATCGGGAACAGCAACCTGCTCTAATTGTTCTAAGATGCGGCAGACGAACTGCTCATGGAGCAGCTGTTTGTCATCAGGGTGATTGGGTCTCTCGAGTCATACCGTGGTGTCGATGCCTGTCGCAACTGGGTGTTGGTCCTCAATCGCTCGACAAGGACATCAGCCAGCTTCATATATGGCCATCGCAGCGGGCACCCAGTCTGCTCGAACTTCTCGACTGCAAGCCTAGCAGACGCTAACTTGGCGGTAGATTTCTGTCACATAGAGTGATTGAGTTTCTCGGATCATATCAAGACGTCAATGGCCATCGCAGCGGGCGTTGGTCTCCTCATACAATTTACCCGAACGGGTTAGTCTATGATGTAAGTGACATCGTGCTTGGCAGTCGCATTCCATCGAGCACCTTCGCAGCACCAGCGCGCAAGCTCAGCAACGTGCGCATGATGGTTCATCGTCGACTACATCGTTGCTGGGGCTCGTCAGACTCCCTGAATCTACTACCAGCCTAGTGCTCGCCCGATACCGCGCTTCAAACCGTCTCGGCAGCTCGGTACCTGAGCCGCTGCTACTCGAGTGTCAACATGGCGGAAGCACCTGCCGAGAATCCCATGGGCTCCCAGATACACCCTTTGCTACGCCAGAGGCTGCTGAATCGCGCAGCAACCTTCTCAGAAGGCGCGCAACCTCCGCAAGCGCCCCGTCGACGCAGCTCTATCCTCTCCCAGTACTCGGACACGCGACACTCTTTCCGCTCCTCGACCGAAGACCTCCTACAATCCGTAGGCAAAAATGATATGGCAAAGCTGACAACGAACGATGAGGTGTCACTTTGGCATTCTGCACCGCTTGCCTTTGCCATTGTGCCCGCTGTTGCGGGGGCTCCTCTTCCAGAATGGTGGTGCTGTTGTGACGGACATCTTGCTGCTGGGATTTGGGTCCATGTTCCTCAATTGGTGTGTGAGGACGCCATGGTATGTGCACGGTTCGCTATGCAGAGCAATTGCTGATCTTCACAGGGAATGGTACCACTCCGCTCAACAGACGCAGTACGTTGACTACGACGAACCAGAACGCGATGACACGATCCTAGAGGAAGACGAAATCAGCGGTGAACCCTTAGATGACGACCCAGAAGCCTCTGCGCTCGCCGGTTCAGCACCGCCAGATGACAAGGATAATGTAGACAGTGGCAACGCGCCACCGACAAAATCACAGGAGGAAGCACGCCAGGAGCTTGGGAAGAACGAGATGCTGGCCCTGTTCACCTGCTTCATTGGTCCCCTAGTCGGCGCATACCTGCTGCACGCCATACGTTCACAGCTTACTCGCCCAGCCGAAGGCCTTGTATCCAACTACAATCTCACCATCTTCGTTATGGGCGCTGAACTTCGTCCAATCCATCATGTTATAAAGATGAAGCAAGCGCGAATGCTGCACCTCCAGCGCGTGGTCCGCTCAGACAGTAAGCCCGAACTTCGCAAAGCAGACATCCAAGAAATATGCGCTCGCCTCGCCAACCTCGAGGCACGAGCCACAGAACCTCCCCAAAACACGGATATCGAGAGTCTGAAGATAGGAGCTACCGTAAGACAGGGCATGCAGCCCCAACTCGACGCTTTGAACCGCGCCGTACGAAGATATGAAAAGCGCCAGGCAGCACAGGCTATGCAGACAGAAGCACGCTTCCAGGAACTGGACAGCCGACTGAGAGACGCACTGGCTTTAGCAGCGGCAGCCGCTCGTACTGGACAGCGACCAGGCATTGTGTCCATGTTGTTGACCTGGTTTGCTAACCTCATCACTCTCGGTGTGCAGACAAGCTGGGCGGTGGCTACGTACCCGTATAGGACTGCAGCTGCAATTGCGAATCACGTCAGTGACTACATTACGGGTGCAAATCGGCAACCGAGGAAGAGGGTGAAAGGACAGAGTAATGGTAATCCGTATGCCGCTGTCTCGACATCTAGGGTGCAGTCGAGAAGCGGCAGGTGATGATTTTAACGCTATCAGATACCCAATACACCTAGTTCCATTCTTCGTGTCTCTGCACCGCTATCAGCATCGAGAGCCATTCTCTAGTGCCCTTGCAAAATTGTTGTTTGCCAACACTGACTGACGAGCTCCACACTGCTAGCCATTTTGAAGCTCGCATCACGATCGGCATCGGATTTGATCAACGACAAGCTTGCGATAGCCACTTGAGTCAACACAGCAGTCTACCAGCATGCTGAGTACCGCTTTAGGAAGGACAAAGGACGTCACACGACAGTCTTCAACGATGACGGCAAGCGTCGTGCGGGGTAAGCTCAGCTTTAGAGTCAATCAAAGGTCACTGCATCACATCACAGGCAATTGAGAATAGTAAGGTTGTCGTGAAGCATGTCTGATTCATTTTCCGTATCGTGACTGATGTCCACATGGCAGATGTCGTTCAAAGGCAAGCTTGGGAGCAAAGCCGGTGTTAGAGCGCACACCTGAGGTCGTTCAAATAAGACTCTCGAGGTCCTCAACAAGCGATTGACCAGCGTCCCATATAATCCCTCAATCCAGCACAAGCGCGGACCCCCGGTTGACCAAGAAGTTGCTCGCGAGTCGACCGCATGACGTAGCCGGGATGGCGGGGTTTCCGAAAGTCGATTAAGAGATTGCTAGCTGAATGCCGTTCATTGTTTGGTGTTTGGCGATTGAAGTGATGGGCGCTGAGGTCGAGGGGCGAGTAGTTTATTTGCTGCACGCGCGGTTAGCCAAACGTTGCTGCAAGTATGAGTGATGGCAACTTACGAGCGGGCCCTAGTCTTCCTCCTCTTGCGCTTGAGACGTCGCACGCGCTTCTTCCTCCATTTGGCTCTCATCTTGTCGGCTAAGTGAACTTCAAGTGTAAGTCAGCAATTGTACTGGAGCGGAGTAGCGGCAGCCGCAATTCAAAAGCGAATGTGCAGCGTGCAGCTAACGTGCTCAATTGAGCTTCGTGAAACTGCCGCAAAGACATGGACGGGAGCTTACCTTGCTTTCGAGATGAGTGTCGTGGGTTGAGGAGAGAGGGGAGCTTGCAGCGAGCACAAAGACTATGTGCGCGAGCCCCGTTCGCTTAATGTACGCTAACTTTCTCGAGTATAGGCGCTTGGCGCCGTTCAGGTACGTCACGCGCGGCAGCGGCATCCATGGATCCGTCCGACATCTGGAACTTCTGCGACCAGCCTTATCGTAATTGTGTATGATGATGGCGAACGACGTGGTCGGATACCTCGAGATACATCTCGCTGGTGACGATCCACATGGTGAGTACCTCACTCCCAACATCGTCCTGCAAACGCGTTCCTAACGCGTGCAGTATCTCAAGATTTAATCGACGTACATGGGAACGAGCAGTTCTACCTTGGGAGGAATCCAGCTCTCTGGTGAGAGTAGTGGTGACTCTGGGGCGAATTGCTCATGTTCTAATGTGTGATCGCAGCGAGCGTCACTGGCTGGACCCCACTATTTCCAACAAGCACCTCCGGATCCATTGCATACTGTATGATGAGTCCGGCAGCGACGGAGTCCCACCGCTGGTCTATGCAACCGACGTTTCAAGCAATGGTACTACTCTTACCAAAAACAACACAGCATGCGCGACCTCGGAGGCCAGCCGTAAGGTTCTCATGACTCGCAAGCATGGCGCGTTTCTACTCGAAAACGGTGACGAACTTCGCATTTCCGATTCGGTCACGCTGATCTATCGTGAAACGGAGCTCCGTGCAGAGTCTCCATTGACTAAAACCCAGAAAAAGGAAGTGCCACAGTTCGCATCACGATACTTGGTCACAGGCCGCCTCCTCGGCAAAGGTGGGTTCGGGAAGGTTGTCGTTGGCATCCACCAGAAGTCGCAACGACAGCTGGCGTGCAAAGTCGTGAACCTGAGAGAGTTCTATCGGAAAGAAGCCATACCTACTCTACGACTGCCAACTAGTGAGGACACTCTACCAGGCATTGCTTATGGGTCGGCAACGCGCTGGCCAAGCAAGGTTACGCGGTGTTCTCGTGAGTTCAAGATACTCAATAACTTATCTCATCCAAACATCATCAGCGTCGAGAAAGTCTTCTGGAGTTCGAACACTATCTACTTGTTCCAGGAGTTGATCACTGGAGGAGACCTTTTTTCATATATGGAGCGAAAGGGTGGTTCACTGAATTCTATCGACGCAGCCGTGATAGTTTTCCAGATTCTCAAAGCGATCGATCATCTTCACGATCGGGACATCGTTCATAGGGATCTGAAACCCGACAACATACTTCTGTCATGTCCAGACGATGGAGCACGTATCGTCATCACCGACTTCGGTAGTGCTAGAGTTATGCCAAAGGCGACTAGCAATGAGAGACGACGCATGTTCACTAAGACTGGAACTATGGAATATATTGCACCTGAAATTTACGAGATGAACAATACGTGCCCAAAAGGTTCAGGATACACCAAAGCTGTAGACATGTGGTCGATCGGTGTGATCGCCGCAAGTCTCTTGTCAAATGAGGCTCTGTTCGCCGCTTCTTATTACGAACCGAACCCTCAAACATACATCTTAGCGCTTGCGGCCAAATGTGACATCAGCATTATCGACGATGACACGCATCCCATGTGGCGCAAAGTTGGCAAAAAACCGAAAGATTTTGTCAAGAACCTGCTTGTGCTACGGGAAGAGGATCGCATGTCAGTCAAGAAAGCTCTCGCACATTCCTGGTTTACGAACCCCTACCTGGCCGAGGAGTTCAAAGCTTTGTACGCCCGCTCCATCAGAGACTGGCAACCTCGACGTACGGTGTCTAAGCTCGTTGAGCCCATCGCCATGCCAATTTTGGATCAAGAGCCTCCCTTACAGCCACGCTCACATTACTCCCAGCGACGATCTGTTCAGTCTTCCTTCCGAGACATTCACAAGCGTTTCACAGGCTCGCAAGACTGGGACTTGAGTGTAGTCTATCCACCATCGGAGGGAGAATCCGTTGTAGCAGAGCACGAAGAAGCTCAGTATGAGGGACCTAGCCGCTACGACCAGCACTCCTTCGAACTAGGAACGCGTTCTGGTCACGAGGACCCTCATGATTCGTCTGACGCTTCGATGAATCAGCTTTCGCTGGAACACGGTGAGTCGTGCCGACATGCATAATATACATACGTGCATAAGACATACCCTAATTATTTATCTAACCTGGTTCAGATCCACCGGCGTCGGGCATGTATTCCACTCACGAGACAGCATGCAGTGGGCACGATTATCGTATGAGGAGGGAAGACATACCAGTCGACCCTTCCGTCATTGTCTCGAAACCTCCTCAAAAATACGACCTTCTTGCTGACTCGCCAGTGCCATACCGACCTCTTACCCGATATTCGCCGGAACCCGACATGGAGAAGCCAATCACCTTTCCGGGCTCAAGTAGCTCTATCATCTACGAGACCCCAATCTCCTACTCACAGCTGCAGGAATTCGCAAGCCACAGCGACATATACAGGAACATGGAGCCCGACCAGGAGCATGACAGTGCTGCTAACGCGCACAAACGGCGGAAACTGGCGCAGGCTTACCTTTAGGGGTATCAATCTACCAATCTTTGATTTGAAATTAATATACAGTGGGGCTAATACTTAGCAATCATGCGTGTGGGAACCGATTGTTGGTGCTTTTACAAGTGTATGCCATATGCCTGTGACACTGGGAAGGCGGTTTTGTAACATGTTACCCCAGGAAGGGGGATAAAAAGGTCTACGACTTTTGTTTAAGTCCCTAGAATGACATCCGTACTAGCAATGAAGACCACGTCCCCGCCTGACCTCTGTCTACTCCTCATCAGGTTTTGTACACACTCGTGTCCTTGTGCTGTACGTGATGCTTCGACAAGCGAGAGATGTTGCTTCGAGACATTGATTGGATGATTTATGGATGATATGATATCGTAAACTACGTAATCGGTCTTCATCCGGACCGTCACACAACTCCCCAGCCTAACGCCGACGTAAATGTAGTAAGACATCTCGTGAGAACGCCCAAATAGCCTGATTTCAGGCCTTGAAAACCCTAAGCACTTGATGGGTTAGAAAACTGGAGGTGATCGATGACTGTTTCTGCACGCTTATGAATAGTTTGCTTGCCACTCAAGGGGGCAAGTCGACCTGTCGACAAGGGCCTCACGCAACTTTTGAGAGCATCGCTTCCTTATGCTTCTCCGAAAAGTCGTGCAGTGATGTCGCCCATGTATGCCTCTTCAAGCTCGTAATCCTCTCCACCGTTACGGTCGATGCCGACATATTCGAAAGCAGAGACGACAGCCTCAACATCGAAACCCATGGCCACGAAGCGGTCTACGAGATCCTTGTTGTAGCCGTGGTATCTAATTTCCTGTCAGTCTTCGCGCATATACTTTGATATTGAAGCAACATACGCAGCAAGCGCGACCTTCTGTTCATTTGCCTTCGCATCCTGTGACTTCTTCCTGAGAGACTCTGCTGTGGCACCGCCGCTACCTTCTGCAATCTCCCTCTTGGGTGCACCTGCGTACTTGACGGCCCACTCGCGGGCGACGTGCTCGAACTCGGAAGGGTTCCGTATCAGCATGCTAGCTACCTCGTGATCTTGCGGGTCCTTGGGCTCTGGTGTGCTGAGCAGAGACTGGAGCGAGATAAGGGCAGACTTGATGGTGAGGACCGGCGACCACTGTGTGCTGAGAGTGTCCAGGCAGATGGCGCCCTTGTGCAGGTTAGCAAAGACTACACATAAGACTATCATGCCATCCGCTTACCGTCACCGAGCTGACATTTGGATGCCAAATCTTGGTCTCGAAGCGCATGTTCGGTGGCCGAAAGGGGTAGTCGCTAGCAATCTTGATGTCTACATAGTACATGCCGCCCTCGTATGGTGTGTCTGGCGGTCCAGGAAATGAGCCTCGAAGATGCGTGAGGTCGTCGCCAGCCCCTGCTGGCTCAGCTACTATCTGTGACAGCTTATCGTTCTGGATCTCGGCGATCTCCTTCGCAATGCGCCGAGCTCGGTTGGACATGACGTGTGTAGTTGGTGAGGGTGGTTATTGTGTGTGGCAATGTACGTATAGAAGTGGACCAGAATGAAGAAGCACGGTCGGCGGTAAAATTAGGCAGTAGGGTGGAAGTCGGCTCCGCTGTTGCACCTTGGTGGTCAGCCTCAGGCTGTAATCGCCGTGGCTTTGGGTAGGTCAGGCACCAGGTTCGATACGAGTTCACCGTAGCTTGGTGATCAAGTTACGGACCAGTCCAACTTACAAACGGCAGCTGTGGTCAATATGATATGGCCGTCCTAAGGTGCGGCGTGCGAGGCGGGAGCTCTAATTCACGACGGGGCTGCGGGCGGGCACGAGCTGTACTGTGAGGGTGGACGGAGAAAGCACTTGGGAGAAATTGTTGTATCTATTCCACGTCAGAAGGGTTCAGAAGGTTGGCGACTGTCTCTGACGTGTCTGGCGTCCAGTGGAGAAGACGAGGCGGCAGCATACCGTGCCGTTGGGGAAGTGGCGCACCTGAGCACGTGATAGCACCCGCGCTTGGGCCGCCGTTCTGCAGCTCCGAAACAGCGCGCAACGCCGCCAGCATCAACATTACAAACACCAAACCCAAGACCATCGCTCTCTCACCGGAGACGCCCGCCGTCTCTCTTCCCCGCAGGAGATTTACAGTTCGTCTGACTAAATACCCAAGGAATCGCATACATTCGCTGAGACAGTATCATGGTGAGCTTGGCCCCGGCGAAATGCACCGGGCGGCGATACTGATTGTGCATAGGGTAACCAGCAGTCCAGTGGTGCTGGAGGAGGGCCCGGTGGTGATGATAAGAACAAGAAGGATAAGGTTCGTTCATGTCTGCGACCGATGCTTGACTCCCGCATCATGAATGCATGACGTTGCTTCGCCGCCTAGGACGTGACTGACATTCCCGCTACAGAAGGACAAGCCCAAGTACGAGCCCCCACCGCAACCCACCACCCGCATCGGCAGGAAGAAGAAGAAGGCCGCTGGACCGAGCGCCGCCGCGAAGCTCCCAGCCGTCTACCCCACCGCGCGATGCAAGCTGAGATATCTACGGATGCAGCGCATCCATGACCACTTGTTGCTGGAGGAGGAGTACGTGGAGAACCAGGAGCGTCTGCGAAAGGCGAAGGCAGCGGCGAGCTCTAACCAGCCTGTCAATGTCAACGCAGAAGGCGATGACCGGAACGCCGACGAGAGGTCGCGGGTAGACGATATGCGAGGCAGTCCTATGGGTGTCGGCAATCTGGAGGAGCTCATTGATGACGACCACGCCATCGTTTCCAGTGCGACTGGTCCCGAATACTACGTTTCCATCATGTCATTCGTTGATAAGGACCTTCTCGAGCCCGGGGCGAGCATCCTGCTGCATCACAAGTCCGTATCGGTGGTCGGTGTGCTGACCGAGGATTCGGATCCGCTTGTCTCGGTCATGAAGTTGGATAAGGCACCCACAGAGTCGTACGCCGATATCGGTGGTCTGGAGCAGCAGATCCAGGAAGTCCGCGAGGCGGTAGAGCTTCCATTACTGCATCCTGAGCTATATGAAGAGATGGGCATCAAGCCACCGAAAGGTGTCATATTGTACGGTGCGCCAGGAACCGGAAAGACGCTACTGGCCAAGGCTGTCGCCAACCAGACCAGCGCAACGTTCCTGCGAATCGTGGGCAGTGAGCTGATTCAGAAGTACCTCGGAGACGGACCCCGGCTTGTACGACAGCTCTTCACAGTTGCAGCAGAGAATGCGCCCTCGATCGTCTTCATTGATGAAATTGACGCTATCGGTACGAAGCGTTACGAATCAACATCTGGGGGTGAACGTGAGATCCAACGTACAATGTTGGAGCTGCTCAACCAGCTGGACGGTTTTGATGACCGCGGCGATGTCAAGGTCATCATGGCCACCAACAAGATCGACACCCTCGACCCAGCCCTCATTCGACCTGGGCGTATTGACAGGAAGATTCTCTTCGAAAACCCTGACCGTATGTTGTTCCCTAGGTACTCTTGAAATCGGTTGCTAATACATTCGTAGAATCGACCAAGAAGAAGATCTTCACTCTACACACATCCAAGATGTCTCTTAACGAAGACGTTGATCTTGACGAGTTCATCAGCCAAAAGGACGACCTCTCCGGTGCCGACATCAAGGCCATCTGCTCGGAAGCCGGTTTAATGGCGTTGCGTGAGCGGAGAATGCGCGTCAATATGGAGGACTTCCGCACCGCGAGAGAGCGTGTGCTCAAGACGAAGAGCGAGGGTGAGCCGGAAGGCTTGTATTTGTAGTTCTGGGTTAGACTTTTGGACTGTGTACAACTACCTATGGTCGTCGCTTGATCATCAGCGCCTACAGTTTTTGGTAGGCTGGTAACTCTCATAATATGATCAAACGCATGAGTCTATTCCCTCTTTCGCATTGATTTCTTGAGTCCCATTCAGGCATTTCATGTTGTCATTCGCTAATGTTTGCCCCATTGTGTACGGCTCATCCACAATTTGCTCTCTTCGCATTGGGATCCCGCTGTGCACTACTACGTGCACTTGACCATCAAACCGTACCATTCCTTACTTCTACACGCAGAATGACACGTCTCGACGCATCTTGAACCACAGCACGACATCTTGGCTGACACTTTTCCCTTATATCAATGGATTTTGTCTCTGCCCACATGGCAGGGTCACAAGCTTCAGTGCTGTTCGCGATATGGCCACCCTCTGCGCAGCGAAGCAGGCCCTCCCTATCAAAGACGCAGCGAGTCGGAGAGACCCGCGATACTTACAGCGAAAACCTGCCTGGATATAACTCAGGGCGGCTTCCCCGAGACTGCTCGGTTTCCAAATTTACTTTGCCGATTCTCTTACTTTGTTGTCTCCGCCGCGAGCTAGCTTGCGCTGTGGCAGCAACGGCGCATATAAAACGCCCCCACCACCCACACCACGGAGCCAACCGTCAGCCCTCTCCCCAGCAAGGTTTGCAGTCGCCGTAAGTAACACTTGAACATCATAATAAGCTTACTACTTAGTAACGAATAAACAGCCCCTCGGCGTCGGCTTGTCAACATGAACTCACCTCTCGGTGAGGGCCACCTCATGACCTTCGAGCATATGAACCGAGCCCAGAAGCGCGCATTCATTCTGCGAGACCAACTGAAGTATGATGAAGAACAGCATTTGGATATGTTCATCGATGGCATTTGTAACCCTGAGCCGCCGCGTTATAAGCGCACGAGCAGTGGTATTCAACCCCCTTACGAGGACGTTACCATCAAGCACAGCACGACGCGTTTCGATCTGGGCAATGTTGAGTTCCAGGACAAGTCCATTCGTCGAGTCTACCTCGCCTGCATAGGCGACAGCTATGAGATGCATGAATCGAACGCCATATCTCCGGATGAAGACGACTTCAACTCGGTGCCACTCAATTATTACGTCGCCCAGAAGATCATGCCGGGTTTCAAGAAGAAGAATGAGGCGATTCATGCTCGGATGCAGCGCATCAATGATATGCGTCAACATATGTACGAGCAAGCGCGTAGCAAGCCGCCCAAGACACCTACGCGCTTCAAAGAAGGCAAAGTAAGTCTTGTCACGCTCCATCACATTACTATGCTTTTTAAAAAACATTTTGTATCTTCCTTGGCGTATCTTTGTGCACGCTTTCTGGCAGTTCCTGCATGAGCGAGACGGACTGATCCTCTGCGGACGATGCGGACGACACTAATTTGCGTGACAGTCTTTGGCCAAGCTCATGGACTCGGCAAAAGGTGCCGAGGTCACTCCGGATGGTATGCCTCTAACTTTACAATCCAACTTGAACATATTAACCGATTGATAGGTGAAGAGTCACGTAAGCGACCAGGAGAGCTCGTCACCCGCCACCCTCTCAACAAGAAAAAGAGGATCAGCCTCGACAATGTCTCCAGCAGCGTCAAGACTGAGGCGGTGAATCGACTCCCTGACCAGACTAAAGTCGATCTGTTCAATGCTTTCGTCAAGTCAGCGTTCCCCGACTTCGATAACCTACTGATGGCATCCTGGAACGTGGTCTCGATCTTCGTCAACGTCGGAAGCGAGGACTTAATGCTTCATAACTCGATTGGCGATCTGCACGACGTTCTGCTGAAGTTCGACGACTACTTCGGCAAGTCGAGGAAGTCACGATCGGACATTCACGATGCTGCTCGTAAGTGAACACCGTCGCTGACTACAACATTAGATCGGAATCTGGGTACTGCATTTCTCATCCTGGGCTAAAGCAGGATACCCAGTCTCCCATCAACATGCTGTCGCATCGTTCTTTTTGCTAAATCCAATTTCATGTAGGCCTCCAGAAGGATTTTCGTGACAGTTCTACTCGCAATACCCCCTTAGCGTCCGGCCTCGGTCCGGTCGAGGTTAGTGGTAATATGTCGCGAGATCGTTCTCGGGATCGGCTCGTTGAGCTACCGCCTAACCGCCATGATGGTGTCGATGAAGGGGCGCATTTATCCCCCATTGAGTCCAACCATGCTACGGGATTTCGACAGTCAAACGGTCGCTACGCGGCCGAGCGTCACACTCAGAAGAATCAACGCCAACATCGGACTGGCCTTGATCAACAGCTTAAGCAATCCCCAGTTCGCCATCGTGGCCATCGTGGTGGTGCCCCCGACCAATCAGTCACGAAGCAACTCGGCTCTCGCAACCGCCCAGAAGGCCGCCCCCTCCCGCAGTCCCTCGATGATCTCTTCTCGCACCCACCACCACAAGAGGTGCGACGCGGTTCGCATGACATCTTGCGGGCCATGGCAGCAAACATTGAAGAGGATACGGTATCAAGCATCGACGAAGGTTATGCTGCCATACAAGCCCAGAAGCCACCGACACCACCCACGATACAGCCTCTCCACAAGCCATCCCCGCCCAAACCGAATGACCTTCTTCGCCGCCCAGAGCACGCTCAGCTCGCTGCAGAGGCCGCTGAACTCCGCAACCGTACGCTCCAGCAGCAGTCGCACTCTCAGCGTGAGGCCCAGCGCTACGGTATGTTCAACGACCATAGCCGGCGCAGCAGCATCGACGCCCTCTTCGTGGGTGACAACGAGGATGAAGCCGTTCAGGTCCCCGCCATGCAGGAGGTGCACGAGCAGGAGAAGCAGGCTGAGCCGAGGACGGTGTCATTGGGTAAGTCCATGTTGGGCGCACCGAAGAAGCCGCCGAATGCAACGGGCCCTGCACCTATTGCTCCTATGATGCACAACAGCCCTGCTGGGAAGACGGACGAGGCGGAGCGGCGAGGACAATGATTACCAGTTACCATAGCTAACCTCTTTGGACTGAAAACGTGCCAAAGCGGAGAATTTCTTCTCGCGGCAGCGAAGAACGGCGTATGGAGTACGATGGCCTGGGCTATTGCACATCGGGGATCCACTTGTGGAGTTTGCCAATCCCCCTCGCGACTAGACCTATGTATAGATACTTGCAGCACCTGCGATCATAGCCCCCGTCGCTGCAATCTGACTAAACCCACGAAATTGACCCTATGAGGCCCTAGCCGGAGTCATTTGCTGCATTTCGAGATCTCTAGCATGCAAATCAATATGCTCAAGCGTCAGCTTAGAATTCTATACCTGCATTAATGGTCTTGATCACGGCAATGGATGTTTCAACATACACTGGTGAAGTTTGACATCAATAGTTTGCTTCTTTCGTTTGGTTCCTTGACATATCGGAGAAACTGGTGCTGCTCGAGAGCGATACGTAGCAATGGACATATGGTAATACTTTATGATGAATGTTGATGTCACAGTACTGTACATTCTCCATAGTTGACGTAAATGTAAAAGTGGTATACCCAAAAGCAGAAGCAGGTCCATTAGACTAGCTCGTGGACCCTGCTCATGTCTCCCAAACGCCTCGCAATGCTACCAATACATTTCTCCCGTCCACCAGCAGCTCCAACCACACCGCGCCCTTACTTCACCTCCTCGAGCCATCAAAGGGATTGTTCTAACCTTCCTTCTTCAGCTCAGGTCCCCAAAACGCATCGTTTTCCTTTTCCGCTGTTTCTCTGTTTAGCTTCCGTCTCTTTGCCTTCCCCTCTTCTAGTGTGCCATCGCGAACGACATCGCGCTTTTTACCCGCGTTCAGAGCGACGAGATCCTGCGTTGTGGGATCTTTGCACCCTCGAAGCTTCTTCATCGCTTTCTTCGTCGCCGGGGGATCACCATCCGCCCAAGCGAGCTTGTGCTGCGCGGGATTTTTGCTATAACTCCGATGGCTTGACAGAAGATCCGCGCAGGATTGTAGTGTGGATAGAATTTTCGTGGAGGCCGGGGAGGAAGAAGGGATTTTGGTGGCAAGGTAGAAGGTCGTGAGGGCGGGGGAGGCGAGGAGGTGCGCTGCTAGGAGGATCTGTGAGGGAGTGTAGAGGAAGTACGCGTCCGTGAGTTGGGCGGCCATGGTGAGGATGTCTTTGGTGTGCGCGTAGATATTGCCTAGCTTAGTTGCTGCTTCCTCCTCCTCCGCCACCTCGAGTGCTTGCAACGCTTCGCCGCGGAGCTCTGCTGGTGTGCGGCCGTCGTGCGCGACGGCATAATTCCCGCGTATCATGTCCTCGAGTTCTAGGTGCACGCCTTTGAGCCCGCGGAATGGATGCCGTACTTCGAAGTTGAAGCGCAGAGCTTGCACGATTGTGTATTCGGGCGCGACGATGTCGTCGCGGCTGGTTTTGGGGAGTCGTGAGGCGAAATCTGAGGCTGAGCCGGCGCGGGTGCCGAGCTCGAGTTTGAGGGCGAGGAAGAACGCGGTTTTGGAGATTTTGGTACCGTCGTAGGTCATGGGGGAGTTGTAGAGGTAGAAGCGGCGCATAAATTGTATGGCTGTGGCCTACGGTCTCATTAGCTCCTGTCTCTCCTACGAGGTAAACAATTGGATTGGAAGGGAAGTGTACAGTAACGTCCGGCTGCAGCTTCAGAAAGTCACCTAGCTTCATCGCAGTTTCGCAGAACTTATCGACCACCATGTTCTCCTCTTCCGTTGTCAAGCAGTCTACCTCCCCGCCTTTGTCCCCCGCGCCGCCTGGTACCGGCGTGTTTGCACCTGTGCCTGCGCCATTGCCGTTTGGGGTGTCTGCACCGCTTTCAGGCGCGGAGGCGACATCGAGGGTGGCGAGCTTTGCGCGCTCGACGCGGTCCTGCGCGATGTGTAGTTTGACTTGGGTAGCGGCGTGGGCGTTGGTTTTCTGGCGGAGGCGCGTAAGGTCAGAGGGGGTAAAGGACCAGTGTTTGTATTGCGTGGATTGCCGGTAGAGGTCGTCTTCGTTCAGGCGCATCGTTGCGGTTGTGGAAGGAACAGCGCGCGTGGTGGAAGTTGTAGATGGTGTCCGCAGATGAGGAGCTTTGGCCAAGGGTTCATGCCATTTCTTTGAGCGCGAGAATTTGCACATAAGGAAGAAATATGGAGATTATCATGACAGACGCTCGTGCGTATCAACATGACGCGCAAAGAGTCCAGGACTCATTCTAATATCCTTGAGTTGTAAATCAAGCGTTGACCACAATACATAAGTTGGAGGATGTCAAGCATGTCAAGCTTCCGGCCAATCAAGCGAGATGTCTTTTACCAGCCATGGTCCGGGGAACATGTGGATCCGCATCAACACCAATCCCAAGACAGACATGCTCCTTTGCACTACCCTTGCTAATTCTGAGTCTCTCACCGCTGAGGACAATTGTTCTCATCTCTCACAGTTGTTCTCGCCCTTCACAGATACTGAGCGCTGTTCAGTGTACCAGTGGAGCTGCTATAAGAGCCTTCCTCTACGAAGTCTGTACCTTCGTCCAGAGCACCACGCTCCCGCAGAGACCCCATGTGGTTACCTGCGAAGTGCCTGAGGTATAGCCTCCGATGGAATCAGAGTCAGATAAGCCGCTCCTCTCTTCTACATCGCCAGGCTGCTCATGGATGGCCCAGAGTCGAGCCATCATACGCTTATATGCGATTGTTTGAAACTATTGTGCGACGTGCCAGGACGAACGATTGATATCCTGGATAACTCCGCAGATGTCCCACGCGGAAGCCTGTGATGACTCGCTATATTCGACGTTCTGACAGCCTACCGTACGCTGATCGACATTCTAGTGTCCAATCACCACTCATCATGCCCGTCTTTGTCAGGCGACGTCACCTCCTCGATGGAGAGGAACACGGCTGATGCTCCCCACTTGGCAGGGACCATGAGCGCCTTTCACATTTTTGTCCTCATGGGTATGAGCGACCTGGGGATCTGCATTGTTGACGCACGCCATGGCTTTCCCCTTCTAAGGAACCGGGGCCGCGTGTGGGGTTAACGCCAATTACCGCTACCCATTTGCCGATGCATAAATCAACGTATTGTCTACCACACGTTACTCACTATTTGTGGTTATCGTTGAGCTTACCTTCGATCGTGTGAAGCCTTATTTGAGATTTGGCCTATTTACTGACCATCACTACCACAACTCCCCAACAGTCATATACCATCCCACTTGTTCGGAATGTCCTCGCCAGAGAAGGTCGACAAGGGCGGGGACTCGCCTAACAAAGTCCATATCCCGGATGTTGAGAAGGTCAACTCGACATGGAACGACCCAGCCGACATACCAGCCGATCTTGAGAAGCGCATTACCCGAAAACTTGATAAGCGTCTCATGCCATGGCTCTTCGGTCTATGGCTCCTGGCCTTCATCGACAGAAGCAACATCGGAAATGCCAAGATCGACGGCATGACAGAGGACCTGCGACTTGATGCCAACAAGTTCAACATCGCTTTGGCCGTCTTCTACGTGCCGTACATTTTGTGGGATGTCCCGAGCAACCTCGTCATCAAGTACTTTAAGGCTGGGTATTATCTGCCCGGTAAGTGTACCTAGGTTCGCGGAAGATGCATTAGAATTGACAACGTGAGATACAAGGTCTGCTGATTGCCTGGGGCTTTGTCTCGATGTGCACTGGGTTTGTCAAGAGCTATGCTGGGCTTCTGGCTGCACGCTTCTTCCTTGGGCTGGCCGAGGGTGGCTTGCTCGGTGGCATGTTGGTCTATCTTGCCATGTTTTACCGGCGGCACCAGATGCTCTATCGCATAACCCTTTTTTACTGTGCCGCACCTTTAAGCGGTGCTTTCGGTGGCCTTCTCGCGACTGGTCTCGCCCAGATTCATACCGAAGGCTTCGACGGCTGGGTAAGCTACTCTTCCTACAGCACCACGTCAAAACTTCTGGTACCCTGTGTTACCCCCGAATGGGCAATACAGTACCCGAATTTTTGCCATAGTGCTGTACTCTTCGCCATGCTCTGCTGACCTCATAGCCTTTCATCTTCTTCGTCGAAGGCGCCATAACCATCATCTTCGGCGTCGCTGTGCTCTTCTTTCTCCCACATACACCCAGCGATATCAAGTTCTTCACCCCAGAAGAGAAGGAAGCCTGTATAGCGCGTATGCGTCTTGACGCCCATGGTGCGGCTGCCGCTTCTACCGTTGAAGAAGAGAGGTTTGACTGGTTCTGGGTCCGTCGCGCTCTCCTGAACGTCAACACAATCGTCCTTTCCCTCGCCTTCTTCGCCATTATCACACCTATCTACTCCTTCTCTCTCTTCCTGCCGACTATCATTCGATCAATGGGCTACGGGAGGGTGACCGCGCAGCTCTTCACCGTCCCGCCGAACATGGGCGCTTTCTTCGTGGTCCTTTTCACCGGCTGGACGAGCGACAAGTGGCATATGCGGGGGCCCCTCATGCTCGTTGGGTGCGCTGTGGCAATTGTTGGGTACATAATGCTTATCGCGACAGATCGGAGCTTGATACAATATGGTGGGACGTTTCTGGTTGCGGCGGGCATCTTTCCGTGTAGTCCGTTGGTTATGGGGTGGTTGTCCAATAACTTGGCACCGCATTATGTGCGGGCTACAGGGACGGGATTTCAGATAATGAGTGAGTTGCTCCTCACGAAACGATGTGGCAAGGTTGACGGCGGTAGTTGCGAATATTTCGGCTTTCATCGCGACATTTACGTACTTACCTGAGGATGCGTAAGTCTAGGCGACAGTTTGACTGGTGGAATTGTGGGTTGACAGCTTACAGACCACGATACATCACGGGACATGCGATTAACATCGGTATGCTGGGCCTTGCGCTTTTTACGATCACGGCGAATATCTGGTACTGCAAGTGGGAGAATAGAAAGCGCGCGAATGGGGAGAGGGACTATCGCTTAACAGAGGAAAAGGAGGAAATGCTGGGTTATCGGCATCCACGATTTGTGTATACGATCTGAGGGCAACGCTAGGGATACGATCTGGAGGCCGGCCTCTATACGGTTGCCTGTTATTCAATGAATCCCGGCGTAATTCGTGGCTTGCCATAACTACACAAGGATTCAACAACGTCGATTCTTCGCAACAACGCAACTGAAAGCGATGGCAGCTCCCGCAGGGGTTCTTTTCTCTGTACCCTCTGCTCTCAAATTAAATCACCAGGTAGGTTGAGGTCGGACGCCACGCAAGCACCTAGGTGAGGAACCACTTCATAACTACGAAGAATCTCAAGCACTTGCACCAATTTGTGAGGCAGCTGAGTGTAAGCTCTGCGCTAGCTTGGCTGAAATGCGCGGATGGCTATGTTTGTCTCGCGCTTTCTTTCGCAGTGAAGCGACCTCACTCACCGCGCACGGCGGGGTCCATCCCTTTCCGCCAACACCGCAATGGCGAAAGGAACGGAACCTCCGTGTTTCAGATCGACAATCACTATTGCTCGCTATTGTTCCCTTCTCTCGCAGTTGAAAATTCAGGCGGTGACCTCGAGCTATAGGAGCTCCCATTGGCCCGTTGCCCGTTCACTTCCTCAAGTGAAGGACGTCGAAATCCTCGAACAGGCACCAATCTAGCCAATGGGGTCGTTTCCAGAGCCCAGCCTTCGCTTTACGAATCCCAATGGCCTATCAGCGTTCGAGATTCGTGGGCGCTGCAGCGGGATCGCGGTGAATGCACGGACGTACGGTGAGAGGGAATACTTTCGAGCTTCAACACCTCTCCAGGAGGCTGGGAGACCCACAGAGCCGCCGCCGCCGCCTTCAAGAAGGGTTTTCGGGGCGTCTGCTCCATCGAATTGACCATACACTTTCTGTGCTGTTCACTTCAGCCTGCGACTACATCTCCCAATCTCTACGACTTTTGGCGTTCACGTCAGCCACCTTCTACTGCTTTAAGCACACCTCTTTTGACTTCACGTCTGTCTACGTCTACTACGTTATCTAGTCTGTTAGACACATTGTCCAACTTCGACGTAGCGTTCACTATGGCTACCATCTCCAAGCCTACTTGCGCTTGCAACCCCTTCGAGGCCTGCCACTGCGGTAGTTGGTCCTACCAATTCACCGATACACCTACGATGAGCATATTCACCACCTTCGATGAGCTACCCGTCGATGATGAGGGCTGGGTGCCTGTTAGTGCGGGTGCCAGCGTTCAGAAGCCTCTCAACATCTCCGATCCTGAGAAGTCCAGCTGCGACGAACACGAGAATGCTCAGTTCGATCAGCGTATCGCCGAGCAGCTCACCGAGTGCAATAACACTCCGAACCAGCAACATGTTCAGACCATCGACCCGTTCGGGCTCACCTCTACCTTCGGCATGGGCACGCAACAGTTCTCCAACAGCATGGGTTTCGAAGGTGGGATTGGCCAATGTGACTTCTCTCAGGAGCGTAGCGATTTCGACAACGCCATGGGCTTATCCAGCAACCATTTCAGCTTCGACAACTTCGGCGACGACGACTTCCGTGATAGCTCCATGCCGCCGATCAACACTACCGCCATCAACCCGGCTCAGTCAATGCCGTTCAATGGGGCTCGTTACCACGATGCCGTCCTTGGCACTATTCTTTCCCCGGGTCTCGCAGAGTTCCTGAATGCTACATCCACTTCTCTCGATCAACCCCAGAATCAGGTCGCCTTCCCAGGACATGGCATCGACAACGCCTCGATCGGGCGCGTTGCCCCCCGGGATCACTCGACCAGTCTCTCCATCGACCAGCCTCAGATGCGCACTCCTCAAAAGGCGCATGCTGCGCTCAATGACGCTTGGAGCCAGAAGACCCAGTGTACCAAGAACCAGACCTTTGCAGAAGATCAAGCTTTTGCCCAAGCCCGAGCCTTCGCTCAGGCCAATGTCCGTACGGTTCAAGAAGCCGGACAAGACCTCTTCGGGATTTACACCCAGAACCAGCGATCTCGCCAAGGTCCTTCGAATCAGGCTACCTCTGTCCTCCCGACACCTACCTCCACGAAGAATCTGTCCGCCAATCAACTCGGCAAGCAGCCCGTTCCGCAGCCCTCGAGCTCTCCTGCCGGGCGCACGCCCTCCAAGAAGCGCCCCCGTCCCGCCGACATCCAGATTCCCTCCGAGGCATCCAAGCGCGCCCGCATCGACGCCCCAGGCCCTCCACCCTTCGCTGCTGAGGTCAAGTCCAATGCCGCACGTGGACGCGCCGTCAAGGTCTTATTCAAGACACCCTGGGAGCAGATGACCCAGATGGAGAAGGCGCGCATTCTGCTACCCATGATGATCGGCAAGCATCCCGTTGAGTTCGAGAAAGAGGAAATGCAGCGCGGACTCTCTTACGGCGCTATGCGCCAGCGCGAGGCGCTCGAGAAGACTATGCACTTGAGCAACGAGGCCGCTGCTGAGACCGAGTCCAGTGCTGCTCCGAGGAAGACCCTAGCCCTGGCTGAGATGGACGAAGATGATGAGGAGGCGGTTCTCAAGGCGCGTCTGGCCGAGATTGAGGCCAACAAGAAGGCCAAGGTCGCCGAGGAGAAGAGGCGCATCTCCAACGAGAAGCGCGCGGCGACCACGCGTCGCAAGCGCCAGGAGAAGAAGGAGGCTGATCGCCTTAAGCGCGAGAAGGAGTTGGAGGAGATTGCTCGCCAGAAGGAGCTTGAGGCTCACAGGGAGGCATCCTTCGCTGGGGAGCGTCCCCAAGCTGCTCAAGAGCAGGGCATGCCTGAGCAGATGCGTGAGGCCTATGCTCACGTTGGCTTCGCCCCTGCTCAGCCCTACATGGGTTGAATGACTGGTGACTGGAGACTGGGGAATGGGGACTGGGAATTGGTGGTGTGGTAGTGACTTGGACCTAGCTGGACTGGTGTTCAGGTCTGGTTATCAAATAATGGTAGAGACTTTAAAAAAAAAATAATAAAAATGTTACAAAATCCACTACTCCATACGTGCTTGCAACATAATATGACATCAATGTGTAGTTACAGCAGGCATCAAGACATCAACCCACCCGGTGCTTCATCAAACGTCTTGATGCCAGGTGTTCCACCGGACTTATCCATACAGCAACCATCCTTTATACTAGTTCTTTCTATCTCCTCGAGATTTTCGATACCCTTGTCATCCTAGCTACCCCATCCAGAATCCAACTCTCCTCCAAGATGTCCCTCTTCACTGCGCGTACACAATCCCGACAACCTTCCTCCGAATCTTCCTCGGCGGTGGAAGCACCACATGCTTACATTCGTCTTTCTTCACTTTGTCCGTCACCCCATTCGTAGCTGGCACGGTAATCTTTGCTTGTGGCGGCGGTAGCGCCTTTGTGGGCTCTTTCTTTTGCTCCTTCCGGTTCTCGGTATGTTGCTTCAGCTTCGCCTTCTGGTCCTCCAGCTTCTCCGCTTGTCGCGCAATCTTGTCCTCCAGCTCCTTAAACTTCGCAGCCATATCCGTCTTGCTGTCTTCCTCCTGCACAGCACCGGAAATGCCGCTTTGCGGACCAAATGACCCGTCTGCGGGGACGAAATACCACGTCAAGCAGAACTCATTCGGCTGCTCCCATTGCCACATGTGCACCTTCATGCTCTGACCCTTCGCCACTCTGATCCCTTGGAAGTGGTTCAGGAACACGCCTGGGTGGTCTACGGGCGAGAGATGGCAAGCACCTGGTGCTGTGACGTTGTTGTTGGAGAGCCTCCACCATTGCTTCTCGCCCGTGCCTACGGTAGACCAGTTTGTGCCGCCGTTAGCGTGGAGGTATTCATTATTGGAGAGGCAGCGGAGTGCTATCACGTTCTCCTCGTCGGCGGACTCGGCGACCCATTTCTGGGGGGCGTCTTGATCGCCGCGGTTTTGGGCGACGACGCCGGAGGGTTGGCCATTGGGGGAGCGGGCGAGGACGTGGCCCTGAAGGGGTGTTAGGACTGATCGATTTAAAGAAGGCATAAAGAAAAAGGACACGAGAGAGGGTATCTGGATGAGGCTAAAAGCGCAGCTTGAAACGCTCGTACGTTGCTCATACCTATGACGCATGGAAGAGGTAAGGTATGTAACTTGCAACTCGTACTGCGCGTTCCACTTACATGAGCAATGCTGGCGAGATAGAAGGGTGTTGCTTCGCTCATGGTGGAAGTACGGATATTCTGAGTATACAGTGTACAAGGGCCTGATTCGAATTTGATTGCTCTGCGATATCTGAGATATTGATGTAGGAGGTCAAGTGGAGTGACTGGACAAGCAAGGCTGACAATGACGAGCTGTGAGAGTTCGAGCACCGAAACTCTACCGCATAGCTTTGAGCATTGATGGACGTCATGCTACATTGGAGATGCTCTGAGGTCCGGGCCGCCCCACATGATGGATACCCCGACTATCCGAACCACGGTGAACCAGGGCTGTTGGTGCGCATCCACGCGTAGATCCTAGCGCTAGATGTTGATCCAGAGAGACGGCGTCCAGGTCCCCCGCTTTGGTCGTCGGATGTTGACCGACGTCCCATACCTTTCGCTTGATGTATCAGGTCAACTCCAACGCTTCTTTTGTTGCTCTGAGAATCGCTGACATGTAGACTGTCGTGAAGGCTTCTCGTGGTTCAATTCTGACCATGACGGAGTAATGTATATCCTGCAAAAGCCACTTCGCTCTCGCAGGACCCGGCGCCGACGACGATCCACTAGTAAAGGTCAGATACTCGGAGGTTTCTACGATGACATAATAAGACAGAGTAAAAAGGCATGCTTCAAGACGCCAGCAGCATCCTCCCATTGCTGACGAAAGATGCATCCAATTGAGGACGCGAGCTTCATGTGTAGAGCCAAATGTTGACCAATACGATAGCATCGATCTATGACGCGCCAGACCGCGCTCGCCCCACGACGCCCACGGGGACAGCGACCTCTCAGCCATCCTTGAGAGCGGAGAGCATCTTACCAGGAACGATCGTCTAGCCTGGAAGCATAAGGAAGCTGGCACTGCGCGCTCGTTACCGGGACAAGATCACACGCGCACTAGGTATCAACAGACACAGAAGGTCCATTGCTCGAGAGTGCAAGAGATCGAATGAAGCTCATGCTGAAGCCAAACATAGATGGCTCGAAGTATGCCGCGAGTGTTTGCGACGCTGTATGCGCGGTGGTTGCTCCCTGCGACGGTCACACGAAGTGAACCTTCCGCTACCTCTTCAGGGAGAGGTTCAGGCAAACTTCGTCTTGCTGCTTCAGATCGTCGCGCCACAACGTTCAAACAGTGCAACAAACGGGGCTCGTTCCTCAACATTCAATTCTCACTTGCGCAAAGGTCGCAGTCCCTTGGTTGCAGCGTTGCGCTTATCAGACGGTGGCGGCTACTCCTCGCTTTCCCTCGAGCCGTATGCGACTTCTCCACCCTTACTCGTTGAGCGCGTTGACCTCTTTCCTCGAAGACCAACCAACCACCCGCTTGAACCCCAAGGAAAGTGCCCCACCACCTCCGATGTTCGCATAGGCAAAAGCCATGACGCAGCAAGAGTACGGCTATCAATCCATTTACAGAGACCCGGTGAGTAGCGCAACGCGAATGAGATGGTTGCAGAAGCTCATGGACTTTATGGCACTTACGGCTGTCAGGCATAGAAATTCCAAGCTAACAACCAAGGCGCAGGTATACAATTCGGACGGGGACTTTCTCGGGTTTTCTCTAAACATTCATGAACACGCTAAGCAGTACGGCTACTGGCGATTTGCAGACGATATAGAGAACCGGCACGCCATCCGAGCACACAACTATGGCTTTCGAAAACCCGAACTGTTATTCAGTGCGTACAATCAGAACGCCCGCGGATTATGGCACGTTGAGATCAAGTTGACCTGGTACCCCGGAGAGAAAGACCCCTATCAGGTCCGTCGCACAGGCACCACTGGCCAACATATGGCCAACATCGCCGAAGAAAGGACGTTGGTGGGATTGCCGCCCTTACTGGCACATGAGATTCCGGTACGTGATTTCGAGATTTTGGGAGCATGGTAGTGCCTGTGATTTTCTGAATACAGGAAGCTTAATCATGTGAAGCCAAGGTGGATGCTTCCACAATGCTAATGTTGGCCAGTTGTATCCGGTCTCCCCTAATCATACGCTCCGTGTCCATCGACAAGGAGGCAGAGAGAACGATGATCAGTCTACAAGTTACCGAGAAGTTACAGAACCGCAATCGATGGAGTACACTTTTCCAGATGAGCAGGAAATAGGGCGAGGTAGTGTGCTTCAGGCAAGCGCAAATCAGATCCCATCACCATCCAGATGCCGTCCGGTTACCCTGGGTGGCGAAACGTCCGTAGGACAGCTCCCTCATGCCTCGGCACTGTCTCCGTTTCAGCAAGATCACGTCTGGGGAGCAGGAAGATTTGTCTTTGCGGCCCCGCAGGCGTCCAACCCGTCGCTTGCTGCGCAGACTCGAGCTCGGGCAGCTGCGCTCGTCGCCAACGCGCAGACTACCGCTACACATGATGCAGTGCCGCAGCGAACGATCGATAACATACCGTTTCATAAACAGAATGCGAGTCTAAGGCACGCAGGTCAATTGCAGGCGATTCAACGATGTGAGAGCCGGCGTGAAAATAGGTCTACCGGAGCCACCTCGTCAGCTCCAATGGTCATCCCAGATACACCACAGTCCACATCATCATCTCCATTGTTTAACCTAGATTCACCACAATTACGATTTTCCGAGATTTCGAGCCCAACAGTCATTCAAGATACACCACGGACATTGTCTCATGAGATCAAGGATTCTTCACCGACTCATGTGCGAGGCATTCCCTCACCAAGTTCCCTGTCAGGTGGAGCAATCCTTAACGTGCGCTCACCCGCTTCTGATCAGCTCCTTCAGGGGCTTTCTGACCAATTTGCCCCGCATCAATCAAGCGCTGCGCTATATCCCTCCCCAATTGCTACTCAGAGTGGTTCACCATTAAGTGCTCCACATGCTTCGATCAACCCCGCATCACCCTACTCGTTTCGCGGTATGTGCTCTCCAGCCCACACGAAACAGCCTTATTTGGATGTTCCCCAATCACCAAACCAGGGCTACCCGTCGGTAATGCCGAAAAAGAGTGCATCTGGTGAAGTGCCCGATGAGGCTTCACAACCAAGTCCACCCCATAGCATCCCCTGTCCACCAGCGATTCTCCTCAACGATGTTTCGGTCAACCAAGGTTTAAATGCCCTCCCGAAATCCAGTAACGTTGCTGATACACCAACAGAGCCTAACCATGATGTTACAGCGGGACAAAATCTGGAACTGATACTGGATTCTTATGACGGCATGAATACAGGAGTAGATACAGCAGTGGCGAGTTCAGATCACGACCTCGCGGCAATGCGGCTTTTTGATAAGATCTCAAACAGCTTTACAGAAACACTCGCGAAACCAACTCCACCAAACACAGCGACCAACGAAGGTCATAGTCTCCACGATCAGCGACAAGATGTTGAGAGTCAATCGTTAAACAGGAGCACGCCATCAGTGCTTCAGAGAGGTACAGCAGCTCGGAGAAATTCGGTAAGGACACCGAACGCTTATAACGGCATGTTCACAGAAGAGACTGGGGCAGTGGCAGCAGATCGCACTGACCTTGCGACTATACAATCTCAGCAAGACATCTCGGCTGGCTCTGCAAATATCTCGACAAGATCCGCAAGTCCACTTACGACGGCTGACCAAGATCACCGTCTGGGCGGTCAGCAACGCCATGTTGATGGTTCGTCTTTGGACAGCTCCTCAGAGAGCAAGCGTCGTCGGAAGACCCCTTTCCTTTCATCTAGCCCTCCAGGCACTACCGCTGAAACACATCCTAATCAGCAACAAGGGGATGGCCAAGATCATAGTTCAGCTATAGATCCGACGAGGCTGATATGCGCTTTTTGTAAACGCACACCTCCTACCGACGAGGCTTGGACCGTTCACTGCAACGACTGCACAGACGTTTGGTACTGTGGCAATTCTTGCCGAAGGAGAAGCTGGAATTCGCATGTATGGAATTGTAAAAACACGGCGGAACAAACACAGTCGACATTGTCGGAGACTCTAGTAGGGGAGTCTGAGATTCCGTCAGAAGAGCCTGAGATTCCACTAGAAGAGCTTGAAATTCCACCAGAAGAACCTGAGATCGAGCCTGATATCGAGCCTGATATTCCGCTAGAAGAGTCTGAGATCCCGGCAGAAGAGCTTAATATTCCACCAGAAGAGCTTGGGATTGGTGCGCACCTCGAGCCTAACGACGAATTCAACACAGCGTTAGTTCCTTTGAGCGAGGCTGTGCCATGTATGATCTGTGAAGGAACGAATGAACATCGCACTGATTGCATGGTTGCAGGTGAGTACTCTCGTTATGATTAGCGCGTAATGTGTGTATGGTAGTCTCGTACCGCATTCTAGGGAGAGTAGTTTGAGTACCTTGTGTCGGCCCGCGGGAGTGGCTAATACACATATGAGGCGTGCTCAAGCCGTCGTTCTCTGGTTGTTGTATCGCTTTGCTTTCCGCCTATCACATTCTTCTTTTTCGTTCCGGAGTTGCCAAAGGACGCTAATGAAAGCTGTGCAGGTGTTCGATTTGGACCATTGCCAACCTACAATGAAGTCATGGTTGAAAAATTACGAATTCGAGTCGAGCGACTAGATCCAGAGCAGTGGCGAAAGCACGAGAACCCTCCTGTCCTTCCCGAGCCGGGGCCTATACACAAGGTGCTGCCAGGATTGAACAAGATCATCAAGGAAGAAGCTAGCTATCAGAACGATCCAGTCCTCCACGAGGTCTCCGACCAGTGTCTTCCTATCATGTGGGCTTTTCGAAATGCTCCCAAGGTTGGTGTGCACTTGGTCTCGCCGTAAGTGAAGAAAATCCTTAGATCGGAGTCTCATATACTGACTACTAGGTAGGGAGGGTGAGGTATATGATCCAGACCACCCGGTGTGGGCTGAGAGTAAGCAGCTCGACGCAGATGAACGTGATGGTTAGGGGGGAGTCGGATCTATGAGAAATGGTGGGCACAGATTGATAGCAGCATTGTCATACATCGGCTTGCGCTTGATTCATCTGAGGCTTGAAGAGTTCTCCGGCAAAGATAGCTGGGATGACAGACCGATGAAAGACAGCGCGAAGCAAATTAACATAGTGCTCCGGGGTCGCAAACAACCCATCTCCAGTGGAGAAACACTCGACTACCTTTCCCTCTAGTGTCAAATATACCAGCCTCCCTGATCCCTCCGGTTTGGCCTTTACCTTTCCATCTACCGTCCTGTAACCTGTCGACGTTTGTCTCTTTTTCATGCCCGGGCGTGTCGAGAGATGGAATGTCATGTCTTTGATGCCTAGCAGCTTCCTGGACATGTGTGTTTCCATCTACTCTTCGAGTGTGACTCCAACGCTAGCCAGCATGGCATAAATGAAGATTTTACACTACTGTATGGATCTTGGGGATTAGGGTAATTCTCCCCATACTTCGAGTAGCTTTGTTGCAAAACAAACGCTTTCCCCATTTGCCGAGAGAGTTCCCTCCTTTAGCCCCTTACCAAACCAGATTGAAGCTCCTCCAAGGTGTATAGACAGCGGGGTTTGATCGCAAGTATCAATCCTTGCCCTACTAAAGGTGCCCCTGAACACGCTATGCGTGGGGTGGATCTGGACAAAGCAATCCACCTTCATCTTCGGTGGGGTAAAGGGATGTTTCGGATTGGCTTTCAGTGGAGAGAGAGGGTTTCCGCCAATGCACCTGTCCATCATGCCTACCTCCTGTCCTCTTTCCGAGGCAGCGCAAGCAACGAGCACCCAGGGCCCAGATTCCGTTGTGCCGCAGATCAACAAGAGCCTGAGCGAGGTAGCAGCCACCATGTTTCCGACGTCCGCGCATGGTCTCTCCGCAGGGTCACCTTGATACAATAGAGATAGCGTGTCCAGGAGCACGTGCGGCAGTACGAGACCAAGTTGACGATATTGAGGAATGCTGAGGAAAGACCGCTGGCCGGACGTTCCCGTGCCCATCATCTACTGTGCTTAGCTCACCACATATTGATGTAGGGACTCCGGACATACCGCGGGTGGTAGCTTCCAGCGATACTGCACCTGTGACGGCCCATCACCACGTCGCTGGTCAGGGAACTGGGAAGAACAGAAAGCAGCCAGTTCAATTAGCAGATGAGGCTATCCAGCATTTAGCACAGAGGTCTCAGTAGGGGTTCCGGAGGGCGAGGTACCATGGACCGTTCAATCCGTGCCCTGAACTGCTCCCAGTCGACGTCGACATTGTGCGGTGAGAAAACGCACAAGACAGCGCCAACTGCGTCGCGCAGTCCGTAGTTCTCCTCGGTACTCGGTGCAGGCGAGTTCTCTGCTGGTGCGGACAGAAGCAATCCGAGTAAAGCGTGAATGGACATGATTGAGACTCGACCATCGAGCGCCTGAGCGTGTGAGCTTGGGAGTGTGGCAGCCACGGGAACGAAGCGCGATCTATCAAATTTCTGCGGCTGGGGCATGCATGCGTACAAGACCGCAACAAGGTCCTCGTCGTCGCCGGCCGCCCTACCATTCTGCATCGACTTGGCCGTCCAGTCGGTGTCGCAAAGGCTTTGGAAGAGTAGCCTGCATCTATCGTCCCAATTACGAGGACGCTCAAGCACCATATGTGTCCGTCGCTGTTCCTGAAAGGAGATTGACCTTCGATCGTCCGCCACCAGCAGCGTTACCGCAATGGCAAGGCGTTCTGAGGTTAGGAAAGCATTTGGCTCTGGTTTGAACGGCCAGGCGCCGTGATGGAGGAGGATCCGATATAGAATCGGTCCTGCTGCACTAGCAACCTCGCTCGCACCAGGAAGCCGGTCGGCAAGAAAGGATACCGACGTAGACTCGGACCAATCTACGTTTGCATCAGTTAAACACAAACGAAGTTTTTACCTGCCGTGCTTACACGTGTCTTGTCCGTCTTCATAGCTATACTTGGCGAAACGCACGAGTATTGGCGTAGGAATGCCTGCGGGGTAAAGGTGCTGGAGTAGCGTCTGCTCGACGTGGCCTAGGGGAGATGAGCAGGCATGCCGCTAGCGCGGGGGTGGGGGCCACCATAGCACCTACGCCGCGATGGGTATATCTCGCAGAGCTCTGCTGTTGATTCGCGTTTGGGAGCGAGCCAGGACGTCATGATGATATTTTGTTGGTGTAGCATAACCGCACGGAGGAAGGCATCAAGGTCGCTTTATAGCTGGGGAAATTGGCCCCGTTTGAATTTCTGCCTGTTGAGACTACCACGCCGCAAATTGATGGGACGTAGCCTTGCGCTCACCTTTGTCATGAACAGACCGTGTGACTGGTAATATACTTGGGTATTTGCGCCCGAGAAGATCGCTTAAAATATATGTACAGACCGAAAATCTTTCAACATGGCTACCTCTCTGATTTGATGCAGACTTCCGCACTTGTGACGCCATCCCTGTGTCCGGGAAGTACTAGTAGAGCATCTGGAAGCGTGTGTAGCATGGAGAACGACATCTCCGAGGTGATCGACGTGAACCCGACTCATATCGCTGCTTTCTTACTCGGAACGGTGGGCAAGGGAAGATCGGATGTGTTGTCGTCGCCGCCTCCTTTACAAGGCTGGTTGAAGTACGTGTAGGCGATATCCGTCGCGGGCAGATTTCGTACGAAATCGATGCGCTTCGTGTCGTTGCTCTGAGGGAAGAATTAGCGGCTATACACACACTTGAAACATCAGACAATACTGACCATCCTAGCGAAGAACATGTTCGCACCACGATCAACACCATCCATCCATATGCCCTGCTGTTCGACCCAAGTAAAGGAGCTGTCTCCGACACCCTGAACAGACATAGCCTGTTTGTTCTGTCCCTGATTAGCGTAAACAGACACCTGACCAGTTTTCTTGTCCACAGTGAGATAGTCGGCTTTTCCATCGTTGTTGACATCGGCGAATCGGGTCTCTGCACGGTCCTTGCCAACGGTGTATTTGACCTGGCCGACGTTCGAGAAACCCTTCTCGGTATTGAGGATAGCACTCGTTGTGCCGGCCGTGTCGAGACAGAGATAGTCGACGCGTGCGTCGCCGTCGATGTCAGCGAATCGTACGCCCAAGTCGTACCGAGAGACACCCCATCCTTGGGCGCAGTTTCCTGCAATGGCCTGACCCCTGTAGGCGAACGTAGGGGATACCTTGGTAGCCTCCCAGGTATTCTCCCACCAGTCGACTGCACCGGACTTCTTGTCAACGGAAAGAATGTCACAGAGGCCATCGCCGTTCCAATCCCCAAAGTGAATGCCCTTTCGGTCGCGGCCGACGTTGAAAATCTCGTCGTGCCCTTTCCAGTTCGGGAGGTTGCCGGTGTTCTCGAAGAGATTGACGTTGCCAGCCTCGTAGACCCAGAGGTAGTCGTCGTGACCTCTACCGAACATGTCGCAGTAGTACACACCATCCTGTGCTCTGTCAGCAATGTCATTGATCAGTAGGGCATGGTATTGACTTACTCCCTTGACTTTCTTACCACCGTTTCCAGTATTCTTGTAGATCTCGAAATCGTATGTGTGTTTCCATGTCGAACCGTCTTTTACGTTGGTCTCCTTGACAGCGATGTAGTCAGCTCGACCCGATCCGTAGATTCTGCCAAATTTGAAGTAGTCCACGGTTCTGTCGGCAAAGCCTCCACCGTGCGCTGCAGAAGCTTCGATCCAATGAGGCTTCAGTCCTGGACCATCTTCCTTCGTGCCACGTTGATTGATGAAGATTCTGGTCTTGCCGATGGCAGTTATCGAGATAATGTCGGATCTGAAGTCACCGTTGATGTCCACTAGACGGATGCTGGCTGCATCTCCGATGTTTGCAATATCAAATGCGACGCCTCCGACCATTGTCTCCCAGGTCGGTTTGTCCGCGACACCCGCATTGCGCCAGCAGTACAGGCCTGTACCTTTGATGACGCAATAGTCAAGCCGGCCGTCACCATCGATGTCGCCAAGACGCACGAACTCTTGGGTCGCTTCCCCAGGTTTGACGTTGTCAAGGTATTCAAACGTTGGAGGATTACCACCCTTATTGATAGACACGTACATGTTGCCCTCCTGTTTCAAAACATCAGTCAGAATTCTTGGTCAAGGGCTATGGCGCGAAAAACATACAGGACTTATGCAGATGAAGTCATCCAAGCCATCATTGTTGATATCTCCCCAGTGCGCACCACGGTTGTTGCAACCCATCTTAGGATCGAAGGTCGTCCAGCTAGAGGCAAAGCTTCCTCCGTTGTTCTGCTTGAAAGAAAATTTTGGAAGACCAGTGTCGGCAACTGGTTGCAGGGTATCAAGAATGCGGACGAGCTCATCAGTTTCCTGACCGCGATCAACAGGGTTGACAAGCTGTGCGAAGTGATAGTTCTTGACCCATTGGCCCTTGGTCGCGGAATTACTGTTCTCGTGCAACGAGTCGGACGTCACGACGCCCATACCTTGTGAAGCATGAGCGTAGGTGCCATCGTCCGCTCCACTGCCGCGCTGGGTCTGAGTAGCCGCGCTGAAACTGGCCGGTGAGGTATTGCAATCGTAGACATCATCGGGCTTTCCAGTATTGATGGGATTCTTGATCCAACCTTTATTGACCACTGCCACGAAAGCTTTATCCCAGACTGCAGCCATTTTCTTGTACCCTGCGTCAGTTGGGTGAGTACCGTCTGGAAGATCTGATTGGACAATAAAACCGGTGTTCATGTCGGCAAGTTGAACCTTTTTGCCCGCAGATTGATACGAAGTGACGAGACTACGGAATCCTGCATTAATGGTGCCCGCATAGTTGTTTGCAGCGGCATTGCCGTTTGGAAGCAATGTCGATAGGATGACGGTCACGTCGGGAACCAGGGAGAGAATGTCATCGATCATGTCTTTCATGCGACCTTGGGCTCCTTGTGCAAAGGAGGCACCTCCGTTTTGATCGGCGCGTAGGGCATCGTTCGTGCCAGCATTGATCAAGACAAGATTAGGCTTCTGGTCGATAGCGCAGGAGACCTTCGCCGCGACTTCAGTTATAAGAAAGCCGCGGTGGCCTTCATGCTGCTTGTCTCTCATCTGTCCAGAGGATACACATCCGATCATATTGACATTGTAGCCACGCGATCTGAGCTGGTCCCTGAGTGGCTTTCGGTACCCGTTGTGAGATACGTCATTGGATGTTTGGCCGTCACCGCGCTGGCCATCAGTGATAGAAGCACCGAGCGGCATGATTCGCAGCCACTCTCCGGCGCGAGGAAAGAGTTCCTTGTGGTCCCATTGTGTGAAGTCCTCGAGATTGTCGACGCTGTGACGGGACACACGTTGGTAGGGGTACGGGCTAGCAACAACGTTGCCGAAGATGGAAAGCTGTATTAATAGACAAAACAAATTACGAATAGATATATAGTAGGACATTGTAACGAGGGAACAGCTGAGACAGCAGCTGCACTGTAAAGTGTGGAAGAATCGCTCTAAGGAGAGACTGAGTCTGAGTGCTGGCGCGCACCCTGGGGAGAGTAGAGTCACTCAAGGAATGGACGAAAATTGGGTAGACAAAAGTCCCTACGCATACCGTGCGCCTGACCGGATGTCCGCTCGTTTACACCTCAGCCAGAACCACGCCCCCGGAAGATAGAGCGCTAATCTTAATGTTGGTCATGCCGCATAGGATTGGGGTCTATTGTCTGCAGCAAAGCCCACGTGCTGGCTCAAGATGCTGACAATCAGGAGCAAGAAGAAGCTAACGGGCCCGAGTAACGTAAATTTGCGCCGGTGAGCATCAGCGAGGTGAGCAGGAGCGCAAGCCGATTCCATCTGGGCCGATTCATGCCTGGAGCAGGCAAGGTCTAGGCCGCGACAGTCGTATTATTAGCCGAAAAGGGGCCCAGTTCAGGAACGGACATAGACTTGCCTGATTCGTACGTTTTCCCGCTGCGGCTAACGCCCACAGGGCTGACGTGTGCAGGGTTGTCAGCAGCATTGATTGACAGAAACCATGTCTTGATAGGGGGAGGATGGTGTGCTGTATAAGGCTGTACCACGCTCGAGGCTGCAAGTGTGGGGCGCGAACGTTCGAAGCAATATACCTGAGCGGCATCATTAACACAGTCAAATAACGTGTTGATTTGATTTTACTTTTATCCCGCCGGGTCCTTCGTAGAAACGCGCCGTGGCTTTTGTTCTAGGCGTGATGCGCACTCGGTGTCGTGATTGTGGATCCATTGAGACGGTACCGCGTTGAGGCGATTTTCGCACCAATGCAAAACAAAGTCCACGATACGATAGCGTCAGGCCGATCCTGTAGAAACTTCAATGACAGTACTACCCTACCCGCATGACGACTTTTTCGACGTTTACGCTTGGAGGGCAAGATGAAAATGACGCAACGTCGGTGCCTTGTCACGGTCAACGCACTGGCAAGCATTTCACGTGATGCAAACGCAACCTTGGAATGCTGACCGCTTTCGAATTGCAACTTCGATCAGCATCTGACGAAACCGATCGTCGACTATACGCAGGAAGAAGCCAGTCGATTACTTTAAAAGGTTAGTGATCAATTTGCTTCTTCCTTCTCCAACTCCACAGTCCATAGATGAAACCGGCTCCTCGCCCTCAGCCAACTTCCCCACTTCCAGAACACCCACGGCACTGGCGCAAGCCCCACTGCAATGAATGCCAGCGTGCTACTCGCCCAAGGCGTGCCCATCTGCGAATACATCCGCCTCGCAAACAACGGGAAGCCCGCGCTGAACAGCGACCTCATAACCGCATTAGCAGCCCATGCGCTCGCGGAAAATCTCCCATAGCAATCACTCAGGTACGCGTTCGTGCCTAGAAATAAGGTGACAAAGCCTATACCGAAGGGCACGCCCGCAGCGATAGGAACGATCGGATGGGCAGGTGGAAGAGCCGTCCAGCCAAACCAAAAAAGCGCGATTGGGATCAGCCACGCGAGGATGATCAGGTGCGGGAGCCTCGCTTCGGGTTTTGGACCAATCTTCTTCACAACTACGCCATGCAGATCGTTGATCCATGGCGAGCTTGCCGTCGCCATAACCATACCAACACCAATGCCAACGAAAGACAACCCGGACTTGCCTTGAGTCCAGTGCCGGCCTTGTTGAAAAACGAAGGGGTAAGCAGTGAAGTCCAGGTACAGAATGCCCCATACGAAGGCAGAGTAAAGGCCTAGCGTGAACAATATAGGTTCTGTAAAGAGCATGATCCAAGGACGTGTCAAATCCTTCGCGTACCGTTCTTTGAATGACATCCGGGCGGGCTTGATACCTGCTTTCTTTTTCTTCCATCGGAGTAGAACCGTAGCGTACGTCTCGGGAAGAAGGAAAAGCATTGCGATATAGACTGCGCCAGAGACGATGGTCACGATCCAGTAATGCCATCTCCAGCTGAGGTGTTCCGCCACGTAACCTCCCACCACTGGAGCAACCACCGGTCCCAGTGAACTCCCAGTCGTAAAGAGCGCAAACGGGACGGACCTTTGGCGCTGCGGCCAGATGTCTGTCAGACTGCCGCCACTGTTCGTGACTGAAGGCGCACCAAAGAAGCCGCAAAGGAACCGTAGTATGAGCAATGCTGCTATATTCGGCGAAAGCGCACACGCCAGATTGAAACAGCAGAATAGCCCCAACACAATTCGAAAGATCAACGTACGTCCCAGAACCTCCGATAGAGGAGCGAAGAGCAATGGTCCTGTTGCAAAGCCGAGCAAGAAAGTGGTTACTGGTAGCGTTGCGACCGTTTTGGAAACTTTGAAAGACTCAGATACTCCATTGATGGCGGCGGTATGGATACTGGAGGCGAAAGTGACGTTTGCAGTCATGAGGACGATGACCAAGGTTGCGGACCACTTCTTGAATGCGGGCCAGTTCGTTGGAAGTTCGTCAGGTTCGAGCTGTATCGCAGTGGATATGGAAGACTGCTCATTCGTCTGCTCGATGGGTTGGTTCTTCTCCAGGTGTTGCTCCACAGTTCGGTCGAAGATCTGAATCGGCTGCCCCATGATAAAAGTAATTTCTGAATTAGGGGAATGGGTATACATGAATTCACTGAACGACTGAACCGGCGATGTCTACCTCTAATGATATACAGGCGCAAAATAAGTACGCAAGCATGTATAACACATCTTGAAGGTCAGCCCTAGCCTTGATCAGTATACAAACTCTTGAGACCGCCCTTTCGCAAAGTATTACTGCTCCAAAGGATAGGCTGTCAAATACATAGGCTCAAGAAAACAGCCCAGACATATCTTGTATGAATCACTCTAGTTGTTGGTAACGACCAAGCGAAAGACGACCGCGATCGGAGGCCAGGGGTAGACTCCGATTCGCTTCTCATTGAACTCCGAACTCCGATGCAAGAAATTCGCAGAGGGCGTATCGTGAAGGACATTGGCGGAACAATCGTAAAGGATGACTTTGCTTTCGTTGATTCAAGAAGCCGAAGTATGATGACCAGATCAATCTGATCGTTGGCCTTATGGATGCAAGCAGCATTGGTGCCATGGTGCAATACCTAAAACGATCAGGATCCGGCATTGGCAAAACGTTCTTGGCTACAATAGAAAGTAGTTTGCTGAGGTCATGGAGATATGGAGAACTTCTAGCCGGTCCATGTTGTCGCGTAGCCTCCATCTACTGGATAGTTTATTGGCTCGCTGCCGAAATTGATCGGATCGCCCCAGAAGCCCTTGACAGTGTCAGCAACGCTTTCGTATTTGAAAATCCACACTTACAAAGTCGAACTCCGGCAATTCCCCGTTGGTTTGCGTACCGCCGAAGATATTGTCAAAGTTGAAATCATTGAAATCGATCTCCGACTGTTCATTCGGTTGCAGTGGCTGCAACACTTCTGGCTGCGGGTTCATGGCCGGCGCCATCATTGGCTGAGGTGACTCCTGTTTCGGAAATGAAGTTATTGGTTGGGGGTACATTGCTAATCCATCCAGGGGAAGGGACGTCGTTATCGATTGTGGTGCATTATTGTAAGACAACGGGGAAGCGTCCGACTGGCTTGACTGTGTACTTTGCTCGCCAACAAGCCTATCGATCATGCCCTTAACTACCTGCCATGGCCGGGTGTGATTCTGTTCTTTAAGCAGTCTAGATAGTTGAAGCGCTCGGATGGCGCGATGTCGATCTGGAGCGTCGAAAAGAGGGTTACGTAGTTCGGAGAGGACGTGCCTAATCGAAGAGAGACATAGTTAGTTGGGGCAAATTTGGTGCGTATTTTACTTCACGTACATAATGGCTTGGAACGCAGCGTGGCCTCCTAGATATGTTAGCTACATCAAACAAGGGTAGTTGAACACATTACCTATGTGCCACTGAAAGCGGGCAGCGTCTACGTCTGCCGTGGCACCATTCAGAGTTTCAATCGTATTAACCGACTTCTCGAAAATGCTACAAAAGGCGTTAGCTGGTGATGGATCCTCAACTTTGGTGATACTGTAGTACTTACGATTTCCTAACATCGATTGAAAAAACTACGTCTCGGAAAGCCCGCGGCATTCGAAGCCAGAATAGCACGTAGCACCGCCACTCAAGCAAGGTTGCTAGACCCAGAGTCAATCTCTGTATCGGAACATCGGGACTAGCAAATCGCAGATATTTCCTGTAGTTATTCTGGTGCATCTCCTCGACCATATTCTGGATCTGCTGATATATAGTCTGCAATTCCATAGCCGGATCGGGTCCGGATGTACCATGCAATCCGGATTCTAGCATGCGCCGCTCCAGGCGATAAGTGCTTTTGATGATTTGTCTCGATGCTCGCAAGCCAACGAAGCGGATCAATGGGTAAGTCATGGAAGTCCACCGCTCCTCATTGTAAGGGGTCGCTCCTGGACTCTGTCCCTCAATCAATTCTTCATCTTCAATGTTGCGAGGTAATAGTGTGGTGTAGTCATCCTCGGCTATGCTTGGCTCCTGTCCTTTAGCTTCGGCAGCTCTGAATTCAAGAGAGCAGATCTGATGCCAAACCCTCCGTCGGAGTTCGACAGTGACCACATCGAACGTGCCAGATGGAAACAAGGAAGGGTCTCGATGCAATCCTTGGTTCAAAGCTATCCGTATGGCGATACCCAGGAGCGCCCATGCCTTGCCTGGGTCGTGTTAAACGTGCTTGCATAATTATGCACAGGTTTTGACGCACCTATATCCTCTTCTCTGGTGATACATGTCAACCAGATTATAAAGGCCTGAAGAAGTTCGAGGCTTGGACTAGTGAGATAATTCCCACGTGCCAGGCCGACTTCTACACCCAACACATACTTCGCCATAAGTTCATCTCTTGACTCTCCAAATCTGCTTTCAACCACTGCGGGTGGTAATGAATTGATAGCTGAATAGAAGATAGCGAACACAAGTGGATGCACGTTTTGAACATAGGTAGGGAGTTTGCTCACCAAACTCGGCCTATGGGTGATTCTGACCACGGGGTCGACATTGGAGAAGTATATGTCGAGAAGTGCATCGCGCTGTTCCTGGGATTCAGGTATCAGCATTTCTAGCGAAACGCCCAGTTTCGCTCGGCCAAGACTGATGGCATGAATGAGATTGTTTTGCGTTGGCCCATCTGAGTTTTCATCCGTTTTGTCGCCCAAGAGCGCTTTGATATCTTGAATCTACTCACACGATGAGAATCATTATGCGAAAGGAACAGGGCGTTGTTTACCTCATCAGCTAGAAGAGCATAGTGCAAGGACGACACAAACTTGCTCTGTCCACCATCGAGAAGGAGCGTCCCATGGTTGTTATCCGAAGATATACCAGCAGCTCCCTGTGACGTCTGGCTCGTCGCCGATGGCGAGAATTCGGAGTCAAGCCCATGCTCTTCTTCATGGCGAACATGTTGCGGTGGTTGCTGCTGGTGTGGCGGGTTCCCCGATACTGCCTTTACCAGGAGTGATTCAAGCCGATCTAAGCGTGCCTGTACATCACCATTTCTCGACGATTTGGCATTGCCGGCAACTGCCGGTTTTGAAATTCGACTTCCGCCTGATCCCACAGCTGAGCCGAGCATCTGCTCGGAGGCGTAGGTACACACATGATTGCCGCGCGTGCATGCTCCGCAGACTGGGTGAACATGATCGCATCTGACTTTCCTTCTCCTGCAGGTAAGGCACGATGAAATAACGCGCTGTCGACCTCCGGAGTGTTTTGGCGCGGCGCCAGGAGAGTGTGGTGTTGAGCTCGGTCTCGATGAATCTGTCATGTCCGTATGACTCCTCGAACCAAATCAGCCGAGGTGGGTGAGACGAAATGCATGAACGACTGGGAGACGACGGCTTAGAAGGAGGAGGTTTCGCGTTACTCCGGTACGCTACGCTATTGGGCCTTTTGCCGATCCAAGCTAGAGCAGTTGAATCGAGAAACACTTACTGCTTCGGTGACGGACTCACTTCCAACGTTTGCGGCTCTGCTACGTCGAGCGATTCCAAGGCGCACGGCTATGAGGAGGGAGATTTTTCGTCATAGACGGTTCTACTTACTCGAAATCGGATCGTCCGATTGGTAGGAACACCAGCCACGTACCTCGGCACGCAATGACAAAGCAGCCGACCCTACGCCAAACCATAATGTAAGCGGCGATCCTCGATACCAATGCAGCTGATTTTGATTAAGCACGTGACAGCGCGGGAAAATGAGCCGCGTCGAAACCTTTGGACTATGCATCGACGACCTACTTCCCTACTTGAGGTTCCTGGACACGCAGCTTGGTCAATTGGGCATGCTGAAGTGTTTTGCGCTCCCATGCCACTCCAGCAGGTAGGGAGGCGCTAAGGTGTGCCTCGCGTGAGCTTGAAAAGAAGCTCCACAGTGAGTGGAGTTACACTCTTCCCTCCTATTGATTCAATCAATAATAGCCGAAGCGCAATTGTGCACTTCGCCTTTCGCGACTACCAGGTGTGCAGCAAGTAGCTATGGTGTTCTGCTCTTGCTAGAGACAATATTAGCGCTGTGGTCGAACAGAACACGGGGAACTTTCGTCGATGGCTTACATGCTTGGTTATATGACTACCTCGAGGTATGCTCGCTTTTATAATGCGTTCTTCCACCAAACGAACAACTCTCCCGGAGCTCACAGCCGTCTTGTCGCCGGCGGCATTAGGAATAGTTCAGACCGCGGACGATAGTTTCATGTACAGAATCCTATCTTTGAGTTCGTGAAAGGGAATTTGCTGTATCGAGTAGAAGTATACATGTACGTGGATCGCGCTTTGTTGCCTTGATGAAGTCTAGTGCTGAGTCTATTGCTCACTCTGATCCAGGTGAGTCGGCCAATGACGCTTCCGATGGTGTTTGCTCCGTCCGACCATCGCGATTGGTCTCCTCGCTTTAACACTTTGTACCAGACGACTGCTTCTTAGCACTCTCTAGCACTTATGTCAACCTATTGTGGAGCGTCATTCCTCATTTAAGATCCACATGCAGGGGAGCTATACGAGTTACCTTGCAACCTCAGCCTATGTCTTGCCTTATTACCTTTTCACTTCTAGCGAATTGCCCCTTTCAAGTATGCAGACATATTCAAATGTAGTTAATATCTCGTACAAGCTTGCTGCTATCGCTGCTCTTGGCGAATGAAGTCGAACGGATTCAATCTTGAGTACGCACGGCAGCGTGCCTAAGTGTAAGCGCTGCGCTCACTCAAACCTAAGGGAGACGTGGAATCATGCGCGGTGCATTAGACTAATATCTCTCACCACACAAAACTCAGTCGTGCCCACAAGACACCTCTACCTTTGTGCATATCCATTCCCATCAATTGAGAATAACAATGGCTCCCAACTATCACACCAAACTCTTCATCAACAACGAGGTACGCTCTCTCGAGAATCACTCCAGAACATCGCATGCCTTACTCTTCACGTGTACTTCGTTGCTTCCCTAGATCAGATGCTCCTTCCCGACGATTTTGCTGTTCCCCAACATGACTTCCGCCCCTCAACATGCTTTTCCCTTCTTCTCATCGAGACCGTTTCTCGGCGTCCCAGCAATGCTGAATCTCACAGTACGTTGACGGTCATTCTAATGACCGTCTGTCGATATACTCTCCGCACGATGAGAGCCTAGTCGCATCTGAAATTCAATGCGCCTCCCAGTCCGATATCGATACCGCTGTTGCCGCCGCCAGGGCGGCTTTCAAAGGCGAGTGGTCAACATGGACTGCGCGACAAAGAACAAATGTCAGTCAAGCTTCTCCTCACCTCGTTTCAAGGCTCTATTTAGGCCACAATGCCTTGGTTGCACCTTCCCCGCTTTTGTAAACCCTACTTGCTAATATTGTCCACCCACATAGGTTATGCTTCGTTTCGCGGATCTGATCGATAAGCACACAGATGAACTCGCGCCATGGGAGGGCCGCTGCATGGGGCAGCCACTTGCGGTGACGAAGATGATTTACGGGATGCTCAGCGAAGTCCTCAGATATTAGTATGGATGCGCTTTCCGCCTTCTCCCCTCCTAATGTTATGTTCCTGTGCTAAATTTCAATGTAGTGCGGGCTGGACAGACAAAATCGCCGGGGAATCTTTCACGGAAGCAAATGGGTCCTACAAGGTACCTTTACTCGATTCAATCGATGGAACATACACCGTACTGACCGCTTTCCAGATTGTTCAATATGACCCAATCGGCGTCTGCGCGGGAATCGGTGCTTGGAATGCCTCCCCTGTGTTCTTTGGGTTGAAAGTCGCTGCTGCGATGGCAGTCGGATGCACATTCATTTACAAAGGAAGCGAAAAGAGCCCCATCGGAATTTTGGGCCTGGGTGATTTGATCAAGGAAGCTGGATTTCCGCCTGGTGAGCCATGGTTCGTACCCGGGTCGATGGAGACAGACTGATTGCAGCCCAGGTGTGATTCAGATTGTCACTGGCGATGGGAAAGTTGGCTCAATGCTGGCCAGTCACATGGACATCAACAAGATCTCCTTTACAGGGTCGGTCTTCGCAGGCAAGAAAGTGCAGGAACTGGCGGCGAAGAGGTGAGTCTTGATATGCGGTCATGCCTCAAATATCTCTGCGGCTGACTATCGTACAGTAACCTGAAGCGTGTCGTTCTTGAGCTAGGAGGTAAATCTCCGTCCCTCATCTTTTCCGATGCCGACCTGGACAATGCACTGGAGCACCATAGTCAGAACTTCCTCTTCAACACGGGCCAAGCTTGCATTGCCGCGTCACGAACCTTCGTTGAAGAGTCCATTGCTCCCAAATTCGTCGAAGAGCTGAAGAAGCGGTACGAAAAGCTTGCTCATACAACTGGAGACCCGGCAGACGTGAACACGTTCCTTGGGCCCGTCGTAGATGGCAAGCAGTTTGAGCGCGTGATGAGCTTCCTCGACATTGGGAAGAATGAGGCCGAGCTGGTGACGGGTGGAACGCGGCGTGGAGAGAAGGGGTTCTATATCGAACCAACCATCTTCCTGAATCCCAAGGACGATGCGCGCATCTATCGCGAAGAGATATTTGGGCCTGTGATGACCATCCGAACATTCAAGACGGAAGAAGAGGCAATCAAACTGGCCAACGATACCGCCTACGGCTTGTCTTGTAAGCGGGCTATGTCGACCTTTGAAGTTACCATGGTTAATCCGTCGCAGCATGCATTTTCACACAGTCTGCAAGCCGCGCACTCAGGCTCGCCAAACAGATTGACGCGGGTATGGTGAACGTCAACTCGTCGCAGATATTCGCTTTCGATGCTCCATTCGGAGGATCCAAGCAATCTGGTCTAGGACGCGAAGGTGGAAAGAATGGCCTGATGCATTACGTCGAGGCAAAGACTATCTTCTTCAAGTGCGTGCTCATCCTAAGAAGCCTTCGGATACTGACCGTGAACAGCATGGCGGTGTGAGGATCAGACGAAAAGCAACACGTGCAACGTGGACGAATAGCAGCAGTCGAGCTATGGCGAAGAGGGCAACCTGTCAATGAAAGTAGTTTTGGTACAATCGTCAAGCGAGCAATGTCAATGTTGGTGTACGACGCCATGGAGCGCTTCGCGAGGCTTACGGGGTGGGTCGGCAGGGGGCCAGCCGGCACGACACCGAGTTGTACCCTGGTTCTCGCTAACCCAGGTGCCATTCTCATCACGCTGCCGAGTGATGATCCATCCAAAAATGAAGCTGGAGAAAGGAATTCTGTGTGGCCGGTAAATCTACAGCGCCTGTATACCTAGGTACAGCTGCATGTTTCAAGCGCGGGGCTGGGCTCGTTGAAACACACCCCGTGCTCAACGACAGGCCCCGGGGCGGACCACTGCGTGACGGGCGGGCGCCGGCGCGTGAATGGCCCGCAGCGTTCGCGCCCAGCCGCCACCACACGTCGCGGACTGGTGGTGGACAGAGCTCCCATGCCACTTCGTGCCGTGCCCTGACCAATATGAGTGCGTCCCCGCGTCCCCAATTGAAAATGCGTCGTCCTGTCCCAGCTTGCGCTCCGCATCCGACGGGGCAGACCCAATTCTACGTCGCTGGGTAGATCTGGCAAAAGAGGATAACCCTGGGGCTGAATTGATCCATCTTATCTGACCTCACCAGCTTGGAGCTTATCCGACAGCTCGCCGTACGCTGCACACTGTAGCACTTCTTTGGTACTGTCACTGTTCCTGTGTATAGCTCGCGCAGCATGTACGCCCGGCCATGAACGAGCCTGATCCTGGTGCGCTCTTCCCATGAGACTGTCGGTGGCAGCTAGAGCTGACTGAGCGCAGCCGTACGCGATAGCACACTGAGCGCCCTCAAGGTGGTCTGTCCCTCCGCCGAGATGCTCTCCCAGGAATCTAGCCCTCGGCATAACCCCTTCGCCGCTGCCGAGGCAGACGTGGAATGGTCCGACGAAGAGGTGCTGCTGCCCAAGAGGAGGAAGACGCCCTATATACCATCACAGATCAAAGTCGCGCCTCGGATATCCTTGTCTCCGGCTGATACATCCTCGGATGAAACAGACTCGCGGGGGCTCAGTCCAAATCGTCTGAGCGTCAATGGCTCGCCGCTCATACCGCCAAAGTCGCCGTCACGGCCAGATGTTCGACCGGGGAGCAGCCAGGACGATCTCGTCAAGCGCTTCTACGACGTGACGCGCGAACGGGATGCACTGAGGAAGGAGCTTCAGAGGCAATCCATGGGCCCTCATGGAATTCCCGCCCACGCCTCAGTGGTCTACAAATCCGACGAGAAAACCCTCATCGAAGAGCTCCTAGGCCTCCGCGAAGAAATCCGCATCTGGACCGAAGAGTACTTCACAGGCACACCTTCCAGTTCCCGCCGACGTCCCTACCTGCACACCTCCAAAGAGCTCTTCAGCTCCTTGACTGACAACTACACCACCTACCTCAAACACCCCACCGACCGGCCCCTCCTCATCCAATCCTTCCTCTGGTCCAAACTCCAACACCGCATCTTTAGCACCCTAAGCAAAGGCTGCGGCTACATCTGGGCAGGCAAACTCGGGGACCGCAAACTGCGTCCTATAAACGACACGCTGCGCAAAGGTATATTCTTCCCGCGCTCGAATCTGCCGTCCTCGTACTCACAAGGGCTCTCAGCGGTCAGGAACGAAGCGCAGGCGGAGGAGTACCATCGGTGGCGGGCGCTCACAGTCAACCTCCTTGTGCCGCAGGTCGATGGGAAATGGAGTCCGACATTCGACGCCGCTCCCGTGCTAAAGTGGATCAAGCGCTTTTGCGCGCGGCTGAGGAGGAGGTTAAGGCCGTGGGCATGTAGGCGATTGAGGGAGGGGAAGGATCAGCTATACACTATCGTGTCGGCGGCAGTAGCTCTTGATCTGAAGATGAAGAAACAGCGCGCGGATTATAGATTCATCACTTGGACGGGAGGCAAACCCACTCAGTTTTGGGGTTATGGGTTCTATGACTCGGAGATGGATGATATAGAGAGTGAGGACGAGGGGTACAGAGGCGGGAGTGTGATCAGTGGAGCGAGCAGGAGGAGGAAGCGCGTGGAGATGACTTTGGCGCCTGCGCTCGAGAGGTGCGGGAATGCGAATGGGCATGTGTTTGATCAGAATTTTATATTAGTCAAAGCGGATGTTACTTGTAGACGGCTGGAGAGGGCGAGAGAGATGGGCAGGAGGAAACCGGGGTTCTTCAACAGAAGGTAAGGTTGATGAGTGTTAATAGAGTGCGAGGTACGGCAGTACTTCGGTGCCGGAGTGAGAGGGCAGTGTTGTATGATGACGATAGTTACGAGGATACGAAGCGAGTATTGATTGTGTTTATGCTCGCTGATTAGCTTCTATATTGGTGAACTCCGTGCCATGGACATCACAGGAGCCACCTTCTACACCAGCTCTGCAGCAATGACTATACCAGCATAAGCCCGCGGGCAATGCCAGCTCTCCTTATGCCTCTCCATGATGTACATACTAACGCCAAACACCACCCAATGCATCGCTATAAATCAAGGCGCGAATAGCCCCCTCCACCCCTCCTGGTCCCGCATTCCCTTGTCCACGTCCAATCACTCCACCATCCCAGCCCGTGTTACTAGCAAAAGTATCCTAAGCCTTCGCCCCCACCGTCCGTATCTGGAATACCGCCCCCGGCAATCCACTCGTCTCCGCGCTCACGCTCGCCTCAACCCCAAGCCCCGCGAGACAACCCCTCACCACGCCCGCCGGAAAATACAAAAAGGCTGTGCCCTGCTGATAGAATTTGCGTCGCCTCCGAACGCCGCCATATCCCCGTATTCTACACCCTTCTCCCCTGCAGCGTTTATGCGGTCGGAAAGGGTGGTGGTGGCGGTCGCGTGGGCCGTTGGCGCGTGCTTGATGGTATCGAAGGACATGCGGGTTAGAGGCTTGAAGGTATTGTCTGTGAGGACGTAGATGCCGCGGTGATTGGTCTTGAGGTTGTCGATTTGTTTGCGGAAGAGGAGGGTCCAGAGGTCTTTGCAGAGGAATTTGATGGTTGCGAGGGGAGAGGTGGGTCGGGGGTGGGTTCTTGAGACTCTGTTTCATCTGTAAGTAAAGCCTCGTATACTGCTGAAGGCGTAAGAGAAAGGCTTGGGGAGAGGTAATCGTACCGTTCGACAACACCTAATCCAACTCTGTACCCCAGCGCCTCCAGCCTGTGGAACACCGCCTCCCTTGCCTCTTCCTCATCTACAACCGTAGCTGTCCCACCTCCTCTTAGCCCTCCACCACCTGCTATTGTACTACTTGCATCATTATCTACGTCCTTCTTCTCCGCATTTTGCTGGGACGCTTTCGTTGTCCCAGGCCCGTTCAAGTACTCTTGCTCTTTGGCCGCCAGATCGGCGGTTATCCGGTATGCCATCGGTACTAGCTCTATGAGAAGGAAGTCGAGACATGAGGTTGCGACTTCGGTTGCAGTGGGGTCCCCGTCTATGGCCTCCGAAACCATGGGAGCCGGGTGTGAAGTCGCCATTGCGAGGGTCGTGTATATATGCGCGTGTGAAGGTGTATCGCAAAAGGTTCACAGTGGGAATTGGTGTGCGCTGCCGCGTGTTTCGCACGGGGACGTAGTGGGGAAAGAGTGATTTGCGCGGAGGTTGAGGTTCGTGCAAGTACTCGATGCGGGACGTATTTTATGACGGCATGTCCAGTGTTGTTCTCGGTCTTGCGGTATATCCAGGCCCCAGGTATGAAGTCGTCCGTGGGGTAAAATAAGACGAAGCTTTGCGGAAACTGTGGGAGCTTGGGTCGCGGGTGATCCTCATACAGGGTCCGTGACGTCTGGCTTGGCACCCTACTAATTATACTACCTCCAGAATTGCGCAGCACCGCCGGGCTTTACATCGCATATCAAGTCTAGTGTCACAATAACATTGGCGAGGCCGTAGACCCGTATTTTGTTGCAGATAGCAAAACTCGTTTGGCTACATTGCAAAAACGCTTGAATGCCATTCAACCGGGGCATATCCATCCATGCATCAAAGATGTGTATGATCCAGCATCATCTATTCGTTATTCATTTCCCCATTCCATAACAGGACTCTCCTAGAGTCTACCTGCCGCAAGTCGCATGAATATTCTTCCATGTACATAAGGGAAATCCACGCGTGCTAGGCCACTCACTTCTGGGGAGGAGGGGGAGGGTTGTTGGCGAAGTCAACGCCCTTTGCGATGTTGTCCTTGAGCCCCTTGTAGGCTGCCTCAAGGAGCTTCTTCTCGTGGTCGTTCGCCTTGCTGACGACATCGACGGCATTCTCGACACCACTGGGCTACGAAAAGTTAGCATATAAATCTCTATGCAGCGGATTCCACTTACACCAAGCTCGATGGGGACGGAGAAGTACTCAACGCCGACCGTCTTCGCGATGGCATCACCGCCGGGGACACCGGGGAGATAGACATAGCTGGGCTCGACAATACCCTTTTCGCCCTTTGCGGCCTTGAGGACCTTCTCCGCGAAGCTAGAAATTGTCAGCGATACGGCGGCAGATGAGGGCTTGATGTACATACCGGAAACCAGCGTAGGCCATGGACAGAGTGGCGGAACCTGCACCGTCCTTGGCCTTGACGACTTCGTCACCACCGAATTGAACGCCTGTCGAGTTAGTACAATATTCTCTCCACGCAAGATTCTACTCACGGTTCACAAGAGCGTCGAGCTTATCGCTGGGAATGTCCACAGAAGGCTGAGCCTGGCTGAACAGAGGAACGATGGTCTCGCCGGAGTGACCACCAATGACAGGGATGTTCAGCTTGTGGGGTTCCTTCTCGCCGGTGATGGAGGCAACGAAAGTCTCAGCGCGAACGACGTCGAGGGTGGTGACACCGAACAACTTCTTGGGGTCGAAGACGCCGGCCTTCTTGAGGACCTCAGCGGCGATGGGAACGGTTGAGTTTACAGGGTTGGAGATGACCAAGATGTAGGCCTTGGGGGCGTGCTGTGCGATGCCCTCAATGAGGCCCTTGACAATGCCAGCGTTGATCTTGAAGAGGTCATCACGGGTCATGCCGGGTTTGCCTGGCTGCTGTCAGCTGCTGTTTGCTTGTTCTCCAACAGTGTACCCACGGGGGATGCCGGCGGGGATGACAACGATGTCAGCGCCGGTGAAAGCCTGCTTAAGGCCATCATCCTTGGGCAGGTAGCCAGTGACGACCTGACCATGTTTAGTTTCAGTCTCTTTTGAGTCGGGTGTGTGTACGTACCGCCTTCGAGGAGATGTGCGAAAGATCGGCCGCAACACCAGGGGTGTTGACGACATCGTAGAGGGCGAGCTCGTCAACGAGGGAGCTGTTCTTTAGTAGCAAGGACAGCGGCTGCACCGCAATTAGCACTAGTGACGGGTGATTAACACGCTGGAACTGACTTACCTGTCCAATGCCTCCGGAAGCGCCTGCAACAACTGCTTTAACCATATTGTTGAGTGTGGTGTGTTGTTTAAAGAAGCTGGCTTTAGGAGCGGGGCGTGGGGTGGATTCGAGAACTAGAGTGAGAGGGTTGAGCAGTGATCTTGTTAGGTGAGTGAAGGAGGACGCACCGGAATGAAAGCAAAGGATTTTGTTCGTGCGAGCAGTCAAGGAGAGCCAGCCAGTTGAATGAGGGGAAGCGTCTCACGCGGTCTACGTGGGCGGGCGGGTTGGGCTAGTGGTGTTGGCGGGGTAGCTGTTTCGGAGCGATTGGCACCAAAACCGACTGTAGCACTGGGCGGAGCTCTCGAAACATGCCCAGAGGACATGCTGAGGCACATCTGACGACGAAGCCCATCGGGATGCTTCGGTGAACCCATGTCGCTGCGAGCCGCGTCTCGGATCAAGACATCGGGGGCGCTCGGAAAGCGGGTACCTACAAGTACTCTCTTGCATGCGCTACTCTAGATCCACCTAGGCACGGATTGACATCACGGCCGAGGCAGACATCTTGACGAAAACCTATGTCAGGAATTGTATATACGCCTTCCATCCGCCCAGAGGCCACGGTCCGCGGCCGAACCATGCCTTCAAAAACTATCCCAACGCCTGTCCACCCGTCGGACCAAAACGCTCACGACAACGCCAATACCCCGGTAGAATAGTAATAAGCTTCTCTTCTCCAAGATGTGCTCCCCAATGCCATGTGCCACCACCTGTGCACATGACAAGCCTCTTGCTAAGAATCACTCAAACCTTGACTTTGCTTGTAATTAATCAATTTCCTCCATTTTGGCGACATAATCCCAAACAGGACTCAGGTTTGGCAGACAATTGTCCGATAGAGCTAAGTCTGTTCAGGAACGTCAGTAAAGGTGTTTATGGTCCAAAGTCTTCTCTTTCACCCTCGGCATCAGCATCGCCTTCTGCATCATGTGGCCGGTAGCCCTGGTTGGGGTCCCCGGCGCCGGTTGGGTCTGCTCCCCGTTGGGGTACCGGATACATTTGCTGTCGAAGTCAGCTTGGTTGCAACTCAATAGCTGGTAAAGCGACTTACCGGTTGCTGTGCCATTGGATTGTACACGCCATAAGATGGGTCAAACATTTGCTGCTGCCCGTACGCGTTCGGATCGCCTTGAACCGGTCCTGCATACATGCCGGGCTGACGGAAGTCTTCTTGCGGCGCCATGTGTTGTGTGATGCCGTAGTCTGGAGGCGCCATCTGTTGATGAGGATGTACGCCTTGCTGGGCGAGTGCGCCGGCAGGAACCGTGCCAGCAGCTTGGACGGCAGTGCTGCTCTGTCCGCCACTGCGCTTGTGTGGAAGTGCTTCTTCACGCGGCACAATGTCGATCAAGAAGTCGAACATGTCCGACTTGCTCAATGCGCTCGCGATGTCCGACCGCTGAAGCGTGCGGCGCTTGTTCTCCTCGGCATGTATCCACGCACGCATCGTAAGCTCCGTGATGAATATGTCGCAGCCCTTGGCGAAGAGAATGGGCGCTTCTGCTGAAATCATCTTGACTTCAGGGTCGGCTTTCATAACCTTCTTGATACGCGCCAATGGCAGCTGGTGGAGCTTGTAGTCATGTTCGTCGGTCTCCAGCTTCGTGACTTGCTGTTGCCAGTACGTGTTGAGGATGTCGCGATAGGACCCATTGAGCCCTTGATTCACCTGTAGCACGTTCAGCCATCAATGTTTGGTCTATGCGCGACGCCGGTGCTTACGTTCTGCCACGCGCCCGTGAACAACTGCGGATCTGGCGCATGCCCTTGTGCGGCAATCTACGGTTGTCAGCAATCGCGAGTCGGAGTCGCGCGCAGTATGCAAACGTACAGCTGCGGAAGCACCTGAAGACATGTTAGCTCGGCGGTCTTGCACAGTCCCAAGAACAGCCAAACGGGCAGCGTCGCGGCGCGGTGGTGCAGGGTAGGTAGGACAAACGCACCATAGTGGCCGCCGTTGCCGGGGTCGTAGAGCGGATTGCCGTTCTGGCCATCATAGCGACGGGGCGCGGCCGTGGCCTGCTGGCGCAGATTTTGCTGGCCACGAGCCTGGAGGCTCGTCGGATCCATGGTGGCTGGCGGCGGTGCGGGCGCTGAGGTGACGCGGAGCAGGGGTGTCGCGTTGGAGCTTCAAGTGCTGCTTCGAGACGGCAGATCGGTACAGGTCCGAGGCGAGCTTGGCCCAATGGGCGCTGGTGATGGTGACGGGGTGGAGATTGGTGATTGTAGCTTGGATGTCGTGGTTGCGTCAGGACGGCGGGTAGTGGACGAAATGGGCCGCCAAATAGCTAAGCGGGGACTGCCGCGTGAGACGGGCTCGCACAGGATGCTGCGGGCTGCCATCAGTATCGAAGTGTGCGACCAGCATGTTGCAAATTACTGTGTTTACCTGGGCGACGACAAGCAAGCAGACGCGACACAGACGTGCGACTCGTGGTGTGATTGCTATCGTGGGCTTGCCAATCGGATGAGAGTCTGCAATAGCCAGGCAGCGAACCACACGCGTGAATGCTCCGCTGAGACAGGGACACGCCAGCGCTATGTGCAGGATCTCCTGGAGACGAGACTGGTGCCCGCGCGGCGTGTGGGCAGGCTGCTGGTTGGTGAGAGGACGGTAGAGGTACCGTTGGTCGTAAGGCTGTGTTGTTGAGGGTAGGAATATGGGATCTGCGTGCGGCTGGCATCCATGTGCCTCTGCCATGTTTACTTTATACGTATCTACACCATGTCGCACGCCGACAGCCGGAGAGGCAGTGACAGCAACACGCGCTGCTGCCGGTGCCGTCACATCTCGTCCCTACGCAGGCGCAGAGGCGGACTCGATCATACCAGCGCCATCCGGCCGCGTGGATGCATCAGGGCAACGCATTTTTCACCTTCAGCCACACGCTGGCCTCTGCACGAGCTGGACGAGAAGGCCAGCACAGCACACCCATTGGTCAATTGGCTGCCTTTTGCGCCGCTCACATTGGCTGGGACCGCACTTCAGCCTTGAGCCGATGCGTTGTCAAGCCCAGGTGTAGGATTTTTCGCCAGCACACCAGCGTCATCTGAGCAGCTTCGAGAAGCGTAGCGTCTACCGACAATTAAACATGCAGGCTACAATGACGGCATGGTGTGTGTTTGCGACGTAGGGTTCAAAGTGATATCGGAGGGAGGCGCTACACATCTGGTAAGGCGGCAATTCTGCCGAGGTGAACCGTGCGCCATCTTCCAAAACCACGTTCCCAAATTTTTTCAGACGTTGTGCATCTGCCGCCAACTTACAACCACGGCAGACATGGCCTTGCTGCCAGCGCACCCGCCCCAGGTGGATGACGATACAGATGAGGAGCTCACCGATGAACAGGTCCGGGCGCTCCTTACCGAGGCTGCTGAACGCATGCGCGCGAAAGCTGCCCAGCCCGCCAACGATGCTCCATTCAAGCTTCCCAAGCTGAACCCCGGTCGCATTGCAGATACCTATTCAACGACACAAGGCGCCATCACCAAGCTGGATGCATCCAAACTTGTTCCAAAGAAGGAACAGGCGCTCGCAAACGGTATCAAGAAGATTGAAGACCCCGTGCAGCTCAGGAAGCAGAAGAAAGAGGTAAGCTATACGTCGTCTTCTCACCTGCCCTTGATGATAATTATCCCATTTTGCACTGACGCAGATCATGGCACCGTTTTGGCGTCACCTGCACAAACTGAAGGTTTTCCATATCATAGTTACACTGAGGCATCTTCCATCTACCGCTCATCGTCAGACCTTCGCTAGCCATGTGCTAACAATAGTCTAGGAGAAGAAGGCTACCGCTGGCTCTGACTGGTTCAATCTGCCACGCACCGAGATGACACCCGAGCTGCGTCGCGACCTGCAGCTTCTCAAGATGCGCAATGTCCTGGACCCCAAGCGCCACTATAAGAAGTCTGATTCAAAGTCCGATGTCCCCGCCTTTAGCCAAGTCGGTACAATTATCGAAGGGCCGACGGAGTTCTACAGCGGCCGCATCAATAAAAAGGACCGCCACCGGACACTGGTCGAGGAAGTGCTCGCTCAGGAAGAGCAGTCGGGCAAGTTCAAGAATAAGTACGAAAACATCATCATGTCGAAGACTAGTGGCAAGAAGGCCTTCTACAAGGCACTGCAAGAAAAGCGACGTAAGGGAAAGATTATCAAGCCTTGAATATCGACTTGAAGACGACATGGGACTCCACCCTGCCCTTTCTGTCGTTCTCTATCTACAGCCCTGAACATGTACAGATCGAAGTCACGTAGAGCGTGTCAAGCGGCCAGGCATGCCACGGGCCATCTCGTCAACCAGGCGGTCGATCGATCAGTCCTCGTGCAGATCTGATAGTATCTGCTTCACCAGACCCTGCATATCTTTCGCCGCCTCCCGGCCGGCCTCGAGGACCTCCTGGTGGTTCGCCTTCCCCTTGTTCAGATGCTCATCAAGCTCTGTTTTGCTCATCGCTTGGATCGTATCGTCGTTCCCACGCGATCCTGCATCCAGTACGGCCTTGTTTGTCACCAAACTGAAGGCCAGTACCCGGATAGCTGCATGTCTTGCGACGATGATCTCTGGTACGGTTGACATACCGACGACATCGGCGCCTAGAATCCGCAGCATCCTGCACTCCGCTCTGGTTTCGTAGCTCGGTCCTCCAACGAACGCGTAAATACCTTCGTGGAGCCTCCTCTTCTGTTGATCAAGCCCGAGTTTCTTCCATGCTTTGTGCGTACGCCGCCGCAAATCTAGGTCGTACGCATCGCTCAGTGGTGGGAATCGGACACCGAACTCATCGATATTGGGCCCCCGTAAAGGATGGATACCCACCAGCCCAGCAAGGTTCAAATGCTAGACGCCATTAGTGCATATCCCACATAGACACCGCTAGGTAGTGAACATACATCATTTAAACAGACGATGTCTCCGACCTCGTAATTCTCGTTTAAACCTCCTGCTGCATTTGTGACTGTGAACCGTCAGATATGTTCCTGTGTTCCCTTGTCGGATGATGAGTAACAGAATAAGAAGCGGACCTATCATCGTTTCGATTCCAAGAAGCTTGCACACACGCGTAGCGAACGTGACAAGATCCATCGTGTGACCTTCGTAGAAGCTGTCGTCTCGTTTAGTTAAGATGTCAGACCGCCCACCAGGTAGGAACAGTGACTGACTGTGCTCGTCCGACCAACAGTGCTACAGGAGTTTTCTGCGGGCCTATCAAGCCGAACACGAAATTGCCGGCATGGCCTTGGACTTTATCATGCACATTAGCATACCTGAATTCTAAGCATCTGATGTCAATAGTTGCTCACCTGTGCTCTGAGGGAAATTCGGTATGGTGGAGTATGCGAGCTCGACCTTAGGCTCTGCTTCGATGGTTTCGACGAGACCTCCAAGTCCAGAACCGCATACAATAGCTACTTTCGGCTTCTGAAGTGCTTCCGGGAGCTTCGAACGTACGTAGGCTGCTGTTTCCGAGGCGCGGGCGTAGGCGTTCGGCGCCGCAAGCGTGTCCATGCTCTCAACCATTTTGGTGTCTCTTTTGTTTCCAGGAAGACTCCAGCCTCAGGGAAGATGAAAAGAATTTAAAACCCACCAAGCCATGTGCGGCAGGAGGGGGTGATGTTCAAAGATGTCTTGGCACGGTGCTCTCCGAAGCAGGCGTTCTGCCGGGCGGTGGGCTCATACGGCCTAGCGTCGATGTTTTGCTTCAACTTGAGGAACTACACGCGATGGACATCAATCCATCAGCAATGGCGGTGCCGCGTTCTCTATGGCCGTTCTTGGCTCCAACAAAAAGGATCAAGGTACGTATCTTGAAATTGGAATGCCCACCAGCGCCTGACTAACAATGAATAGATAATACCACCTAGAGCCTCCGCCCAAACTTTTCTACGTTGCAGGAGCAACCGCGCCGAAGATCGTGAAGACGACCGTGAACGGCGGAGTGCGCCTGGCGACGACAACGATGTCGACATCTATGCAGAGATGGAGAAGGGGGAAATGCCTATCGAGCAGCGGTTAGAGCACATGGGCCTCGACGCAGCAGAATATACTGCGCTCAAGACCAGCTCGAAGAGGGCACAGAAGAAATTTGACAACTGGACGCCCAATGATAAAGCGGAAGCACAGAGAAAATGGAAGAAGATGGCAAACACACCCGACGACTTGACGCTCTTGGAGATGTTCAAAAAAGGAAGGCCTTGACGTGCTCAAGGAGGGCAAGTAAGTTAGAATTTTTCCTTCAGAGGTACGGGTCACGATGATTATTTGCTATACATGCATGGCTTTCAGAAGTTGGGTGACACCAGCGAGGCTGTTGACACTTGCGCACAAGTATGAGATTGGAAAGATCAATCCACATTTGGTCAGGCTTTAGACTTAAGCTGCTCCATACTGACAGGACCGAATAGAGAACGTGGCATGAAGCTCCCCACCGATAAAGACCCGCTCGACCCGAAGACACAGGAGGCCCTCGATGCCCTGAGGACACCTGTCAACGTCCAAGCCGTCCACCTCCGCCCTCTCCGCCGCACCCCCACCCACGGCGTTCCCGTCTGCGACCTCCAGCTCCGCACCTATTCCATCCGCAACCTCCTCCTCTTCGCCGACTTCGCCGTCCGCGCAGCCTACTACATGGGCTTGTGCGCGCGTGGCCCTATTCCCCTCTCCCTCGCATAACAGAGCGCTGGACAGTACCCCGCGCCAACTTTATTTTTAAGAAATCGCAAGAGAACTTCGAACGTATCACTATGCGAAGACTTATTCAGATCCAAGATGGCCACCCCGACGTGGTGAAAGCGTGGCTAGCGTTCCTGCAGAAACACCAGTACTATGGAGTCGGTATGAAGGCGAACATCTGGGAATATGAGAGCTTGGAGGCTGCTACCAGGGCGGGATACGATATTGAGGCCGGTGACTACAGCAGGAGGAGGGAGGGGGCGATGTTGAAGAAGGTCAATGAGATTATGAATACGAGGGCATATAAGGAGGCGATGCACGGACATAAGACGCCGAAGGAGATAGAATTGAGGCCATGAAGTGGCGTGTTCGGTGAAGGAAGAAGGCAGATCTGTAAGATACGTGTCTGAGGCTTTGTGAAGATGCAAGAATTGTCGGTATTAACGCATTGTAGAGTGGTGTACATATACCTTGTTTGCGTAAGGGATTCTATAAGACTTGTTCAAAGATCTGGGACGGCTTGTGTACGCTTTGCATAGATAGTGCGTAGAGGCAGATTGTGGAGTGGGATGTGTCTCCCTTAATTGGTGTGGTAGCAACGGCATCCGATTACTTCACTGTGCGTGCTAACTGCGTCGGTTGTTCTTAAGTGGTGACTTCTATGAGGGACATCCTGTTTATCTCTGTCCGTTCTCTGATGACAGCTAGACATCGGGTCGAGATCACAGTCGCTGCCGTCAGCAGCTCGGAATCCCACGAGAAGCTCCACGACCATCGACTGGGCGTAAACGCATCGCTAGCATGGTGCAGCAGTAGCGAGATGCTAAAGCTTGCAGTCCAGCACGCTTGTTGCAGCATTCATTAGGACGGCTAGGACCGTGTTCAAAGTACCTTTCGCAGTTGTCGTTTGACATAAGCAGACTTATGGTAGGCTATCATGGAACATCAGCGTCATTGATCAATGACAAGCTTTGCTCATCGGGTTCCTTCTTCTACTTTTCCCCTCATGTCTCCTGCGTTTGTGGGTCCTGTTCGACACCATTGTCGCAATGCGCAAAAAAAGACCGTGGGGTGAGTGACATCAGTGAGTCGCTATAAGTCATACTGACCGTCGATCACAGTGCAGGACGTGCGGACACGCGCTCCGTTGCTGCCGCAATCGACAGTAAGTCCTTGGATGCGGCCATATTATACTCAGTTTCAAGAACGAATGCCGATCCATCTGCGAGCTCCCAACCAACCGCGAAAGCAAGCACAGCCAACCTTCTTCTACATCCGCCAGTTATCCAGATGATGATTCGGACCAAGGATCTTCCACGAATCCATAGGTGGAGTCCCCGTTCTTCAATGTGCTGCCGAGAGATATGTCAAGCTGCTGATCTACGAAGAGCTCCTCGTAGTGGGTGAAGTCTACATGGAGATACATGAGCCAAGTCGGATCCAGAAAGATTTCTGCCACAACAAGCCAGCGTATGGCGCGCAGACCGTGAACACTTCTACAGGCCGTCATTAGCGACTCTTCGAGTCCGTAAGGCAATCATAGTAGCAGAGCCGCTGTTCGTTTCGGGGACCTCTTTGTGCTCCCCATACGCTGGCACTGGCGCAGATCCTTCTCTGCTGGCGACGATTGGGGATGTCCACTCATCTCTACAGCTGCTCTCAGAACATCTTCGAAACATCAGCTTCGTATAAGACATTGATGATCTTCACATGTACTCAATGTTCAGGATGCGATTCTCGTGGGCATTTGATGAGATGCAATATTTTAGCGTACACAGTCCCTTGAAGTTTTTTCGCGATGAGTTGAAACACAAGGAATTCCCGACCCTTTCGGTGGTAAAGAATATCTCCATCTTGAATAATGAACACTCGGCAACAATGATGAGGACAACGAAGTCATCACTCGACGAGAGTGCGGTGACCACTCTCAGCCCAATATTGCAAATGGACCCGAGTCACTTCCTCTCGCCTACGTCGAGATTGATTACACAAATGCGTCTTATGTATATTCGTATGATAGTATTCACCGCACCGGCGTCGAACCCTACCCATCCGGCTCGCGCTCATCGATCTTTATACATGATGCGCCACGATTAGGTAACGGGCCATACCTACAATACGTGAAGTCGTTGGGATGACTCCAGGAGACGAAAGTAAGGGAATTGTGCGGCTGATATGATGCGGAGGTATCAAAACGGATGCGCTCTCCAAGAGGGGTTGCCTGAGGTTCCGAGAGTCTGGGCCCATCACATAGGTGAGCGAGTGAGCTTGAGTGGTGCAAAATTTTGGAGGGCTAGACCGACTGTTTGTGGCAGATGTGATCATTGGATGACAGAGTAGCTCCCACGGGATAATATTTCTGGCACAGATGTGTTCGCCCAATGAGCCTAGGCACCTCGATGTGTTTTGTAGCAATATTGATAACGGTGTATGGTCCGTTGAAGTTGCGCCTCGAACCTCATACTTGCAAGTGATTGTTCGTCTTAGGTGTCCCAGATACTGTCGCTAACTAAGGACAGAAGACTAAACCACTGTCATGGGCCTTGGCTTCGTGAAGTAGCCATGTCCAGTTCGACAGGGTAGGCTGTCGGCTAACTCGACTTGATGTTGATCATGGCATTCGGGGCGTTCCGCGATGTTCATGCCTGTCACCTACACTTTATCGATCACCCGTCGGCTCATGACGGGTACCATGACGGTGTGACCGTAGCGTAACATTCTATCTTGCTTGCTCAGAGAGCACACCTCCGATCATTCCGGCTCCTCCAGTCCAATTGCGTATGTATTACTACGGTACTGCTTCTTAAGCATCGGTTTTCCTCAGCTGAAGCCTCATCCTCAACTCCTTGTTCCATTCTGCAACAATTCTGCGCGGCGTTCATGGTCACCATGAAACTCCGAATCTATACGCTTCTAATTGCATACTCGGCTTCCGCAGTGCTGTACGCCACTGCAAGCGTTATCCCTCCTGATTTGGATACAGGCATTACCGTTGATCCTTCGCTTGATGAGGTTATGCTAGGGGAGCTTGCAGCCAACAGTGCAAAAGCCCACGCTGCCACTTGTCGGTGGACCAATTGCAACGAAAATTGCCCGAAACGCTTTGTTGAAGTTCCACGACAAAATGGTCACCAAAACGAAATGATATGGGAACATACCCAGTGCGCCGGCAAAGGGTTGTCAAAGTTCTGTTGCCCTCCTCACCCGGACATGACACGGTGTCACTGGAAAGGGTTTAGCGACTCTGGAAAATGTACTCGAGGTTGTGACATCACGTTGGGTAAGGCTATATACCACGGAGTCGAAGTTGGTACAACTACAGCTGGATGTACCAAAGGCGGTTACCAAAGTGTATGCTGCACGACGCCGAAATCAGAAAAAGCCACGGCAAGTGTCTTAGCCTACCTGCAATGCGGATGGTACTCTGCACTGAAATGGCCGAAGAAAGAGAAACGAGAGCTATGTGCCGAGTCTGGCAGGAGCTATTCCTGCCCAGCGAATCGTCCAAATCAGATTACCTCTTCGAACCTTGGGTTCGGGGGCGAGGTAGAATGTTTGGAAGGTAAGTGGATCATCAGTTCTTTCAGTCAACACGTCTCATCGCCACTAGGACGCAGAAGCTATTGCTGCACCAAGAATATGCTACCTATCTTCAAGAATTGTCAATGGCTGCCATCGTGCCCCAATGGCCAGATTCGGGTGGCCCTACGCAGAGACGGTGCTGAAAACCAAGCGTTCTGCTGCGCTGGAGAGATCTTGCCTCCCAAGGACCCTACTCCACAACCGCAGCCTGAACCGAAACCCGAACCGAAGCCTGATCCGAAGCCTGATCCGAAGCCTGATCCGAAGCCGAGCCCCAAGCCTGAATCGAAAGACGACTATGTACCAAGAGTAAATCTCTTCCAAAGAGAGGTAGACTTGTAAGTTGGAGCGCTGCCTGCCTATATATCTGCAGAGTTAACATTGATAAGCTGGATGGATCGGAGATACGGCGAACATGCTTGTCCACAGGAGCTGCGGCCTCCAGTCCTTGAGTGAGGGGTCCCAACTGCTGCTATGTTCCACGCTGACACTGATACAGCTGGTTCAACCATGAGGATGGAAGTACGGTCGCAGCCGGTCTTGAGGGAAGTACACAACACGAGGTAGTGTCCCCAGCAGTGTCCTCGGCAGATTCCCCACCTACTTCGGAGTGTGTGAGATCTTGGACCGCAATCTCCGACTTTCTACAGGTTTTGACTAATGTTACGAATGACACGTACATCGAAGATGAGCGCAAGGACATGTATAGGGTGCTCGACCGAAAGCTCATGACACTCCCCGATTGTCCAGGCTGCAGCCTGGGCGACTTCGTAAGCTTCGCCGGCAACCAAACTGAGTTCAGTAAGACTGCTCTCATCTACGACTTCCTGGAAAACCCAAGAATTTCCCGCGGAGGGGTTCAATGTATGCCATGGCCAGATCACTTCGCGCCAGCCTCTGGACTTGAGGGAAATAGACCAGATTCCGATGCAGCAGCTCATCAGCGTAGAATTGTTGAAGATGATTTAGATCCGAGAAATGGTCCGCTCGACTTGCCACTTCACGGCCAAGCTCCACATCCGGTTACCTTTGGCCGCGTGATGCAGGCGATCGACAATGGTAAGCTCCTGGGAGATATCTCACAGATTAGCATCTAATTCTCAGCAAAGGACGTCTATCGTTGCACTATGCGATGTGGTTATACTCCAACGACAGCACACGCCCAGGGTAAGATAGCCTGTTCGGGGTTGATGCATGTATACCGGTGTCCTCGCTGGATGTCACTGACTTGCACCGAAGACCCTACTTGGAATTGGCCTACTGGATAGGACAAGTACCCGGAGAAGTACCGAACACTTCTGAAGAAAGCCACCTCAACCTAGATGAATTACGAGATAGACGTACAAACCTTAACAACGCTCATGCTCCAGACAGATGGATAGTTCTTCATATCCATCTAGATAACAGCGCAACCATGCGTCCTCGCATGTTCACCATGGAAACTACTGTTGTTGATGGTGGTCCCTGGACCCCAACGTTGCGTACATTTATCAACATTGTAAGATCATCTTGATTGCATAAGATGCAACAGTCGCTCAGCTCTTTGAACTTTACTGACGCTCATGTAGGCGGCGATATCAGTCTACCACGCTCAATCCTGGTTGCCTGTTCGAAACAGTCGTGGGAACGATTACATGTGGCAAGTCGACTGGAGGGATCGAAATCAGATAGGTGGTCACAACCCTGGTGGCCGTAATTCTCGTCGAGTAGTGAGATGCCGCGATAATCCATCGAACGGTCGCAATGGATCGCCACATCAATACTCTCTGATACCAGTTGGTCCCGGCCCAACACAACGTATGGGCGACCCCAATTGGGCTTCTGGGACGGCCCCTTACCGCGTTTTTACCAATCTATACAATCAAGGTTATCTCAGTTACACGAGCATGCAATATTTATTCAACGAGCCACAAGGGATAAGTCGCCGGCCTGGATATGATGTCGATCCTCAAAGCATGAACAGAGATTTCAGATATCACCCCCACGTTTACCCAGGCGATGCGGATTATATGCTGGGCGCTCCTGCATATGATCGATGGCAAGTTGCCGGTCAAGCGTTCCCATGGTACAGCCCTTTCCTCATCGATATAACTGGTTCCGGATCGTTCCAAGTCCGTCCAGTTACCCAGCAGCCAAACTTCCCCAGTGGAATTCCACCACCGCCACCGCCACCGCCACCAGGGCCATCCCCGGCTCCTTTCATTGGACCACCACCTCCACCGCCACTGGGACCATCCCCAGCTCCGTTCATTGGACCACTAACCTCACCACAACCCTCCACAGCTCCACAACCCTCCTCGAAGACCCATTACCTCGAAGGACCTCAGCCTCCACAGCCCTCAAAGACCCCAGATGGAGGCGATTGGAACTGGAGATTGAGCTTACCACACAAATTTGACCCACCGTCGAACGATGATGTGAAAGCAGAGTCCATTGAGCAAGGAGTGAACTTCACTGCCCCTAATGTGACCAGTCAGGACTCTACCCCCTAGCTCAGCTATTATTCGAGGCGGTTGAAAGTTCGGTTGCACGAGATCTACTTTAGAACAGTACTACTCATTAGTAGTTAGGGGGCAGTATTGTATTATCATAGTGTTCCGCACTTGGCACACCACTTCTTATCATATGTCTTTTGCGTGAGGTTCGAGTGCTCTCTTTTCGTGATACATGCTCGATCGCGACTGACAATGAATTCAGCAGCCACATCCGCAGGGATTAGGCGCTGGGGTGAAATAATATCGCGTTTGCGCGGCTCGTAATTTGACTGGGATGACGATAATCAGCTCGCCCTTCAGAAACTCACGAGCCTCCTGGAAGAACTGGGCAAACCTGCAGTACAGATGAATGGAAGCAGGGCCTTGTTACTGAAAGCTGAGCGGTCCGGTCCCCTCGAGCTTTATGAGGGTGGCGAGGACATAACAGATGCTCTGCCGAAGAAGATCATAGACATGTTCTGGGGTCCAAGGCAGCAGTGATGGGGGACGGGATCACTCATGCGTACCTTTGAGACGTTTGCACGAGCATGGGAGATGGTTTACGGCAGGTCAAGGTTCAGCAATGCTTGGAGTTTGGATCTCTGATTTTACGTGGGGATACGCTTAATGATTGCATCCATGGCTTCTGCCGGTATAAGTCGCTAAGTGGTCTTCCTAAGTTGTCCCTGACTTCTGCGTGAATCCAACTAACATAACATTCTTTGTAACCTTGATAAAGTAATTGGCTACAGGTGTGCTCCTGATACTGATAACAACAAAGTTAGATCCTGCGTTTAGAGAAGTCTCTCTACCCAATCTGCAGTTGCAATCCGGAACCTCTTTCCCCAAATCCAGTATGGCACGGTTAATGAGCCAAATATCCCCAGTAGCATTCCAAAGATACCGAAGGGCTCTGCGTACCCTACTTCCTGCGTCCACGTACCAACAAAGAACGTCCACGCAAAAGCAACGACAGCCCTGGAGCATGTAACAGCTACGAAGCAGTCTCCCGCAATCGAGGGATAGCTCTCAATGATATAATTGAAGCCGACACTGGGCGCCTGCATCAGTCCGAAGGCGACCATACCGAACGCAAACTCCAGTCCTACCCACCCTTTAGGTGAAGGATTCTGAGCAATGACACCGAAAATAATGGTACCGGCTGTTGAGATGAACAGTGCTGGAATGGCAGTGACAATACGAGACTCAGGTTCGCTATATCCATGGATGTCCTTCTTCGCTAGCCGCTTCGTAGTGAAATCGGCGACGAAGTAGGTGTAGACGCATCCTAGGACGGCACCAACGAGCGCACCGCAGTTGATGAGGCCCGAGTCTGCACCCCAGAGGTACGGCGGCGAAGCGGCGATCTGGGAACCTACAGTGCTGATGGTGACTATGGCACCTACGAGCCCAGCATACCAGAGTGACACTAGCCAAACGCCTGGTAGGCGAAGGGTTAGGTATGGAGCGAGGAACTTTCGGCCGACGCCACCGTGGTAGGTGAAGGGCTTGAGGGAGCGAAGGAAGGTATACGGAGCATACGAAGACTGTTCATTTGCAGTTGCGCTGGCCCTGACGCCAATGTCTTCTTTCGTCTCTGCTATAGGTTTGTTGATCGTTTCGGTAGCCTCCGACGTGGAGGGAATTGGGCGCTCGTATAGAGTCTCGGGCTGCAGGAAGAAGCAAATCACGAAAGTGACGGCTGAGAGAATGACGTTCGTCCCTAAAGGTGGGGGTACAAAGTCAGTGTAATGTTCACAAATCAGAGAAGTGGGTGAAGTAGGTGTTGAAGCCGGCTACCGATGTCGGAAGATTTCAGACTTAGATGTGAAAGGCCTGGAGTCTTAGACAATCGCCCCGCATGAACACCCACTTTATACCCCGACATTGCTTACAATGGATCCAGGCGAGACCGTCGTGTGCGGCGATGTAGCCTCCAGCGATAGGTCCGACAAAGGAGCCCATCGCCAGGAAGACGGTGTAAAAGGCCTTTCCGGAGTCAGAGTTCATTAGTCTGCTGGATTCCTAGAGCCGCTGAATTGAGGACTTACCATGACTCTACCGCGCTCGTGCACAAAGAATATCTCTCCAACAACATCAGGCGAGACAGCGTCCGCAGGGCCACCCCCCATACCCATGAAGAACCGGGCTGCAAGTAGACTATCGAAGCTCGTCGAAAGCCCAGCCCACATTGAAGAGAATGCCAACAATAGCAAGCTCAGCAAGATGACGGGTCGCCTCCCGAGGATATATGAAAGTGGTACCCAAAACAGGTTCGACACTCCCAGCATGAGGATATTGACCTGACCTATTTGTTAGGATTATTCCATGGTGGAGATACTGGGAAGCACTCACAGCAATCAAATGCGTCAAATCCGCGAATGGCTTCGGCGGAAAGCCAAAGATGGGCGTGGCAGCATATATCGGGAGCGCGCTGGCGATAGATGCACTTGTGAAATTCGCGACGAAGGGAACGAGGCACATGGCGAATAAGATCCCATACTTTCGCCACCTCGAGAAGTTCAAGGGATCAGCTGGATCAGCTGAAGGCTGAGGCACAAGGCGAACCTCATCGTGGATCTGGTTTGATGCTGTCCATTCGAGATGTTCTGTGGAGGAAAGTCAACAAAAGAGAAGATCATTGCAGAGCAAACATACCAATGAGGGTGACGGTGCCCGGGGGGTGTCGCGTTGCGAACTTCTACGTTGGATAAACTGAATGCGTGTTTGAAGCCTGCCATAGTGATCGACCAACATGGACCGATCATCTGGTGATGGGTAGGATGCAGAAATGTATAGACGAGCTTCTCGTGTCACGGTCCTTCCGCGCACCCCATGGGGTCGCGTGTGGGGGAGCCGGGATGTGGAGGAGCGGCATTCTAGACCCTTGTAGTCTAATCGGTCCTGCGACTCAAGAGGCATTAGCACACCGAGACCTCCGCAATGTGTCTAGATGGAGATGTCAATGACTCGTATCGTGCCTTGGCTTGCTCGGTAATGTGATTTGTGTGCACATCTCAGGAAGGCCTTTCACGGCAGTAAGTGCGATGAGCGTGATGCACATTTTTTTGGGGGGGAGGGGGGTAGAATGCGCATAGAGTGAGATCAATTTTTTTTCCAGACATTGGATTAGTTCGATGTCATTCTTCGAATGTCTCAGGAGAGCCTAGAAGATCTGATTGCACCAACACATTCACCAAAACCAACGCCAGCGTTAGCGTCGCCAGCAATAGCAGAAAAATGTACAATGTCTCCATCCTCCAGATAACGTAACTCCGACCCGTCACTTAGTTGTTTGGGCTTTTTTTCCGTTCATTGTCAGCTCCATCAAGCAAGCAAGCTCTGATTCAGTTGATCCAGATACTGTTCCCGAAGCCAATAGGTCTCCAGTGTTCAGTGGACATCCACCGATCGCATTATGCGCAAGCATCTGTCTGAACGTCCAGTACATGTGTGCAAACCCAACTTTGCATACCGTTGTCTTCGTGCCCTCTCTCAATATCTTCGCCTCGATAGTAAGATTGTACGACGTGCTACGCGGATCATCTAGAAAGGGAGCCACGGGCTCTTCATGAGCAGGCGCAGGCGTTTCAAATACTTTGAGCGCTTCCAGAGTGACGACCCACGGTGACATTGATGTTGCAAAATTCTTCCCCTTGAAGGGACCGAGGGGATCTCTCATTTCGCAGCCTTGAATGTCTCGGGAGCTCCAGTCATTGACCAGGACCAGCCCAAAGATGTGCTCGTCCATGTTTTTCGCGTGTACATCCACATCGGCTGCGAGCGGTCGGCCTACAATAGCACCGACTTCAAGCTCGTAATCAAGTGCTCTTGATGCGCCGAAGGTAATCTTGCCGTTTTCTAGGTATTGGCCTATTGGCCGGGTAACAGGAGTAGGGGAAACGTAAATCGAGGAGCAGCGGCCTGCGTAGCCCATAGGAAAGTTGTGGAAGGTATTTGGCAGTTGAGCTTTCCCGAAGAGGGCTTTCGGCGCATTCGTAACATGCTCGCGCGAAACGGAGAAGTCGGTGAAGTCGCCCACTTGGACCGGTAGCAGCAAATCTACGTCTTTGATATCTTCCGAGTGCTCTTTATGCACGCCTTTTTTGTACGCCTCTTGTATCGCTGCTCGTGTCTGGAAATGGACATCTCTGGACAGAGCAGCGAAAGTGTTGAGTGTCTTCTCCGCGAATATGGAGGATATATTCGTTACAATGTCCGTAAAAGGTCCCTTGTTCGCAAGCTCAGTCAGGAATATGACCTCGTCACCAATTCGCGTGACGGCTTGTGGCGAAGGTCTTTTGGAAGAACGTGCAATTCCGTACGGGATGTTGTTGATTCCAAAATGAGATGTGTATGTCTGTTCCATGGCTGCGCGAGCAAGTCGTACGTGACACCGGAAAATTGGAGCTGCGTTTTGTTTAACCAGCGTATGATCCCAAAAACTTGCAACTGTTGACAGTCTACCAATCGAGTGCATGCATCTTGTGTGTCTTCGGGAAAAGCTCTCCACCTCGGGACCCTGCAGGCCGGATGAAGAACACAACCAATATCCATCAAAGTCGGCATATGGAACACAGGCTTCGGATGTTCGGCATTTATCTCGATGTAAGTCCGCAGTCTGTAAATTAGCATTGAACCGTGCTCTTGAACACAATCTCAAACATTTCCTTTCACACACAAACGACAGCATCATGGCGCAAAGAGTCCAGCCCGTTGCACAGGAGAGCCCTCTCCCAAGCCTCAATCGCTATATCACGACCCACGACGATTCGACTGGAAAAGCTATTTTCTCGAGCGCGGTTCCAGAGCAGAATCCAACGCAAATCATCCCCGGAGCCGTCTTCCGCCAAGGATATGTCACGAAGAAGTTTCCCGCTCAATTGAACGGGGATGAGGATCTGGACGCATATCGGTCATTCCTAAAGTCACCTCCAGGCATTGTGAACCAAAGTGGTACTGTGCTGCGCATTGTTGATATGCACCCTGCGTTTACGTCGCCAATGCACCGGACGGTATCACTGGACTACGGCATCGTGTTGGAAGGCGAGGTAGACCTGGTGTTGGACTCTGGAGAGGTTAGGACGATGAAGCGGGGTGACATGGCGATCCAAAGGGGCACTATGCATGCGTGGAGGAACAATCATCCCACGGAGTGGGCGAGGGTGGCGTTTATTCTCCAGCCTTCTGAGCCGGTTGAGGTGGGTGGCAAGAAGCTGGGGGAGGACTATGGCGATATGGAAGGCGTCAAAAAGTCTGAGTAGCTAGTAACATACATCTTTCGTGCTTTGCCGTGCATCGTCGTTGCTGCCGTGTTCGACCTAATCGTTGTTGTTCCTGGCGCGGTCGCGTTGGTCGCTCCTGCCTCGGCTAATCAAAAGCGGCTAGCGCTCGATCTCTCCTCCTCAATCTCCACATCCCGAGATCTTCATCCGTTGCTTTGTTTTCAAATCGGCGCTGACGACCGCGATGTCGCACAGCGGAGCCTAGATTGTACATACTGTCCCTGTATATACCTCAGACCCTGCATGCGTATGTCAAATCCTACTGCAAGACGTCCACAGTGCTCATTATGCCTCCTCAGATCAAGGACGCACAGAAGGTGGACGATTCGTCGTTCCCGTACATCTTCGAAGAGAATGTTGTGATACCTTTGAAAACAAGTTCAAAAGGTATCATCCGCTGCAACGTCTATCGTCCGAAAAGCAGCGACGAGAGATTCCCTGTTCTTGTCACTTACGGTCCATATGGCAAAGACATTCACTACAAAGACTTCCACGCCAAGTCCTTCTCTGAGGTGAACCCCGACCATCACTCAGCACATTCGGCATGGGAAACGCCCGATCCTGGATTCTGGACCAAACATGGTTACGCAATCGTGCGAGCTGATGAGCGCGGGCTTGGCCAGTCACCTGGTTTCCTCGATACAATGTCGCGCGGCACAAGCGAAGCCTTCTTCGACGTGGTCGAATGGGCTGCCGAACAGTTATGGTCATCTGGGAAAGTGGGCCTCCTTGGTATTAGCTATTACGCAGGATCGCAATGGCGTGTTGCTGCGCGCCAGCCAAAGGGACTGTCGGCGATCATACCCTGGGAAGGCATGAGCGACTACTATCGCGACCGTTGCCGTCACGGTGGCATTCTCTCAAACAAATTTATCAACTTTTGGTGGAACCGCCAGGTAGTATCTAATCAGTACGGACTGCCTGGTCGGGCAGCACGCAATTGGGGACCTGACTGCGTAGACGGAGACGTATCCGATGAGGAGCGTGAGAAGAACAGGCAGGATCAGAACATCGACAATTTGAACAACAAATTCCGCGACGATGAGTACTACGCTAGCAAAGAATACGACATGGGCGATATACAGGTGCCGCTGCTCTCAGTAGCTAATTGGGGTGGCATTCTTCTACATCTCCGTGGCAACATTGAGGGTTATCTCCAGGCAGGATCTGAGTTTAAGTATCTGCGCATTATCACCGGTCGCCACGATCTACCTTTTTACTACACCGAAGAAGTTGAAGTCCAAAGAAGCTTCCTGGATGCCTTCCTCAAGGACGATGACCGAGTTGGATGGAGCGTGAAAGGCAAGGTCCCGGCTGTGGACCTTGTTCTGCGCAAGGGTAACGTTGGCTTCGATGATGCACAAGCAGAGAAGGTCTACGAGCGTAGGATGGAGTACGAATGGCCAATTGCCCGCACACGATACACGAAGTTCTATCTCACACCTGATCACTCCCTGACACAAGTCCAACCCATTGTCACTCGCGCACAGAAGCTGTCCTATGAAGCTCTTGGCTCGCTCGAGAACCCCAAGTTGCTACAGTTCATAACACCACCGTTCGAACAAGAGACTGAGATCACCGGGCACATTGTCGCACACCTCAACGTGTCGATGTCACCTCATGCTAGTGGTCCCACACCTTTAGATATCGACCTCTTCCTTACACTTCGCTACATCTCTCCACACGGCGAGGAAGTTCACTACACTGGTACAGCGGGTGACCCCATTCCCCTTGCTAAGGGCTGGCTACGCGTCAGCCTGCGTAAAACTAACCCGTCGCACCCACGGCACCGGGAATGGCTCCCGCACCGCGACTACTTCAGCACAGATGTGCTGCCTGTCATACCCGGTGATGTCTATCCGGTAGATGTCGAGATTTGGCCGACGAATGTTGTGGTAGAGAAGGGTGGTAAGCTCGTGTTTGAGGTGAGCAGTGGCGATACCCAAGGCAGTGGCATCTTCGCACACAATCACCCGGAAGATCGAAGCGAGAAGAAGTTTGCGGGAATGAACCACGTTAGCTTTAGTGAGAGATATACCAACTGGGTCAGCTTGCCTATTATACCTCAGAGGTAACAGGTTTTCCCTCAGCGTAGATACACTCACGGATTCCTTCCAACAATACAACTCGAACTCGTTGACTTTATTCCTTGTTCATATTCACTGGCGAAGAGGAACATATATCTGGCATATCATTTGACATGTGGCTGTAAGTGCTACCTTCCGGTATATTGGTATGAGGGTGTACCTACTCGCGTGCTACGCTGTGTTTGGCATTATCAGTAGCGAGAAGAACAGAAACTCGCGGAGCGCAGGACCCTAACTTCGCTCAAAAGATAGTATACAGAGACTAAAGGAACAGCAATCATATCACTGCAAACCTCCTCAACCCGGCTCTAATACCAAAGAACAACGAAGCACCAACACAAGTAAGCAACGGGATCCCATACACACCCAGCCCAATCAAGATACCCTGTTCGAAGAAGCCAATGGCTATCCACTCAGCCCGCTTCGGCTCCTTAATCTCCTTCGCAGCGTCCTCCAACAACTTCTCTGCGTACTTTCCAGTAGTTTCCACCAGTATTTTGGTACCTGAAGGTTTTACAAGCACAGGTGATGCTATAAGGAAGTGCTCCCTCCGGTACCTGTTCTCTATGTCGACTTTGTAAGAGAGTGGTGCTCCAGGTCCAAGGAGAAGTGATGAAGGAATGTGATTCAAGAATGTGACTTCGGAGCGGATAAATTGAGAGAGGTACTTCGTGTGCGCAGGAGCGGCGAAGTGGTATGCAGCGCTTAGTCGGTCGTTCGAGTCATTGGTTATCAGGTCAATGGCGTGGTCCAAGGATGAAATTGCTGATATTGCCAGTACTGGTGCGCTAGATTTGGGCGGCAGAGGAACATGCGTCGTGTGTCTGTTCGAGAGCTCGACGATGGCGCCTGTAGAACCTTGCGTTATGATGTTCGTATACCAGTCTTTACTTTCTGCGAGTGTAGCCAAGGCATCTCTGGCATTTCGTTTCTTCGGTTGCGAAGTCGAACTCAGCGTGCCGTTAGGAGCGGTGGTTGCAAGGTAGCGGATGGCATGTCTCAGCACCTGCTCAACGAAATCTTCCTTGACAAATTCGTTGACAAAGATCATATCGGGCGCATAAGGAGAGGTGCCGCCGAAGCTGAAGCGGGCGGCTACCACTGCTTCCGCCGCTGCGGAGAGGTCTGCCGTTCGATCGACCACAGCAATGACCTTGCCACACGACGAAACGAGCTGGGCATATTTTGGCCTTTCTACGCGTGTGTCTTGTAAAACTAACAGTAGATTAGACGCTGCTTCCTCCGATGGTGAAGTTACAACGATGTGGAAAACGTCAGGTTGAAGCGCTTTGAGAAGGAGCGAGCGAAGTAGGGAAGGCAGAGCGCGAGGAGTATTCTCCAGCTGTTTGTTTGTCAGCTTGTTCTTCATTGTCATCGATTGCACGTCCTACCTTCAAAGCAACGCAGTTGCCTGCTGCCATCGCCGCGCCAAGCGGTTCGATCACACTCAGGAAAGGCGTGTGTCCCAGGTTCGGTTCAATGTATACCACGCCCCATGGTTCTGTTCTTTCCGCCGCATCCCTCCCTTTCGTTGTCCTGTATTCACTTTCTAGCTCTGCTTTCGGGTTGATCTGAGAATAATGCTCTGTAAGATGTCTGAGCGCAGTCGCAACTTCGATGCTAGCTTCAGCATCTGTAACATTTTGATCTTGTTGTAGAGCTTTCCGTATCGAGTTTATCTCTCTGCGTAGGGTGTCATGTAACGACTTGAGTTGTTCCCGCCGAAAGAACGGGTTGTGACTGCGTGATGTAAGTGCAGTCGCGTGAAGATTTGCAAGGACGATGGCTGCCATTGCGAAGGGAAAGCGCGTCAAAGATCAGAGAGCAAAGATTCTTTGAAAAAAAAAAACTGCCCCTTCGATGGAAATCAGCCAACTCATGGAGCTTCCATAGTAGGCTTGCCCTGAGACCTGCATTCATGCTAGCTAGCTGCACGTATTCCGTCTCGCCTCGGTACACGGGGGGCGGACTCTCGCGGAAGTCCTCCACATCCCGAAGCGCCCAAGCTCACGCGACAACGCGGCACCCGCAAGTCTTCGGACGTCTAGATCAGCCGAAGGCATGAGGCAGTTGCTCTTACCCGTAGACTTGCAATGTACGCGTAACTCGTCGCTTGTCAATATCCCACTGCAAGCATAGTCGTCTTTCCCACATCCGCGATCGCCCGCGATGTCCGTGACAACGACCTCAAACGCGCAGACATACAATCTTCGCACTGTCCTCGCAGACTACGACCTCCATCATACCCCTGCGACTGACCCTCTTGATACTACGTTGAATGCGCATCCCTCACCAAACCCATCGCCTCAAAGCAACCCGCCGGATTGGCCTACGAATGAGCGGCGCGTGCCACCGTACCGACCAGTGAACACAGAGTTAGATCACAGTCAAAGAAGGGTGTATCAAAATGGAATTGAGAGGACTTTCATAACGGTCATGTTTTCTGGTGTATTTCTGGAGGCGGTGAGTGGAATGATCAGTGGGAGATTTGGTATAGTGCTAATGAACAAGTAGACAGCGAGTACGGTGTGGAGGGCGACTTTCGGACGGCTTTGGAACGTCGGATACAACATTGGTGGGGAGTGGTGATAGACGATCAAAGCAGTAGCAAGAGTCTTCGGCGTAATGGGTTGCTTAGCATATTGAACGGGTTTGCAGACAATGTAGAAACACAGTCACAACTGAACAATGCAGACAGCAAATATAGTCGTTTTGAACATAGTACATTCTCTGTAACTAATGAGACATCTCAAACAAGCCTTCTCGCACTCCTGACATCACTAGCGCCCAGCCCTTCCACGACCTTGGCCTCCATGACTTCATAAACAGGAATCTCTGCTAATCGAGCAACGATATGGTGCAGGGTTGGCAGCTTCTTCCAGTCCATCGCGTCGAAATTGATCTCAGCTCGATCCGCTACTAGCAAGCTATTCACTTGTCGCGGTGCTTTCGCTTCTTCCACATTCGGAACAATTCCAACGTATTCAACGTCGGCCTGTCCACGCTCTTTGCTGCCGGCGGGCGCTGTTGTGGCAATGTATTTATGGAAGAACAGACCCTCTTCCTGTCCGATTTGTGGAGGACCAGAGCCTTGCACTCCATTCGATATCGTTTTGGTCTCTAATCCAGTGAGTGAAACATCCAGGAATTGGTTGCCCATCCACCCTGCTTTTAGCTTCCACGTGCCTGCGTCTTTGGTGACATCAAGCGTAGCGTAAACTTTCGGCATGCCGAGCTCTTCTCGTCCGCTGATGATAGGATCTGCGAGGTTCTCAAACAGCACCGGAAGGTAGGTTCCGGTGACCTTGTCTCCATTTTTCTTGGTGTACTCGACCCCATGGACATATAGTCCGAAATGGTTGTAGCCATTGCCACCAAGCCACTCAAGGTTTCCTAGCGAAGATAGAGAGAAAGTTGCGTAGCAATTGGAATCCGCCGATGCAAATTTGAACTGCGATGTGGGAAGCAAGTTCTGCAAAAGCGTCCGAGATGTCTTAATCTTGATGCTCGCAGTGGTGAAAGTCGACTGACTCCAGTCTCTAGAGTTACCGAGGTGATCCTGTCGAGGCCCAGGGAATGGCCCGAACACTGTGGGCATGCGACGGTACGCGCTGGGTTTCCGGCTCCATAGCCACTCGCGCAGTTTCTGGCTTGTATAGTGCCACTCATCGTGACCGAAATTCTCGTCCGTGTAGCGGCTCGTATCAAGGGGAGGACCGGCGCCCAAATCCTGACCTGCGATACGAGAGTACTCTTGGATCTGAGATGCGCGTTTGTAGCGGCACTGCTCGTATAGCTTGAGTCTCTCTGGAATCTCAGCAAGTGGTGTCCCCAAGGGAAGAACACATGCTAAGGAAGCAGCGTCCTCGATGGCCTGCGCTGCACCTTGGCCTTGGTCTGCAGATAGTTAGCTTAGTCATTTTGATGTGGAAGTCATTTAACTCACGTGGTGTAAAGGGATGCGCTGCGTCGCCGATGAGTGCGAGCTGCCCATCCGCCCACGTGGGCAGCTGATCCATATCGAGAAGGTCCCACACCTTCAGCGTATCCTCATCAGCCATGCTCAATATCTTCAAAACGGCCGGATTCCAGCCCTTGTACACGTCTAGCATCTTGTCCAAGTCTGCGGAGCTTTGCCATTCGTCGGCTTGTTGATCCTTCTGCTCGGTCTCGGATGTTGGATGTATGCAGACAAAGTTCAAAAGCTCGTGATGTCTTGTTGGGTAAATGACAACACGTCGGTCCTTTCCCATGAATATGTTCAAGTGTCCCTCTTTCTCGGCAAGGGGCTTCGTTAATGGGTCGTCAAGAGCACGTGAGCGCGGCATTGTGAATCGAAATGCGCTCTTTCCGGACCCAGATGGTTTGAAACCTTGCGAACCCGGCAATCCACAACGAGCTTTCGAGTGTACGCCATCAGCGCCGATCACAACATCCGCTTTGAGTTGCTCGCCAGACGCCAAAGTGACGCTGCCATCTGTGCCGACACTGGCCACTCGGCTGGAGGTGCGAAGGATAGCTGCCGCTCCAGTGCCATCTTCTGCAGTCGCCACCTTCTTCAGTTGCGAGTGAAGGTCCACTCGATGTGCGAGAAGCCATGGGTATTGCCATCTCCCTGCTGCTCTCCAAAGCGGAACCTCGAACATCTGTTTGCCATCTGGCAAAGACTGCGAGAAGATCTTGCAAGGGACAGCGCCCAGATCTTCGAGGTTGATACCCATTCTCAGAAGCAATCCGGTTGCGTTTGGCGCCATATGTACAGCCGCGCCTAGTTCGTTGGCGAACCTCGATTGTTCCAGGAGAGTGACATGATGGCCCTGTTGTCGAAGGAAAATCGCTGCGCTCAATCCTCCAATGCCCGCTCCAACGACCAGGACGTTGAGCGGTCTGAGTCCTTTGTTTGTATGGTCGACGCCATTCACGCGAGCAGTGGTGCCGTTCATTGCGAAACGTAGCTAAATTGAGGTGCGAAGGTTCCACGCCAACGGCTACATCGACGACCTAATACACGAGGATTATATCTGGATGCAGTAGCGCGAGGCCGATGCTCGCATCTGAAGCCAGCGTATTTCGTACCTAGGCAAACAGTAATCCGTTGCCATGTGGCGGGCAATGATCTCCACATTCCCGAGGGTACCAATGCCACTACAGGTGGTTCGGACATATCGGAGCGGAGATCTACATATATTGAGAGGACAGTTGATTGGCCATATCGATTATCCTATACACCCTTCGCGGTCGGTAGCAATCTGCCTGGGCTCTCGTGTGGTCTTTCTCCGCCCAAGTCTTGCGTGTACCGAGTCATCTACTCGTGAGCCCTCTCTCTCAGCGTTAAACACTGTAATGGAGATAGATGGCTCTAGGTGGAGTCTCTGTCACATAAACGCCGGAATGGACCTTCTTTCATAATTCTAGAGGCTGTCTTGTAGCGCGATGCTCCTTTGACGGACCATCATTTTGACGCAGAGCGAAGAACTTCCATCAACTGCACCAGACCCTCAACAAGTGGTGGGCAAGACCCGCAAACAGCTCCATGATTGCGTCGCAACAGTTCTGACACCGTACCGAGTACCTGAGCGGCATCGCGGAGTTGCACAATCGTTTGTGTGCTGTTGTCTCGGATAGCAGGTTCTCCTCGGTTGAGCTTAACGAATCGCTTGAAATCTCTTTCCTCCGTGCCCCCAAGGATGAGAACTTGGAGATCATGGTAAGGCTCATGATTCGCATCATCAGCTGTACGCTTAAGCAAGCCATATGCCCAAAGTACAAGAGCAGCATGGTAGACTGCCATGGCATAAAAGTTCTGTACCATGCCCTGCGATGATGCCTCGGAGATTTTGATAACTTGTGATGCATGCCAAACTGCCTGTCTTGCTACTGCTGTCGAAGTCCAACTACGAATTGAAGAATAGGCATGCCGAGCTTCATCTGGACCTGCAATGCCGGCGAATATTTGGACTTCCTCTAATGGTGCGTTCAGATGCATAAGCATAATTTCGACGGTAAGAAGCTCTTGGACATGACTGGAGACGTGATTGAGACGGAAGTCTTCGCACAGCGACGTCAGCTCTTGCTGACGTGAAGAAAGTAGTAAGCTATCCGCAAATTGCTTCTTCGAAGTTACCGCCCGGAGCTGCCGGTACTCCCAGATCATGCCCCAAATCATATACAAGTAGGCTGCGCTGGCTGTAGGGAATAGGTTGAGGTATTCGAGATCTTCCAAACAGTCGAAAAGAGTAGGTCTCTTCGCTGTTGCCCCCAAGGTGGTCAAGTACGTAGTTTTCCATGCCGAAGCTGATGGTGCTTGCCATAGTGCGTCAGAATGAGGCAGTGGCAGATTCATCTCGGCGTAAGAGATCAGGGGTGGTTTGAGGAGCGCCATTGAAGATTGCCGATCGAACTCAAAATATCTGTAGACAAGACGAAGCCAGGATTCTTGGTGGACCCACTCCTTCCATTTCTTCTGCAGTGAGGGGCCTTCTTCATCGGGGTTTGGATACATCTTCTTCCATATAGAACGGCTGAACCAGCCCCCACGGCGGAGCATAGTGATTGGAGGCTGTAGGAAGCTTTCTGCGATTTCCATTTTGCGACTCATGCCGCTCCACATGCCGACTTCACAAAGCAGAAGTTGCATCTAAATCATCGAGACAATGTCAGCTTCTGTGTCTCAAGGATGGCAACCGATACATAGTCTTACCTGTAAGTATTGAATGTCGCGAATGGAACTGTTGTCCTCATCTATAGACTTTGCCATAGAAACGCGTGCTACTTCGTGTAGAGCAAGGCCTAACTTTTGCAAGAGATCATCTGGGGCTGAGAAAGCCCCCGCAGCGACGATGCAGGCGAGCAGCAATGGATGCACTCGGGTGGGCGAGAATGTTGGAAGATGGAAACACGCTCCGGCATCGACGGAGAGCGAAGTGAAGAAGACTTGAATCATGCCCTCAAGTAATTCGAGGGACGGAAACCCAGCGGCTATACGTTTGGAGTTCTCATAACTAGAGCTTTCGAGCACCAGGGCGAGGAGTCTGTCTCTCGTAGTATAGGACAGTCGCTCGCTTGTGATGTTACGAGATGGGATATGGGCAGGCGATTGACCTTCTCTCTCTCCGTCGGGAAATGCTAGGTTCGATTCGCCTGCGGTCACTGGATTCGTCTTGCTCCTTGGATTATAGCGCCAAAGGCTTCGATCAAATGCTTTCGCGCGATCTGCAGCAGCAGTGTCCGACGGTCTGTGCTGGATATGCTGTTCAGCAAGGTGGACGTCCTGGTGAAAGGATTTTTGTTGAGAGCTTTCTTGGAAGAAATTCTGATCAAATAAAGCAAGATCAACGCCACTGAAATCAAGGTCCCAGTTGAAGTTATGTTCAACAAGCCCCCGAGGGGTGGCGTAACCTGAGAGAGCAGTCTCCAAAGGCGGCATATATCGGAGAAAGTCCGGTATGGAGGCATCACCTGGAGACCCTTCGCTGAAAGTCATGGTACTATTCTGCATGAATAGAGGGAGTGGCTCTGGATCTTGTGTTGTACCCAACGTCACATCCGCAAAATCGGGTTCCATACCCGACATGTTGTCCCACGCCTGCGGCATCTGGTGGGGTGCAACCATGACGGCTTCCTCCACTGTCGACTCCGAGTGATGATGTGATGGGGTAGGTTGAGAAGTCTGTGCACGTGGCGACCGTGAGTCGAGGTTATTAGAGAGATCAAGCAAGTCTTGAGCGGCGTCAAGCTCTTCTGCGGCATCGAGCTCTTCTTGCGCTGTCGTCGACAGGCGACAAGTTAGGTCCTTCTGCCGACACCTGCGGCACGGCTTTTCGTCTTCACACTTGAGGTGGCTCTTCGAGCATTCTTCGCAGGCTTGACCAACCCTGCTCAAACGAGCAACCTCCGTACGTGAACGCTTCTTGCCAGTGTCAGAGGCATGGTTGGCAACATGTCTCTTAAGTAAATCGCTAGAAATCTTCAGCCGTGTCGTATTGGAAGTACACCGGAGCACTGCTTACACTCTGGCGAAGCATTTGGAACAAGTTGGGCACACGTAAGGTCTCTGCTTGGTGTCTAGGCTCGTGAGCTAGTGCTAACAATGCTCAAGTGTAGCTATGCATTGCTTACGCGAACGGACGTGACGCATCAAGTGGTCAACGCGTATGAATGAGCGCTTGCACGTGCTACATTGAAAGAGCCTTTCCTTCGCTTCCGTTTCGGGCATAGCCGGAGGACTTGTTCCTTTCTCAGTCATCTTACGGTGCATGCAGTCAGCTCGGCTCGGGTTGGACAAGATGTCGGGGCAGGATGTGGAGGACAATCTGGGGAAGCCAGGGAAATATGGGGTGACGCGGAGAGACAAGACAGGAGGCGTTCGCTGCCCGAGACCTCCGCTAGCGTTTCGTGGGTTTCCCCACATCCCGAGAGCGGGCGCCATCGCCCCCGAGCAACATCCGACAGTCTGCAAGAGCTTAGCATTGCTGGATCCCAACGCGAAACATAGATTGCGAGTGCATCCTCTTCGGAGGAACGACTCGTCTGTCAAGTTTCGAGCATAGAGCACGTGATTTAGTCCTTCACAAGCCTTCGCATCGACCCTCTGAGTCGGTCAACCTATTGAGCCCCTCAACACACTTGTCCATTCATCCATTTGGCTCCTTGAACCACCGCAATCCAAAAAGATGCCTCGTCCACCCATTCACTTCTTCTCCCATGGCTCAACGATGATGCTCGGCGAGGAGTCCGCCTCAGCGACCTACTGGAAACAATGCGGCGACGAAGCGCTCGCTCACAACATCAAAGGCATTGTGATGATGGGCGCGCACTGGGACGCCCGGGGCACAAATCGCATCGACGTCGCGATGAAAGCCGACCCCGCAAAGTCACCCGTTGCTTACGTCCACCCCTCAAAATATGTCGACTACAAGCTGAACCCCGACCTCAAGACCGGCAAGCGCGTAATTGACATGCTGAACGACGCTGGTCTTGATGCACGGGCTAATGAAACATTCGACTGGATTCATGATACATACTTGATTCTGGTCAGGATGTTCCTTGGGGGATGTCCACCGACTACGATCGTGAGCATGAACGCCAGGTTCGATCCGCACTTGCACGCAAGAGTAGGCAGTGTCGTCGCTAAGCTGAGAGAGGAAAACTACCTCATTATCGGAACAGGAGGTGCGGTGCACAACCTCTACCGGAATCACTGGTGGCAGATGCTACGGTATTCGGATAACTTTGCGATGCCGGTCCCGCCAGAGGCAGCTATGTTGGAGTTCAGACAAAGTATTGAGGACGTCTTCTTGAGGAACTGTAGAGCCGGCATGAAGCGAGGTGCTCTGGTGAATGCCGTCACGCGATTGATGAAGCATCCTCAGTACAGAGATGCGCATGGGACAGACGATCACTTTATGGCTGCTTGTTTTATAGCTGGTGTTGTAGATGCTAGCGAAGGTGTCGCTGATGATGGGTGTGTTCTCGGGGCTGAAGACTGGGAGTTGGTCAATATGTGTAACAGTCAATTCACTGTAGGGAAGTGGGTGTCGCAGACTGCTTGACTCATATAACGAATTGTATTGTGCCTTCTCACCTCCGAATTCTCGCCTGACTCTCAAAGCCCCACGATCCGTAATTTACACAGCATAACAATTAGTAAACCAAGACTACGACTTCGCATACACTCCAGTCAATGTTCCCAGCACGCGGAGACCACTGGCTTTTATAATACCTCTTTACACTCCAGGACCCTTCTCCTTCGCACCTCCGAGTTACGTATCACCTCAAGATTAACCAATCCCAATTCCGCTTGGCCTTGTCTCCTGTCCACCTTCATCTCGTCCTCCTTCATCACCGGTGCCACGTCCTCCATTCTTCCTCCTCTCCGCACCCGCTTTCGTAAGCGGACGCGAGTCCTTCTTGTCGCCAGCGAGAGTCAGCGGGCTGAAGCCAAGGTGTTCAGGTGCGTGCTTAGACATATTTCGCGTGCTTCTGTTGCAGTTTGCGGACGTACAAACCCACGTTGAGGTTGATTGTGCCGAGCTTCAAGGTGTGTTGATTTAGGAAAAGAAGTAAGCGCGGGAATATATAAAGCGACATGGCAGCCGTCAGCCCTTCACAGCATGACAGTCACATACTACACAGCGCAGCCCCTCCTCGGAAACGTGAAATTGAAATTCGCATTCAACCGCAACCACCCAATGCTATACCCAGCTAATCTATGCAAAAATGTCCTGAAAACAAATGAAGGAAACAACGCTGTGCGCTAGGGTATTGGTATTACTCCACCACTGCTCCTCCCTCCATTATCTATATACACTTCCTCGCACCATCTTTTACCCTCACCGCTCCTGTCACTCGGGTGCGCGTGGCCCCGTCTCAAGATCACCGTCGGATTGTCCCCTCCACCCCCTCCAGAGCTCATTCAACGTCCCACTAAGGCTCCTTGCCCTGCCGCCAGTCTGCTCATCTCGGCTTCTGTTATCTTCATCCGTAGCTGTACGCCGCCGGTCCAACGGTTCGCCAATGTGACTATCCATCACCTCATCAGCACCTATGCCTAGAACACTTTGTCTCCGCGCTGCATCGCCGCTGTTAGTGTCTCTCTGCAGCGGCGGCCCGCGGAGACTCCCGCTCCTTTTCAGATTCGCGACCATAGCGCTTAGACTGTTTGATAGCGGACTCGCGAGCAGAGGGCCGGAAACAGAATTTCGACTGCCGGCGCGCTCGGAGGTTGCGATGCGGCGAAGGCGATGCTGCGCAAGCGTGGAAGGTGGGGTGGGTGCGATAGCGGCTGTGTCAGATATTTGTCGGACAGGAGTCTGCGGGCGTGGTGGGCCGGTGAGCTCGGGGGAGGATGTGGATGCGGCTGGTAGCTCTGGTGTTTGTGAAGGTAGGACTGGGGTGGAGAGAGTACTGTTGCGGCTGAGTTCTGCAGGGCGAGGATCGAAAGACGTGGAATGGGTGTCGTCATCCTCCCACGGATTCCGCATGAGTGGTGATGGAACTTCGAGCGCGGCTGCTGACGTTAGGGGGTCTTCAGACAGTGCGTCAGGCGTGAACGTGATGTCGGGGCTGGCTGATTGTGAAATTTCTCTGGTTGGCGGTCTTCTGTCGGTATTGATTGGAGGTGATGTTGCTCGAACGGTGGATGAGCGTCGACTACTTCCGGCTGCTTCGTTCGTTCCATTGACGTCGTCGCAGTATCTTTCCCCGTCTACAAGATTAATCGCATCTTCCGGTTCGGGGTCCCTATCCTCGTCTTCGTCCAAGCGTTTGGGCCTTCCGCTCGTTATCAACCATACACCAAGGAAAGTCAACGCACATCCACCCACGAACTTGCCTGCGTCGTCTCCCGAGGTCCGCTCAAAATCCCTATACAAGACGGCCGAACCTAGAATGACAGATAGAGTAAAAAGGACAAATTGCACGGGTATAACTTGCGTCGCATCAAAGCGCTGGAGAGCCCTGTTGATGTACTTGATCTGCATGACCGCAGTCCCGACCAAAATAGCAACGAGCAGATACGTAACGGGAAATGTGATTGCGCGCCAAAGCGTATATGAGAGCATGGACGCCACGCCCTTAGTGGAGAGGGCCGTGTAGCCACCTGTCGGACATGAGTATTGAGCCACAACAGACCTCTAATAGGGTACTCACCAAACAGCCCGACCAGCCCCAGGTCGATCAAAATGTTCTTATCGCCGTAGCGGTTACTGGCAAAGAGCAACGCGATAATAACAGCAACGGTTATCCCAAAGTACGTCTCAAACTCCCAAGTACTGATCAAGCTCCAGATCTCGTCCGGACCCAGTTTGGGATTATTATCGCTCGCACTGAGAACCACAGTGACAGCCCCACCGACAGCAACCAGCACTCCGAGAGCATCTCGTGCGCGGAAGGGCTCCTTGAGCATAAATGGTGCGATAATGCAGTTCGAGATCAGAGCGACGACGCCGAGCGGCGAGACGATGGACGCGGGAGCGAATCCGTAGGCAAGGAAGTTGCCCGCTTCGCCACAGGTCATCATGATGATACCTGCCCACCAGTACGGAGATTTGAGATAGCTCTTTTGCTTGTACGCAGCCTCTTCCACGCCGTCCTCCTCTTGCACTGGCGAAAGCCCCGACCTTGACCCTCCCGTATTCTTCCGCGAAGGCGCCGCATGCAGCAACGGGTCCTCTTCGCTCGCTGTATCTTCTGCTACGGGCTCATCTCGATACCGCTTCACCCCGCTCAAACTACGATAACTCGCGCTCCGCCTCTTCCGCTGTCTCTCCTTGGCCTGCCATTCCCGCTCCAGCCGTATATGCGCATATCTCTGAGTATTCAACGCGAAGGATATGAGGACGTTGCCGACAATGGCCGTGATGATGCCGATAAAAGAGTTCCACTGCTCGCTCCCGTACGGTGGGATAAGACTCGTCGATGTCGGACTAGGCGCATCGCTCGTCGTTGTCGCCGGGCCCGCGGCGACACTCGTGGGTGGGAGCATCATGGGTGGGAGGGAAGATCAGAGTTGCGCGTTCCCTGTCCGCCGTTCGTTTCTACACGCAAAGGACTTGTCGGGTGGAGGATCTCGGCCTCGGGTGGTGGTTATTCGCAGCAGCCGGGGATCCGGAAAGCTTCATATAGGATAAGCTATGCAAATTTGTAAGACAAACATGCTCGCAGCGGTTGCAGAGGGCGTACGAAGCAGAGGGTTGCGTTGCCGCGATGCCGTGCGTAGTTGCACATTTTCTTGGCACTAGCAAGGGTCCTGATCTTCACATGACGGGACCCGGACCAAGCCCCGCGCCCCCATGTTTACATCACCATGCAGCTGTGCCAGCCTCGTTGACCTAACGTCCATCACGTACCGACGTCTGTCTCTACTATATACATGAGTCAACTTGTTCTCGTTGTGACGCTTTCTTTTCGACTTAAGGGTTTGCTTCCGGTTGATTTTCTGCATGATGAATCGTGCACGAAAGCGAACGGACGATATACTATTGGTTTCTAGACTGAACATGTTTTTCAAATGAAGTGCATGAGGGGTTGACGCTTGATGCCAACCTAGATCGAAACTAAACACAGATCAGTCGACTTGTCCCGTACAAATCATGCTGTAATAAACGTTCCTTCGCACTGCGCCCTTCGTCAAGGACCGTATGTTCTTCAATACTGGTCTAGTGCGTCTGAATCGTCGTATGAGTCCTCGAATGATTCTCAGTATGACTCTTCAGCTGGCTCCTCATCCGAGAACACATCCAACCCACGATAGTTCCTTGCTAGATCGGCGATGTCGTCGTTCTCGCGAATACGCTCAAACAGCCAACTGCCCTCGACTCGAGGAAGCCTGCGAAGCATCTTAAGCAAAACTTCGGCGTCGTCATCGTTGGCCGGGACGTGGTCATCATCGAGTCGATTTGCGTTACTCGACTGCATCTCCAGGCAAAGATACAGGGCTACATCTTCGAATCGTTTGGCCGGTTCAGTTCGAATGTGACTGTCCTTCAGTTTCCTGATCGCTTTCCCCAAAGCGGTCTGATCTACAACCGACGCCGCAGGGCAGTACTGGTCCGGTCTGACGCCATGTTGAACCAAAAATTTGACACCGGCCAAGCATCCTCTGTCCACACGTCGGCTCATAAGCATTGTCCTGTTACGTTCAGACTTGAGAAATTCCGCATGGTTAATCCAAATACACGCCAAGTCGAAGCGGTGGTGGTCGATGGCGATGCGCAAAGCCCGGAACCAGCGTATATCGTATATATCAACGAAGGCGTCTTTAAGTACCGCGCGTATGTAAGAGCGGCTTGCTTCCTCGTAAATTTGATCGAATTGGTGGTCAGACTGAGGGAGCATATGGACAATCAGCTCCTGAGGGAGGACGTTAAAGCGCTCCATGTTGCTTCGCTTCACTCGCACCCCGTGGATAGCTTCCAGTACAGAGCATAGAAAAGTCAGGTGGCATTCTTCGACATGCTCATCGCGACTGATGATTTTAAGTGCGCCACGAAGAACATCATTTCCGAGGCTGTCCGGATCCATTATAGATTCATGGACCGCCAAACGTTCGAAAATGAAACGGCATATTATCGCTGCGATCGCGAACTGGCGTTGCCGGACCGATACCTGCACTCCTATTGTGAAGCGGTGCGCAAGGATCTGAGGGGTATACCCGGGGAGGTGACGGATCCGTGCCAGAGATCGTTCCACAATGTATTCCACTATGGAGGTCCTACCTGTGCCAGCGGCGGTGAGGAACGCACTTTGCAAGTAGGGCTCATGGCCTACAAAGACGTCTGCGGTTATGGGTACCATCTTTTCGAACATCTTAAGGTCTCCGATGGCCGCGATAGACGTCCAGAGGCGTTGGTCTTGGATAACGACCGGCGGCACTTTGTGGCAGATGCGACTGCTGTCTGCGATTACATGGCCATCTTCAAGTCCAACTCCAGGTCTTTCTTGGACGTCGCCAACGATCTCTTTCCATTTGTCGTTCCGTAGGTGTCGTGAACCAGCGATCAGGCCTGTGCAGATAGCGAGCAGATGTTCTTTCCCTATGTCATCTGGATCGATACATTCTGCGATGAGAAGCTCGCCCATCATCTGTCTTGCCAACTTCGTGACGGCATTTGCAGCAATGCCCCTCTTATTTGCATGCATAGCCCCACCATGGCGAATGAGTAAACGCAGTTTTTGGGCTTCCGTCAAGGGCTGAAAGACATGAGCGATCCTCTGCACACCGATAATATCGTTCTGAATCGCGTTGGAGAATGCTTCTGTGAAAGGTCAATCTGAAGACCCCGACGATACTGGGGAAAAGCAACAGACTGCAGACGAGGCGGTACTTGACGGCGGCCGCACTTCCAATATCGCTCACTAAATTGTGCATACAGAGAGCGAAAAGCTCTGGAGGGAGGTCGGTCAACTTTACTGGCGCCTGTTGTTGGTTCGCTGCAGCTGTGAGCTTTTCAGGCGCTTTGCGTCTTCCGCGACGAGTGGCCATGCTGCGGGAAACCGCGTCGATGGCGCCGCTGGATTGCTTCCCGGGGGATCTTAAGGTGAGTGCAGAGGTCAAGAGAACGTATTTTGCCACGTGCGAGTATCAACATGGTTCGTGAAGCAGCGGCGTGGGTGTAGCTCGCGCTTGCCTTCTGTAGCGACGAGCTCCTGTACGCGGCAATGGCCACCGACGCAGCAGAAGGGTAGTATCCCTCCTTATCCTTACCCTGTTCCATTGTCTGCTCGCATGAGTTCTCCCATATCGGGGGCTTATCCAAGGCCGACTATCTTAACATGTCTCCAGTAGCAGGATCTTGGCAAGAGCCCTCCTTCGACCTCCAGTGACATTGCCAGAGGTCGCATAACCCCTATGTAAAGTTCATGCAAGGTCACCTCAACGCAAGCGGTCGGTGAGATGCCCCGATCCGCGCGGAACGGTACGGTAGGTCTCTGGCGCCGTCTCACCACTCCTCATCCACAACGGGGATAGCCTTGGCATAACTCCGACTGCACATCGGGACTTAGGCAGTAAGCCCTCTATTGGGGTAGAACTTGGCATGTCACTACCGTTTACTCGAACATATAAGAGGGCCTTGTTTTCGCTTTAAATGGCTTGGATACTCCCTTGCTACACAGAGTGCCTCAAATATCACAGTCATCACCACCAACGCCACGAACCATCCACTCTACTAAATTCAAAGTCAAAATAACCCTTCTCCACAATGCCTCCCTCTAACCACCCCATCGTAACCCTCGAAGAAGCCTTCCTCTCCCCGCACGTCCGGTCCTTTTACGCCTCTTCCAACTTTCCCGACCCAAACGCCGAAGACGGCCTCACCGGCTACGCAACGGCCTCGCTCATGGAATTCGGCCCCCAACGCCTTTCCTCGATGGATTCAAATGGAATATCGCTGCAGATAGTCAGCCACGTCCCGAACCCGCTCCCTTTGGATGCCAGCACCGCGCGAGCTGTAAACGATGATGTCGCAGCGCACATCAAAAACATGCCAGAAGCAAGGTTCGCCGCTTTCGCCACGCTGCCGATGAAATATCCCGAGGACGCAGTGGCGGAGTTGCGGAGGTGTGTAAAAGAGCTAGGCTTCGTAGGCGCACTCATCGACAGCAACTGCGGCGGGCGGTTTTACGACGATTCTTTCTTCTGGTCTGTCTTCGACACAGCAGTGGACCTAGATGTACCAATCTACATCCATCCGTGTCCCAACGAAGCCGTCAAGAAAGTGCTCTACTCAGGAAACTACTCCGAACATATAGCGACGTCAATGAGCGAATACGCGTGGGGCTGGCATAACGAAGCGGCTGTCTCCTTCCTGCGGCTCTTCGCCTCAGGCCTCTTCGACCGCTTGCCCACCCTCAAGCTCCTACTAGGCCACTGCGGCGAGATGATTCCGTTCCAAATGGAGCGCACCGCGAATGTGATTGAGCGGCAGTGGCCGCACATCGGTGGCAAGCATGAAAGAAGTTTCAGGACTGTGTGGGACGAGAACGTCTGGATTACCACGAGTGGATTTTTCGAGACCGGCAACATGCCATGTGTCTTAGGACAGTGTAAGCTCAACAGAATACTGTTCAGCGTTGACTATCCGTTCGGCAAGAACGAGGCTGGTGTTGCTTTTCTGCAGAAGCTGAAGGAGGAAGGGTTAGTGGACGAAGAGGGGTTGGAGATGATTGCGTGGAGGAATGCGGAGAAACTCTTGGGGGTGAAGGCTAAGAAGAGGTGATCGGTAGGATGTAGATGGGTATGATTGGTATCTCTGAAATTGAAATACACGCCTCTGGACGGGCAGTGGCCGGTGTTAATACCAGCAGTACCTTAAGAACGAAACCGTCATTCGCCACTCTATGCTTTTCTCCTCCAGAAATTCCCCCTCAATAGCTTGAGACGTTGTATCTCGCGGTGCTGCTTCATGTGCTCTTGTTTAGACATGTTGGCCAATAACTACGGCCAGACCATCCGAAAATGATTCGCCCAGACATGAACCAGGAACTCACTTTGCAAGAGATGCTGCCAAAGCAAAGAGCGGTGCTCAATCGCCGTTCGTCGCCATCTCTTCCGCGACCTCGCCATTAGCATCCTCTGTTTCCATATCTTCCGGCTCAGGGTCGGGCTCGGCTGCAAGAAGTTTGATACGAGCCTCGACGGCTTGCTCTCCCACGACCGACTCTTCGACTGCAGACTTGCGGACAAAGACTGTGTGCCACCGCTTGCCCCAAGCTCGAATAAGCTCACCATCCTCCTTCGACAACTGGCCGTTCGTTTCCTTTTCAATCAAGCGATCAGCAGAGCCCTGCGCAATACCGCGCAAGACATCTTCCAGATACTTGAACAGCTCGCGTGCAGCGTCGCGATCCTTGCTCAATGTAGCTTCAACCATATCAATCATTTCCTGTGGGAGACCCTTAACCACCCTAGAGCTGACGATCTGGCGGTTGCGACTTGAGACCTTGGCCACGGTGATGGACACAATCTCGTAGACCCAACTTTCCGCGAGGCCTTCTCCGGCACCGAGGTTCTCACCAAGCACCCACTGAATGACGGTCATAGGAGCAAGGATCGTGTAATTGAGCAGGATGTCGATGATGCGGACAGCAACACCGGGTTGGTCTTTCCAGTACTCAAAAACGCTGGCCACGATCTGGCGTCGTGCGGGCTCGGAAGTCTGAGCAACTTCAATGAGGCGATCTTTACCGCGCTCAATGCAGGAGAGAACGTGGGCTAGAGATTTGGCACCTAGCCTGCAGATGGCAGTTACGAATGCATCAGTCGAAGGAATGAGCACATCGGTGATACCTTGCTCGGCTGCAAGCTCGTGAATTTGATTGATGGTTATCTGGACTTCCTCGGCGGGCGCTTTCTTCTTGAGTTGTTGGATCAGTTCCTTGGCTTGAGCGCTATACGGGGTTTCTACAGCCGTTAGGGGATCCAAAGAGATTAGACTAGGGGGCCATACCTGGGTTGTCATATTTGAAATCTGGACTGTTGTCCTCGTCCAAACGTGCCGGAATAAGATCGTTCATTTCCTTCGGCAAAGTGGAGCGAATGCGCTTGGCGAACGAAAGACGGATCTCTTTGTCCAGCGCAGCAATGATGAAAGCCTTCTTGGGCTGCAAATTTGAGAGCTCAAGGTCCCCAATCCTGCCTTCAATTAGCGTTGCGGTTCTAACTAGATGAGTGCACATACCATTCCGTCCATCGCCATCGGAATTCAAAGTTGCTCAGGTGGTGAGTGAACCAGTCTAGAAATCGGTATGTCAGTTCAAGATCCATGACATGCAGGCTCTGGAAGACGGTCCTAATAGCACGACCAAGCGACGGCGCGATCGCTTGGGGCGCAAGCTTGCAGCAAGAGGTAATTAGTGCATGGTAGTAGACGAGCTTGTGGTCAGCGGTCGGAAGCTTGAACAGCTGCGAAAAGATAGCGTCGATAATCATATCCTCTGACTTGTACATAATCTTATCACCAACCAGTTCCCGGAACTTGTCGAAGGGAGTACCGCGCTTAGCGAAGGTGTCCAGTGACCAGTATGAGTCAAGCTCAATGAGGAACTTTGCTGCTGCGTCCCGATTGAAGTCGAGTTGGTCGATGGTGTCCACGATAGCATCGCGGATCAGAGAAGCAGCAATATCGTCGGTCTTGGGAACCGTGCCGTTCTCGTGGTTGGCGAAGAGGGAGAAGTACGCCTCGGGGAAAAGAGGTTTCGCACCAGGGTTGACTGGTGAAGGAATGTTGAATTTTGGAAAGGCGTGTGTTGGCGGTGCCGTAGGCAGAGTGTCCTCGGATTGCTTCTTCTGGAGAGCCTCCGCATCAAACTTGGGGATGCACGCAATGTCCCATCCCGATTCTGACTCCTTGGTGAGCTGTTGTTGAAGAAGACCAATGATGCTGTGGTATCCTATGACTTTGTCCTCATTTTCGTCATCGTACGTCTGGATGAGGGACTCCATGGGAAGCATGTTTCCCGCCACTATGCCAGTGTTGGACAGCAACTCTCCGGCTTTTCCATGATAGCGGCTGCCACCAGAGACCAGGGCATACGGGATGGTGAGAAGAATGATCTTCACGAGCTCAATGCCGACGACCTGTTGCGATTAATAGAAGTCAGATGAAGAACGCAGCTGACCTACGTCATTCTCGTTCGCGCTCTGAAGATCCACAACTGTGTCGAACAGCTGACCGAGGAGCGCAAAGATGCCATCATCCTCAAACAGAGGCTGCAGGCATGCAAAGAAGCGAAGAAACAGCTTGAACTCCTTCCACTGTCCAGCATTGAAAGTCTCCTGTAACCGATCTCCCACGAGCTTTATGGCTTCCGATGCGATCTCGAGCTTGGCCTGGTTGCCGTAGAAGATGACGGCGGCCACGAAGGGAATTTTCAAGGGCTGCTCGACAATGCTAGAGTCCGTCAGTACAGTATAACAGAAATGTGTTTCGCAAACGTACAGCTGCAAAAGTGTGTCGTAGAACTCGCCACGTGCATCTTCCTCGTCGAAGTGGTCCCGCAGGTACTCAGCAATCTCAATGGCCTCATCTTGTGGCAGCTTGGTCGAACTTGCTATGTTCAAGATCGTTCGGCGCAGCTTCGCGTGTGCGGGCTCCTCATATCGGCGACGTGGCTCTCCATCGTTGAAGCGTCGGCGCTGGGGTCCGCGGCGATCATCGCGGCCTCTGGGACTGTAATGAAAATCATCCTCATCTGTCGTGTCGCGTTAGTCGCCTGATCGAGGGAGTCGACCAGCTCGGAGCTTACCATCGCGGCGACGCTTGTTTCCTCCACGGTTGCCATTTCCACGATAGCGGTCGTCTCTGCTGACGTCCATGTCTGTCATTGAAGACACCAGCGCAGATATGTTCCTCTCCTCAGCAGATATCCCCTCAAACAGCTCCTTGACGCGTGGGTCGTCGGAGCGATCGCGAGGCCGGTCGCGAGGCGAATAGCACGGCGTGTAATAGTCAGGATACAGAGGTCGTTCGCGAGAGCAAGAGCGATAACGTTGGCGACGCCGTGGTGGTGATGATCGGTAGCTGTTCGCGAAGCCGCGTTGCGAAGCTTCATGCCGCGAGTGCTCGAACGAGTTAGTGCGCGAGCGGCTTCCGTGTCCTTGGCATGCACGTGCATCCCGTGAAGCTGGGGACGTAGGAGCTCCTTCCATCAACACCACCCTATCAGGATGGACATTGGCTGGAGTTTCTGGCTTAGTCGGCTGTATATCTGGGATTGAGAAGATGCTTTCGCCGTCCAAAATATTGCAATTCATGTTTCTTGTGAAGCTACCGCCTCTACCTGCATGGTGACCGAAGGCATCCAGCATGGATATATCGATGTCCATAGTGAAGATGATGGGACGGAGGCCAGAATTAATAAGTTCCAGTGAAATGCTGTGCTGGGCAAGATGATAGGGTGTACAGTGATGGACTTCTTCAAGCTTCAGTCCGCCATCAACCTAGGGAAGGAAATGTGGCCAGTGACCGAAACCTCGTCGAGTGATGCCTAAGTCCCTAGGAACGCCAGCTATATGGCAAGCGTTGAAGGCGAAACTTGGGTTGCAGCAAACGTGGAAGTGAGGAGGGCGTCTTTTATAGCTGCTATCGCGGTCTATAGCCAGGGCAGTGAGGGACAGCCGGCGTAGCGCCAGTAAGAGAAATACGGTTCTCTCAGAGCCCAGCTTCGTCCGGGTGAGAGATAAAATCTGCTTCTTCGAGATACTTTGTTGAGATTCTTACATTCCGCTCGTAGAGAGCCAATGCTGGAGAAGTCATTCAAGTTACACACCTGCACTAAACCCTTCGTTGAAGGCTTGCATAGAAGCTGAGTGGTAAAGTCAGGAGTTGTTGTCGGGTGAAGTAAATCAATGTGATGGGCCATTGACACAGTTTCTGGTTGCGGTGCGAGGGACTTTTGAAATGTAAGGCACCTATCATACCATACGTGAAGTGCCGCGCCGTTCAGTTATAGCATAAGCATTGTTTGCCTCCATGCCATGTGTGTTTGAGTTTACACACGCTTTGTTGCATCGTCACGCGTGCATGAGGGAAGAGCTGTGCGAGGTGAACAGCGCAACCGTAGCTATGCATTACCCGTTATGATCATCAATCATCCCCGAACTCAAACGTACAATCACGTATCGTATCGCTCGAAAGGCACCCATCTCTTCACCAAACCACAACATCAAAAGCGCATGCAATAACAGAATCAGAAGAAAAGAGAATAAAGGGATCTACTTCCAGGTCGCCGAGAACAAGGCATGTTGTTGACCCCGCAATAGCGCCAGAGCTTGCGCAAGCTCGAATCATATCAAGGTTATGTCTCGCTCTGACGAGGCAGTCGGTCCTGTTCATACCACTATCCTCACCATTCCATAGACATCCCCGCGTGCATCTGGCCAGGCTCCAGCCCGTCCTTCTGGTTGGGGCCCACGCTGAGGTACCCGCAACGCCCACACCACATTCACAGCCTCCAGAGCTTTCAGACCATACATGAAGTAAGCCTCCCGTTGACCCGATCCCCGTGACCACTTTCAATCATGCGCAAAAAGAACCAAAGATGAAGAAAAGGAGCACACCCGCATGCAGAAAAAAGGGGGGAGACAGCCGCACCAGATGCGCGAAGCCTATGAAACCACAGCGTTCCAATTTCCCATCCTGAGATATTCGTGCCAGTCCCTGACTTTTATGTCCATCCCCTTCCCGCAAAAAGCATTTGCATTTCGTCCGCTCGTTGACCGTCGTGTGTCGAAAGATAACATAAAGGCTGAAAAATATTGCGCATCTATGGACCCTGCCCGCCAGTTGCATTGACAAGACGGGGAGGACCAGAGATTGCGGAAGAAAAGCAAATCGTGCCATTCGCAAAAATGTGAATGGCGTTCGTAACATTTTCAGACGAGCTCAGATATTGCAGGGAAAGGGCGTACAGTCGGCGTACCCACTCAAGACACCGACGCCGAAATGAGACTTCTGATCGTGAACATCTTCCCAAGTGGACGTCGGCGTCCTCGTGAGCGGGGCACACTGGAGGCCACGCCGCAGAAAAAACATGATGTCGTAAAGCATGCAGGCTTGGCCGGGCTTAGTCCAGCCGCGCCATCATCTGATCCTTTGTCAAAGGCTTGAAGTTGGGCGACTCGAAATCCAAGCCTTGTTGTTGGAGTCGGGGCTTGATGTGCTGCGGTACGAGCTGTTGGTTCAGGTGGGGTGCAATGGATAGTTCTGGAGAGTCATCAGAGTTGAAACACAAAACGTAGCGCAAGGTGACACTCACCATGATGAGTGAAATTGAACAATTCGGGCAAATCCCTCGTGGCGCCGTTGGGGTGACGAGAATCTGGAAGCCGTGTTTGAGGGTCCCTCAGCTCGTCGAAGAAGGGTTGCACCATGGCATCGATCGCCGAGAGACGCTGGGTGGGCGTGTACTCTAGCAATTTCGAAATGAGGTCGATCGCGCTGGGATCAGCTTTCCGGAACACCTATAGGAATCAGTTCGAGCTCAACAGCGCGTTTCATGGGCCTCGTCTCGTACCTTGTTGAATGGGTGAGGCTTAATCTGGGGGAATTTGTGTTCCATGTAGTTCGGGTTCATGGTGCGGATTTGGTCGCGCGTGGGCGTGCCGAGGACTTTGATGATTTCGACTAGTTGATCGATGCCCGACTCGCCAGGGAACAGTGGTTGCCCAAGCATGAGTTCGGCCATTACGCAACCGGTTGACCACACATCTGATAGCCGCTGTCAGTTCTGTCAACTGGAAGCGACGTGAAGGACGTACCGATCTTTGTGGTGTAGTTGGTGGCCCCAAAGATGAGCTCGGGTGCACGGTAGTACCTCGAGCAGATGTACGACACGTTGGGCTCATTCTCCACGAGAATCTTCGCGCTGCCGAAATCACAGAGCTTCAGCACACCTGTTGAGGGGTCTAGCAGCAGATTCTGCGGCTTAATGTCCCTATGGCAGATGCCCTGCGAGTGGATGTATGCAAGCGAGCGGAACAGCTGGTACGTGTACAGCTTGGTCTCGAGGATAGGCATGACCGTCTTCATCTTGTTGAAGTAGCGCGATGCCCGGTACACAGTCTCTGGGACATACTCGAGCACAAGGTTGAGGTAGACCTCGTCCTTCTGTGGCTAACGCGGTCAGCAGAGCTACAACACGAGGACAGTGGGGGCTGAGCAACACGTACACGGTCGCCATTGTTGTAGAAGAAGGCCTTGAGCTCGACTATGTTGGGGTGGCGCACAATGCGCATGATCTGGAGTTCACGGTTCTGGCACGAGTCAGCCCTGGGTTACTGGCGGGAGCGGATACGTCACATGGGCGACCCACCTTGAAGCGCTTGTCTTGGAGCACACGCTTGATGGCAGCGTCCTCTCCGCTGGGAGACAGCTTGGTCTGAAAAACAACACCGAACGAGCCATTGCCGACGATTTTGCACTGCGTGTATGCAAGGTCTTTGTAGTCGCCTGTCACGCCGTCCTGCACCTTCTCGCGGATAACCTCTGCAGGGGATTAGCATTGGGGACATGGTACGCGCGCGGTGGCACGATGGCGGATACGCACCACCCATTCTCAGTGACGAAAAGGCCGATGGCCGGTTCTGGCTCATTGTACGGGGGGCAGCAAAAGAGGGGTCGTTTCCGCCAAGCGCGCGGAAAGAGGGCTATCGTGCGGAGGGCTCGCTGCAGATGTCGGGTTTGTGGTGGTGGGCGCGGCGGCGGGGTGTGCGAAGGGAAGCCGTTGTGGGCAGCGCGCGGGTCGAGTTAGGTTGAGTTGTCGTGTGGCGGGCAGGAAATTGGAGGCAGTAGTGAAATGGCGGGCTTGTGGCTTAGTCGCTCGCGAACAGCACGGTCGTGGCGGCGTGAAGGGCACTGCAGTGAAGGCGGAGGCGGGTAGGAATTGAATTGCAGCGTGGAGGAGGTGGATTGCAAGAGCGTGAAGGCAGGACGGAGGTAGGTAGTGAGTGACGAGAGGGTGGGCCGTCGGCGAGAGGGGTCGTAGTCGCTTGCTAGCACTGCGACTGGAGCGGGCGGAACTCGTGACCTGCCGTCTGCGTGGTACGCTGACGATGCAAATGGTTCCAACACGACGCAGAGATGCAGAGACGGAAGGGAAAAGACTCGAGCACCGTCCGGACGCGTTCAGCAGGCAATGGGGCGCGCGGTTGCAGGTGGTGGGCGGCTTCCTCGAGCGTGCACGTCGCAGGGCTCTAGGACATTTCTTTGAGAGCTCCCAAGCGTCTGCGAGACGGGCCTGGCACATGGGCACATGATGACTTTCATTTTCAGAGCGACCCACTACGCAGCGCGCGTGGCTGCAAACCGCTCCGCCCATGGCTCCCGGGCTCGCGACAAGGCGTCGGTGCCTGCACGCACACAGGAGCTTCCCATGTCCTCTCGACAGCTACAGCCTCTGCTGCAATGCTGCGCTGCACGGCGCCCGTCCCTGTGTCGTCGCGCCCTCGGGCAGCAGCCCGGCGATGCGCGGACACGCCGGGCGCAGCAATTGCACAGCAGGGCGCGTTGCTGCACGACCCAGACGAGCGCCCGCCTCGTCCTCAGCATCTGGTGAGCAGTCTCGTCATGGCCTGCCCATCCGTACGCGCCTCTCTTCCCGCGCGCTCACTGCACCGCCGGCCCACAGCAGGTCAGCTGGCCGAGCTGCACCCCTCCTCGATAGCTCTCCGAAACTGCGTCTGAAGCGCCCGCCGCCAGGCACTCCCTGCCGTCCACTGGGCCTGGCAGCCGCTACCTCTGCAGCGGTGTCCAAACCTCAGGCTCCATAATTTCTTCGCTCTTTGTGTACGCGACAAGCCATTGTTCAACGGCGCCGCCGTTGCCGAAAGGCCCGCGCTCAATGAACCACGGCGGCCCAGCGTTGCACACGCAGAGAGCGATGCTGCAGCTCTTCGACTGATCGAGCCAAACGTGCAGCAGACGTCCCAGGGTCCCAGCACCCCGAAGCAAAGCAAGCGCGTCCAAGATGATCTCACCATCGCGTCGCACCCGGCACGTGCAAGAGGGAGCGCCATGCACGTGAGCCCGGCCCGCACAGAGCGCCTCCGAGCACTCGCCAGTCAGAGGGCGCGCTGAAACACTTTTATTAGCAAACGGCTCGCTGGCCGGTCGAGGCCAAGCGCACACTGGCATTCGGTCACAGGGTCGTACGTCACAGCCCGCATCGCCCCTGCCCTGTTTGGGCTTGGTCGTCCGCGCTAAGCAATTACGTGTAGCTCTCGTGCAGCATCAGTCGGGCGAACTTCGAGTGAACGGGAGCCGAAGAAGCAATGTGCCAGGGGTAAACGCACAGTAGCCGCGTCGTCACCGATGCCAGCATGCCGTTTTCGAGCAAGCTATTGGCACATCTCTACTGGCTGCTGTCGACCAACCCCAGATTCGTATGTATACACACAAGCGAATTAGACCCAAGCACACTGCACAGCATCGAATGGCAAGCGCATTACCCAGCAACCAGTCCAACACCTCACCCAGGATCCACTTGGCTTGACCAATCGCCAGATCAGCATTTCTCAGCCCTGCTCTTCCACATCACAGCTCGTCCATCACACGAGAATACTCGAGCGCATGAGGCTGGCCAAGCATGCATGATGAACACTGCATCGTGTACCACACGAGCTCTCCATCAGGAATGTCCACGCAAATCAGAATACGTCGTCAATATTCATTGGATCAAGCAAAAGCTCCTGTTGGCCATTCAGCACGCTTCCTGACTCAATTTATCCGAATGTTCTGATTCCTTCATGTCTGTGTTGTGGACCGAGGACATCGAAGAAAGAATGCAACACGCTGTGGCCACCCGCATTCGACTACCGACATCGGCCGGAACGTTATTACGCTTATCTACAGGTGTCATGTCTCGCGCCGTCCAGCAGTGTAAATTAAACCGCATGCTTTTCTCAGGCCCTGACGGGGTCACAACAGCGAAGGACCTCATCTCACAGTCTCTCACCCAGGGCTTGCAGAGATTGGCGTTCCGGTGCTCCCAATCTCACTTGCCACAAAGAAGATGATCATGTTTTTGTCACTGCCGTCGACAAGTCTTTCCGAGAACAAGCTCCTCGGATGCGTATGCTAATACTTCCAGCATTGTTTCCCCAAATGGGAGCAGCGCCACACGCACTATAGCGTACCACCTTCAGCGTGCATCCATGCAGCACAACAGCATACTTGAACTCTCGACCAATGGTCAAGCACGGCCGCTATCTGACTCAAATCCACGTTCGGTTCACCGTTGTCACTTCAGCGTATGAAGCAAGAGAAGTCAAATTCGTCAACAAATCACCATCCAGCCTCGCTATGACTCTCCGGCATCACTCACTGGTACCCGTCTTTCTTTTATCTCATTCAAAGGCTCGGCTCGAAGGAATAGTCAACGAGACATGCTTCTACGCTGCGACTACCCCGTTCCATGGTCGCATGCTGCCTCCCTCAGCTACCTCAGCCGCCTCACCAATCGCACACATGGAGGACACCGATCCATGCAACTGATGGCTTCACTGACCCTATGACATACTCCACGAGCAGATTTATGAACAGGTCTGGAATCAATTGCATGTCCCTGCATACGTAAAAGCATCCAACGCTTCTCTTTCTTGCGCATCTTGTGTCCCTAGACCCCGAAGTCCCCGACAAACCTATCCGCGTTGCAGTCTGGGATTTGAGGTTTCTAGCAGCATGCTCGAGCACGCGCATGGAGGATCTCATCACTTTGCATCTCCGGCATAATTAATAAACGCGGGTGGTCACGGGGCGGACGTTAAATACCGCGATTGCTGGCTGCATACCGACGTGGTGGCGAGCTATTGGGTCGAGCCGTGCCGGGTTGGCGTGGTAAAGCGCGGGCTGAGAAGGTGAGTTGGGGTCGAAAATCGTTCAATGCGAGCTTGCCACTGGTCGATCCTTGTGAAATACGCTGTGATCGATGTTTTGATTTTGTCATTGATGGACACCGTAATTCCGATGACAGGTTCTTAGCCGCGAAAGCCGTAACTGCGCTCTCAGCAGCAGAGGAGGTTCCAGCTTTGGTACCTACCAATGGGTACACTCGTTCATCCAACAAGGATTGCGGTTCAAACACACATTGCAGTTTACTCTTAAATGCCATACTTTTCTCTGTACCTTCCAGGCGTATTGCTACTGCTACGTCACATCAAGCATTACACAAGTCTATTTAAGCCTTCAACGTATGCTAATGGTAGACAGACTGCGACATGCGAGAGACACATTCCAGTTATTTTCGGTGATTCCAGCAACTGCAGAGGAAGGAGCTACCAGTTCCCTCGCCAATTGACGGCTTGAGAGGCCTTACACTAATCAAGCGTGCCACCACTGAATATAATAACCTAAGCGCCGCGATTCAGCTAAATCGAAAGCTACTAGACTTGAAAACAGAGAGCTAAATCCGTTGCTACATGAAGGACTGGAATGTGTAGCAGATGCCGGTGCGGCGATCCTCATGATCCCGTGTATCCATTGTAACCTTAGAGTTTTACTGTTTATCGTTCGATATCATGACGAAGATCGGGCATGTGCTCCGCCAGAGCGAGGAAGCTGCCGCCATCGTGCCTGCCTCGTTGGGAAAGCGAGCAGTCGATCACGTGACGTCAAGGTAGTGGACCCGTGGACAGTGCCAGCACAAGCAACATCAGGAGACGCCACATGCATTCTTCTCCTCTCTATATGCAGGTTTGCAGGCAATGACCATGACAACGGCTGCGACCAATTAGATGCAGGCATAGCTTTTGAAAAGTCTAACGATAGTGAGCAAAATTTGTTGGTATTTCTGATCTGGAGGGCGACAGAGAGCTGGATGAGCTGGACTACATAATCAAATCCTGGATAGCGATCGAATGTAGGGTGGAGGTACACCTTTTGCGGCATCCGCTCGTGTACGTATGTGCGACAGTGCAATCACTTGGTTGCCACGTCTTTCGTCATCCGCACAACGACGTCCTGCTTGAACAGCACATGATGGCCTGCATCCGGTCTGGCGGTCTCGAGAACCAACAGTGCCTCAGTTGAACAGGTAGTTGGGGTTAATGAGTGCGTTGTCAGAGCTCCTTACAATCGCACATGAAGGCTCGGATACGGAGAGTGCTTCAATCTCTGCAGGACTGAATTCAAATTTGCATACAGGTACATGCCTAACAGCGATTTTCATCTACGCGTCCCTGGTTAATCGTGTACAGCTACTACCTTCTGCATGTGTATGCTGTTGCCGTGGAAGAAGATCCCGATGCTGGCATTGCAATCGAGATCATCTCCCACGATGACATTGATGAACCATGGAGACAAAGTGATCCTAGCCACCACGAAACGGCCTTAATATTGGGGGCGGTCGCTTGGAACCTTCGGATAGCACCAGGTGGCAGTAGGTTCGGCCAATTTCCATGTCAGCTAGCCGTAATTTGCAGCGGTGGAGACGACGCGTAGTCGCAAGACGCGTACCCGGAAAAAGGATCGCGAACATATAATAAAAGAACACCGTACATTATCTCACTGGATTGGAGAAGATGTAGTATTTCCAAGGTTAATATTTTTAAGGCTTGATATGCATGACTATTTCAGCAGTGTGCGGGATTTCACATCAGATTTGAAAAGGACAAAGTGCAATGGACACAACTAGGTTTTCAAGCGTGAACCATTGAGTAGGCCGTCTGCGCATAAATCTTCGAATCGAAAATCTACGTTGTTTCATCAGTTTGTGATACGAATCAGGCACTTTGCGCTGCTCCGGAATCTATCCCGTCCTGCGATAGATTTGAAAGCGAGCTTTTTGGTCTCTTGAGAATGGTAGATTGGATACACAGCGAAGTTCCACCTCTAACAATGCGTAAGACACAATTTCTTATTGTATATTGAATTGCGACGTTGTTTCTGGTTGTTTCGGTGCGATTCCCGAGCCGATTGGTGTAAGCACTGAAAGATTCGGAAGTGTGGGGAGCTGATGAGGAAGCAAGCCTTTCCCAATAAACAGTCAGCTGTCTGGTTATGAGACTCGCTACCTCCCAGCTTTCGCATTTTGTACCTCCAGTACGTGCCTTGGAAGAAAGATTGAATCCGGTCTATAGTGGTATTCTCTTTGGTGCGAAGAGATTCTCTTCTCTGCGCCCGTGAGCATTCAAAAGTCTTGTGTGACAGCTCTTATATACGGCATGTTAATCGCATTGACCATTCCTGCATTTTCAAATACCGATGTTACGAATCGTAAGCTCGCAGCACGGGAAGGAACTTCCGATCGGCTGGGTGGCAGGAGTGGTCCTGCTGTAGAACAGCAACTGTTCAGTCGTCATCCTTCGTCGGTCGTGTTTCTGGCACTTGAGGGAAACAAATGGTGCATATATTTACTACTCCAGGTTTACAGAGCTGCTCACTAGGTATGACACAGCCTTCGAGGTATTCTTGCGATCTAACGGCAAGAAGTGCAGCACTTAGGTAGGAGCCTTTCGAGTTGATTGCTAGGTCTAGCAGAGATGTGTCTCTTTTTTTTTTCGTCATAACGTTTTCTGTCACAACTGCTCTTCTTGCTGGCTCCATATTCGAGGCTTGGCGCTCGTCACAGACCTCGGCTCGTAGGGTACACCCCCATGTCATCTCGCCGCACCCACGAAGCTTGTACTTCAACACTTGCACGCGGGACTACAATGAGCAAGCTACGCATACTGTGCCTCCATGGCTTCACGTCCAATGGTGCCGTGCACGCGCACCAGCTCCGGCGGATTAGTGCCCAGCTTCCAGAGTATGATTTCCTCTTTCCAGAGGGTCCTCACCGAGTCGACATCGCCGAACAAATGGACATGACCAAGCCCGCCAACCATGCCTGGTCTGAGATTGTCATGTCCGCGTCTTCTTCCGGCCACAGAGCGTGGTGGTTTGCTCGGAATGGGGACTGGAAATCCAAGACTAGCGGCGGCTTCATCGGCCTTGAGGAATCGCTCGACTACCTAGGAACTTACCTTCAGGAAAAGGGACCTGTGCATGCGATCTGGGGGTTCAGTCAGGGCGCCTGCCTGGCGGGCATGCTGTGCGCGCTACTGCAAACCGGACTCGCAATGCATCCGCTTCGCAGGCATCTACAACCATCCCACAACGCTGACAGCGTGAGCCTCACAACTCCGCTAGCTGGCATCATCTTCTCGGGCTTCCGAGCACGTTTCCCCCAATATGATGCTATGTATGAGCCTGGTATTGATGTGCCAACGCTGCACGTGCTCGGGGAGCAAGACCCGCTTGTGCGCAGCGAACGCAGCGAAGCATTGCTACGCGTGTGCAAAAGTGGTGAGCGTGTTATTCATCCTGGGGGACACGATATCCCAAAGGGGGAAGCGGATGTGGCGAGGATCGTTGAGTTCACAAGAGAACATGTGAGGAGTAGTGGCAAGCGCGCTGGGTTTTCATTTGCGCAAGCGTCCATCTAACTTCTCAGTCTATACATCAGCATCATTTCGCTGCACCCTCTAGACGAAGACTTCTCTGTTGCATGGTATGTTGGCGTTCGAATTCTGCTACCTGGACTCGGGACTTTTGTGTGGCGATGGATTGGAATTAGAAAGGCACAGCCTAATCATACACGATTGATCAATGCTCTAGGCTTTAAAAGCTCACCGAGCAAGGTAGATGTCGAAGTGCAAAACAGCTCCTCTTAGCATGAGCTGCGAGGGATGAGATGAGCAGACACGAAAAGAAGGATGCAAACGAAGCAGAGAGATATGGTGAGGATTCTGATCCATCTCTCTTCGTGTATTAGGCGTTGTGACTTATCATGAACGGTGCATAGAAACAATCGTTCCCAAGATTTGGAGGTCTCGTCAGGTTATTGCTCAGAATGCATTACTGCATGTTCGAAAGTGCGGAAGCCCAATGATCGACGAATGAACAATGGCGATCCTAACAAGACTACTATGATACATAGTAGACAAGCTTTCAGATCGAAGACTTTTCCCTTCTGCCATAGCCGTTCGCGCTTAACGTTGCCGTGCACTAACGTGCGACAACCCCCTTCAGACTCGCGACGTCTCAGCCTTTCGCAACATAACCGCTTTCGGAAGAAACACCAAACACCTGTTCAATCGAATCTCGACATCGCCAAAACCTAATGAGGCAGGATAAGCATTAAATATTATGCGTTTGATTGGCATCGCACTACGTTTCCGTCCACCGGAGAAGGCATTCTTGGCGATCGCAACTGTTTAATACATAAGGAAGGGTCAACCTGACATTTGTGAGGCAACGCCGTCAATCTTTTGAAAATCTTAATCCCTACGTTCTCACATTCGTTGATCGAATCACTGTTTAAATTTTATTCACTGTAAATATCTACAAACTTCTTCTATATACACAACAACCACACAATCACTTCAAACCCAACATGTACTTCACAATTTTCGTCGTCGCAAGCCTAGCATCCAGCTTCGCCGCTGCCCTACCACAGCAAACGGTCTCCGGAAGCGAAGTGACAGGCACAATTTGCCTGGACACATCGATGTACGCAAGCCCCCATTGCCCTTGCCAAATCTCCCTCTCCCTCATCCTTAAATTACCCACTGACATCGCTGCAGCAACTTCGACACCCACGACACCAACGTCGCCATTCTCGGCATATGCGGCGGCATCGCAGGCACCATTCAGAAATGCGGCGGCAATCCCGCCTCCACGACTGGCCAATCTGGCACGTCGAAGTTCACACTGGACGCGACTGACGCCGGGAGTACGATTAATGTTAGTAAGGGAAGATGGGAGAGGTGTGTCAAGGCGGCGCAGTTGACATGCCCGACTGGGAGCTTTAGTTCCACGTGTATCGGGGGCGCGACGCCAGCCGGTGATGTAAACTTTAGTCTGACGGAGGCGTAGGGGATAGGGATGTGGCTGTGGGAGAAGAAACTTGGAATGTTAGCAAACGGATGCCATTTTCGTCGTAGCACGGGGCGAGATGTCACTAGAACCCCATCAGGGAGGCACTGACGAATACGAACTCGAATATTGAGTGAAGAACTCAGCTCCACGAGTGTGATGACTATTTATAGGACTTCACACTTGCAATTGATCAACACGGTCGCCAATTGGAGTCTTGTGAGCCACTCATTGCTGGTTGCTCCCTTACAACTATTGAGTTGGGTACCGCTTGTCATCTCTTTCATGCTGTTCTTTAGCATTACTGCTCTTTTCCCTTTCAGGACTGGGGCTTTGACACCGGGCTCTTATTGGTAACGTAGACAAAGTCGTATCCCTAAGTCCCTTGTTGGTACCTCGACTCAGAACAGTCCAAGATACGCAATGCTTGCGGTCGCGGCTCTACAGCTCGAAAAATATACGGATTTCGCACGTCGGATGATAACGTTCGATCATCCTGGACTTCACGCGAGACCTGGGTCGATAATTCTTTCCACTAAAAGACAGTAGTTATATGCTGTGGAAGCAATTGAGCGTGGTGACGGACTCCGTATGCCTCGGGGAATTTGACAATTCAAGTTGAAAAAAGAGTCAAATACTTCTCCGGCCCAGGAGGAAGCTCTTTAAACGTTGAATATGTTACCATGGAGGGGATACTTACCAGTACGGCGTTTTGGGTGGTCATCCAAACGCACTGAGCTTGACCTTGGCGCCATCTAAAACTCCGCCTATGCGGATGTAGGATGTTCTTATACGCTTTAAGGTGAGTTCGGTATTCTGGTAGCATTTAAGAAGAATATATATTGAAGTTCCTAGCTTCCTGCACACAGTCACTGACACTCCAGATGTCTTTTCGAGAGCTTGCGCATCTTGCACGCTCTACAACCAACTATCTCCATTGTCTGAATTATGTGACTTGACATATACTGGTTTTATATTAGGGAACCACAATGGTACACAGAATTTAGCTGCTCATTCTAGGTGTTTTACCTCTCGAGAAAAGGCGAACCGGCCTGCTTATGTTTCCGTCCACCCAACTAAGCGGAACGCTACAAGCGCAGCCACCCAACAAATCTGACGCAATCCCACCTGAACACCCTCTTCCCACAAAATGAAAACCATCTTCACCTACATGACCTTCACATAAAGCATGCTCCACGCTCCGCCGCACCAAAAGCCATCCTAGCCCGCTATATCATCAGTAACTCTGTACGATAAGTCTCACCGTCCCCTCCCAGACTCACGACAGCCAGAAACATAGAATCCCCTCTGCCTTCCTATGGCGCAGTAGAAAAGCATCTGTCTCCGCCTCGATCACGCTCTCGCACCTCGCCGCACAACGCCACTACATGAAAAACGGGATTCGATGCGTTGACGGGCATTCGAGACGGCACAGTCGCACGGTGCGTTCGAATGGGCAGCACACCGTCATTCATGACACGCAAGGCACCGAAGGGTACGTGTGAGGCACGACGACCAGTGCAAGGTCCGGGCTCGTCGTCAAGTACAGATACAAGGAGCTCTCTCCCAAGTAGGTGCGCCTTCGTGGTGACACATACACCACTCGTGCTAGCAGGGCGTTGAAAGCAAGATCATGCTCTACGAGCGGGTCGAAAATGCGCCTTGAGTATGCGTAGAGGTCATCGCCTGGCATACAAGACGCACTTGAAGAAGACATACATAAGGCTAGGACGTGGCCAGACTACACTTTGGCAACAACCAGGGTGACAAGAGCATGTAATGTCTGATAGCGCGTTGATCAGGTTATAGCATATGCCATTTGGCTAGAAAGTATAGCGGTACCGCGACCGACAGAGAGAGCACTGCTTTGTGGGTGCTCATTACCCACGGGACTTGCATATTGAGGATTTGCTCTGGGACAAAGTGATTCATGCAAACAATCACGCTATTGTCTAAGTGACGAGAAAGCTTCAAGAACGAATCGGGCGTTGCACGTGCACAACTTATTTCATAGCTACCGCGATACTGGCGTGATTCAAAGGAGAGCACTGCTCGCTTTGTGGTGCTCCCTACGTACAGCCTGCAGGCGGATTTGCCAGCACCTAGACATACACACACCTAAACAAATGTTGATTGCATAAAGCACGGTTGGAGCTGCTCGTATGTCCTACGTCCAACCACGTCCGACGGAGCGATCAAGCACGCCTCATATCTTTCATTGCCTACACATCTCTGTATAATTTCATGGAGGATTCAAGGTTCGCACTTGGGGGCCAATGCCAACAGCACATCGTCATTCAGTGACATTGTCGGTCTCACCGTCAGCACACACAATGTCCGGCGTTGATCTGCTGAAGAAACATTTTCGATCGCCGGCACGTGCCCGTGACTCTCCTCGCGATCTACGCTCCAGATCTTTTCGCGACTCTGGACCACGACGGTTCTCGAATACGAGGCCTGGGCAAAACACCGGATGGTCGTCGCTAGAGGCGACCGAGGTAGACTCTCCGGGTGCATCCGCGATATCCGTTCTAGTGGCGAGGGTGCTATCTTGACGAAGCATGGAAGCAAGCTGAGTGTACCAAATGGGAAGTAAGGTCTCGGCTTGTTTCGGCGGCATACTGAGCGCCAAGTGAAGTCTCGTGCCATCAATTGTTAGATGACGAGAAAAAGCAAGGCACAGAGCAGATATGCAAAGGCGCGTGGTCGTGATCGGGTGGTGATGAGTGCTCCAGAGCAATTGACCTTAAGGGGTAAGCCTGTGCACTGAGTTTCCTCTAGTGTATGATGCGTTGCTGGATAAGGGAAGTTGGTACAATCATGCGTCCATGTGACGTGCATGCTCTTCATAGCGGACCTTCGTTGACTGTCCTGCTACCTCGTCATGATGCTGCGTGCTTGGTGCAGATCTGCGCGCCTCCATCGTTGAACCCCATCCGACGTTATCGTCGTTTTGCTAGACGGTGTCATTTGGAAACTAAGGGCCGTGCGCCTCCGGGACTAGTACCCTGAGCCCCTCCCTGCCACCAATTGATGAGGAGAAAATAGTACGAACAGGCTATAGCACGGCCGCACGGTGCGGACAATGGGATATTATGGGACAGACATAGACCCTGAGCTGCGCCAGCGACGGATGGGCCGAGGGCACAGACTTTCCTCGTGGCCAGCCGCGAGCTGATGCAGCGGGCAGAACCTTACGGCGATGCTCCACAGTGCCTCCGCTAGAACAACATCCAAGTTTGTTTCTTCATAGCCCATGGTGATGAATCGGATCTCCCGAGAGTGGCAATGCTGAAAGCCTGTTTTGTGCAACTGTCGGTGTCGCGCGATGGCAATGGCTAGAACGGAGAGCTTCTGGGAAAGCAATAATTGCAAAGTGGGCTATCGAGGGGACTGTACGTGAGTTGAGATACTCTGAGGCCGGAAGCTGCCACGACCACAGAAGCCTTCGGCAGAAGGATGCCGCAGCATTAATGTTGTGCTCCAGCTGAACAGCTGAAGAACTGCATGTGCGGATAGTCTTGAGTCGCGTGTGAGACGCAACCGAAAAAGAACCCATCATTGGGGTGAAATCTTTGTCGTGTTCAGCTGTGTGATGATGAAACGCCATAGGCGTCTATCGGCGTGCAGTAAACGTGCCATTCACTGCATTGTCTCAGCACGAAAGAGGCAAGGTATCGGATGAAAGCCGGTACCTGTCGTTTGGCGATTTAGACCGCATTGTCAACGAAACTGTTGAGCATCAATTGCGCCTGCATGAGTGCAGCAGCGGTGTGGGGCGCCTTGACAGTATTGACTGCAGTAACGTGCATGATCTTAGTCTAGTGACCGATGAGCCCAAAGTGCACAGTATTTACAACGAATACCAGAGGTGCGTTTGCGGTATCCATACGTGATCGACAGGTCGCTCGAAGATCATGAGGTTTACGCACTAAAGGGATCTACGCATTTTATCGACAATCCAGCCGCCGACTTATCTCTAGCGCAGAATCCTCGCTCCGTTACCAATAGAGTTTAGTACCTGGCCGGCTCTATCAGGCGGTGCTGCACCAAGACCGGAAGAGGACTCCCCCCGTTGTCTTGCATAGAGCTACTTGTGGAGCGTTACTGCAGTAGAAGTAGCAGCCGTGAGCTTTAGTGAGGGGAAACAAGGACAACCAAATCCTTCATAGCAAAGCGATGGCGTCATGTGCACCGGAGGATCGAAGATGATAGAAGTGAAGATCATGTGGGGTGGACGAGCCTTGGAAGCTCGCTTGATTTCAGAATGTCGAAACAATCGATAGTCGTGATGGTCGCTGCAGTGGCGCCCGCCCTAGGGCTTGCCACATATTGTGGCTTGAACAGTCGACCTGACGTCGGCCACTTTGCACAATGTGCAGGATTTCCTAAGCATTTCTCCGCTCTGGCGCGCCTCGCATTGTGCTGTACCTGAAAAGAGGGCTGAGGCCGTCGGGCAACGACGGCAGCGTCGTGCAGACGGCGCTCCACCTGCCAAGATCACCACGTGCTGCGCTAATCTTCCGCTCCGTGCGGCCAGGGAAGTCTTCGTTAAACCCCCGCTGATGTTGTCCGCATCTAGCCAAAGGTGAGCATGCTGGGATCATGTCAAGGTGACCAAAACAAGTAATGAAGCTTTGCTTTCGAAGACGAAAGTCGGATAAGTGATGCTTCAATCAAGTGCTCCGATGCGGCTGTTGGGTTCCTTAGAATTGGCAGAGTCGAGGGATTGAAGAGTCGTACGAAGTTTTCACCGTGGCGTCAGCTACTGTGAAAATACGAGCAGATACGAGCCCTCTTCGAGTCTGGTCAGTATCAGCCTGAAACCGACATAGCCGAGCTCGTAGCCCTTGTCTCTACCACGTTGTTCTCCATCTTTACGAGGAGAAGCGAGGGAAATGGTGTTGCGGTCTCGCGCGTGACCAGCTTCGTGCAACGAGTCATCGCATGATAAGGCGGCCCGAACTGACACCAACGCTGCACGCGCCTTCGCAGGATGCTTGTGTCGAGTTCAGGGTAAGCTGAAAGCGCAAACGGTAATAACGGTTCTCACAAGTCATTGCGAGCCACTGCCAACCAGATGCCGATCAGGAGGACGCAGAACTTGTATGGCGCATCATGAAAGTTCGGCGGGTTGTGGGTAGCATCGGAAGTGAGTCCTTTTCCATCCTGGGATAACGGTTTTGCATGACAGCATGCCGGTATTTGTTGGACCACGAGGGCGATCACGGCATGTGAACCGATTCTAGACGTCTTCTGGACGCATTGTTGCAAGTCCGATAGAGCTCGCATCATTGATATTCCTCGAAATGACATGCATTGGGTTTGAACGATTGCAGTGCGGGCCGTGGGGCATTACCACGGGCGGCATGTGAATGTCGACTCATGGCAACGGCTGCTTCCTACGAAGGATCTCGAGCACGATTATCCACAGGATTGCGGTGGTTGCTCTTGTGGAAGAGCGCGGGAGGCAAGTCGTCTTCGACGATGGGTCGTGTGATGGTGGGCCAAAATATCCGCGTCGTGGTTTGTCAGGCTCGTCAAAGAGGGTAATGCATCTCAACATTGGACTTTACACCCAGAAAATTAGTGGTTGACGACGCATAAAAGTGACAGATTGCTGACACTTGCACCTCAACTGTGGCTTGGGTACAAGTGTAGCAGAAAGCAGCGACGATTCAGTCTTCAATGCAGCCCAGCAGCGGATTGCCGTGTTTGGAGAAAAGACCGTTGACGTCTAACCAGAACTGGGGGGAGTCGACAGTGTTCAGGCGCCGCGCCAAGCAGGGTGCATTGTGATGAGAGGAGCGCATGGCAATGGCGAGACTGAGTCGCGGAGCGCGCCGGTAGATCCTGCCCATCAGAGGGCCAGCGCGACCTTGGGCCTCCTTTATTAAACGAGAAGAGTGATGCGCTTGGCGCAATAGTACCGTCAGGCTGAGGTGGAGCGGTCGGGCCGAATGGGCACAAGTTCTCGCTCACGCTGCACGATGCCGTTTGCTGCCAAACTGGACACAGGCCGGTTTGGAGAGCAAAGACTGGAGCTTGCGAGAACCGTGGCCGTGACCAGCAAGGATGTGTTTGCCAGCACGAGCGGAACCATGCATGCTGCAATGTGGGCACCAGGGATGGCCTGCTGAGACTCGCGGCTGTGTGTCGCTCCCCTCTGCGCGCCGCTCGCTCTCTGCGACACCTGGTGGGCGCTGGCAAGGTGGTTGCAAGACGCGCTCCCGCCGACACGCGGCGGCCGTCGGGTGCAGCAGCGCGGAGGGGCAGGCGGATGAGGGTACACGAGGCGCTGCGGAGGGCGTGATTATTAGGAGGATGTGACAGAGGTGCAGTTGGTTCTCGCCAGTGGGTGCTGGGTGTGTCCCGACGTACCGACGTCGTGCGCACGGGGTGCTCGGCATGCAGGCCAGCAGGTCTGGCACAGGCGTGACGGCAGCGCGCTCGGATGGGAGGGGATGGGGTCGTCGGGCGGAGAGGAGGGCCAGGCAGGAGAGCCAGGCGGGCCAGGGTCGGCGAAAAGGCGTGAAACGCAGCTCGCGTAGTAGCGCATCGTCCCGACTCCGCGCCCTGCTAGGCCGACGGGGCCTCTTCTCGCCGCGAGCGCCCGCCAGCCCACGGCACCGCGCACCCTCTCCCGCCCAGACGCGCCGTGTTTGCGTGTCGCTCTGCTCTGCGCGCACCCGCTGCCCGGCCGGCGTGCAGCGACGCGGGCGTGGGCCGGCGCTGCTCGCGATTGTGTGCGCGGCCGCCGTCCAGGAACGCGAATCTGGCGGCAGGGGTGGCTAGTCAGCGCCGTGCAGACGCCGGACGAGCAGCGGCGCCAGTGACGATCTGCTTCAGGGCCAGAACGTGACGGCGACGCTGAGCAGTGCGCAGGGCGGTGCGACTCGAAGAGCATCCCCGGCACGGAACAGCAGCAGCAGAAGGCAGCGACCAGGGGCCGTGGGCGACGCTGCTAGCAGGGAACGGCCTCGTCCAACGCCAGACGGCGCCGTGTGTCATTGCCCAAGAGAAAGCTGCACGCTTCCCCAGCACTCACCACCACCGCCTGCGTCTTTTGCTCGTCCGCCTGCACCACACCGCGCTTGACCTGCCCCCAGCCCCCAGCAAAAGCCCCGTATATTCTCCGACCACCAATACCCGTCACTCGTAGCTCGCTCCACCTGGAGAGAGAGAGGCAGGTCCATGCTGACTGTCACTCTGTACTGATGCCGCCGTCTGTTCTGCTGTTCCCCGCTCTCCTTGCTGTGCACCAGGGCATCGCTGTGGCTGCGACCCCCAGCAACTCCTGAATCGCTGCGTAATTCGCCCTCCCGACCATAGCACCGCACATATCAACGCCCCCGGCCCCGGTACCTCGACACCGACCTCGCTCCGCTGATATCGGCTCTCTGCACCTTTAACAGTAGTACGTGTGCCCTCACCACCGTCTCTCGCTCTCCAAAGCCCTCTCGACTGACATGCCCAGCCGCTGCCGCCTCTGCATCTGCATCTGCATCACGGAACCGCTGCTCGTCGACCTGCAGTCCATTGCTGCACCCTCACCCACGCTCTTTCCTGACTAAGCATCGTGACCTGTGGGGGAAGGAACCTCCTCTTCGCCCAACCCGCAGCCCCGCGCCTGTCTCGCGTCGCATCCCTCCCAGCATCCCCTCGTCGTCCAACGGCATCAAGCCTACCGTGCTACACGGCCTGCATCTCGCCGCTGCCATCGGAAGAAGCAATATTCACCCAACTTTATCCTTCTCTGCGCCGCCTTGTGAGTCCCTCTGCTTCTCCGCGCTCGACTGGCGTGTAAATTGACTCCTCAGATCTTCCAAAACTTCACCCATCCTGAGTCTCGTAATCTGGAGCCTTCTCTTCTCTTCTCCAACTCGCTCACTTCCGACCCGAGTGCTTCGGCAACGTCGCAAAAGTGCACTTACAATTCGCAGCCTTGGCTCGCTTCCTGTGCCGATCGAAAGCGACACCAGCCTCCGTCGTCATTGTGCTGTCTGGAATTGCCTGAGACGTACAGCGTAAATTGGACCATTGAGCTGGATCTCACCCCTTTCGCGGCCTCTTCCTACACTCCAGCGCATCTCTTCACTTTTCCCCATGTTGCAGAGTATCAGAGCGCCTACTCTGGCAATGGCCCCCTTCGGGCACGATTCGCCTCTTGGTGGACCGCAAAAGCTGGAAGGTTACGGCGATACTGATGCCTGGCAATGGCCGCAACCTGCAACGCAAGCGAGCTCATATACGCCCATTTTCGACCACTCTGTCTACGCCCATCTTAATTCCCAGCAACCAGGCCCGTTGCCCGTTGCTCGCCATCACTCCATCGCAACTTCCCATGTTGTCACCCAAGGAAGGGCCACCCCACCTTCAAGGAGTCAGCTCACCGGAGCCATTGTGAAGGCTCAACCGGCTTTCAAACCTACCTGGCACGGGTTTCTCGACACTACCAAAGATGCCATGACCATCGTGGAGGCTGCACTGCAGGGACGACTTGGACATATCAGCCGTCGGCCGCACGATAAGGAACGCGCTGAGATGCTCACCTCCGGTACTGTTCTTGTCTACGAGGAAAATGCGTCTGGCATCAGACGCTGGACCGATGCCGTTCACTGGTCTCCGAGCAGGGTCATGAACAACTGCCTCATCTACCGCCAACTTACTCGGGCTTTGAAGCCCGAGGAGAAACGTTCCGCCCTCAACCCGTCGTGCAATGGCAAGCGAAAACGCAAGGAAAGCGCGGGCCATGCAGCCACGAAAGCACTCGAAAACGTATCGGATGATGAATACGACAATCCTGTCTTCCAGGGCGCTGTTGCTGGTGACGTTACACCGGTAGAACCCTCGGAGAAGGTCTATGCGAACTTTGCTCAGAGCCTGACGCCCGATCAGCAGCGACGCTTCTGCGGCTCTTTGATCGACAGCTACGAGTTCAAAGAGGGTGGCCTAATGAAGAAGACTATCTCAGTGAAATACCAGGGGACCAATCATCACATCATCTCTTACTACACGCTCGAGGATGTCGTGCATGGCAAGCTCAAGCGTCCGTGTGAGGACCCGGATCTGCGCGATATTCAACCTCGACCGGATCTGCTCACTGGCTGGAAGGTCAGTCTGGAAGATGAAGAGAGCAAGGAACAGCCGCAATATCCAACCCACATGCCCGTGGCGCACCACCCCCAGACTGGGCTTCCGCCACAGATCTATGTCCAAATCCCAGGAAGCTGGCATGGGAACCAAGTCTCTCAGTACTCATCACCTCAGAGCGCTCATCCTTATCCACCGCCTCAGGTCAATCCTTCTCAGTACATTGCTCAGCCGAGTCAGTCGCAGTATCCGGTGCAGCATCACTCTCCGCAACACTACTCGCCCCAGGTCCCGCGTGCCCCTCAGCAGTATTCTCAAACAGCTTCTTCGCACCACCTGCCCGCACAGCATGGGTCGGTTCAACGCTACCCTTCTCCGGCGTCTTTGGCGCATCAGTATTCGCCACATGCTCAACAATCGACGCAGTACCCTCCAGCCCAACAATCAGCAGCTCCTCAACAATACGGCCCACCGGCAACTGTGCATTACCCTACAGCCCCCCAAGAGGTGGTCCCCCAGGCTCCTCCGTATGCCATGTCTCAGACGCAAGTAGTCGATTATAGCGGTCAAGGTCCACTTCAGCAACACAGTGTGTACCGACGCACCTCGGCTCCTATGGTCATGCAGCAACCTTACGACCACCCAGCCTACCCTTCTGCACCCCAGGCACACCCCTCCACATACTACGTCACAGACGCCAAATACACCCCGAACCAGAGCTTTGAGTACTGAGTGACGGGCTGCACTGCTACGTGCAACACATTTTCCCATATACGCACATCATCAGTACAGGTTTAAACGAGAAATGATCACACGGAAGCATGATCAGGGCATGATACCCCGGACTATCGCGGCGGCAACATTTGAAATTTCACCTCACTAATACGGTCTCAATTTGTTCTACATCTCATCACAGTTTGCATCTGCACTCGCACGGCGCTGGGGAAGCAAGTCCTCATTAATTATCCAACGCGTTTTTTTATTTTGGCATGGTTTGTTTGTCTGGGTTGGCATTTTCGCATTGCTCTGCAATCTTTTTTACGCATCTGGGTGGTATCCTGCTTTTGTACTGCACGCAACGCAAAATATCTTTGAAGGATGCAATTATTGGCTCTCACTGCTTTGAATTGTTGCTAAACCTGCTTCGGCATTCTGTACTCTACGCTGCTGTACCGCATAGCTACCAGCTCCACCTGTTGAACGGGTCTTATCCCTTCATTTCCTTTCATGCTTGCTTCAACATAGCTGCCCCACGGCATAATCACTCAAACTATCATTAGTTCACCTCGTCTTCGGTCCACGCTCCGCTCATTTTCTTTTGTTGCGATGACCAACCCACTGTGACAGACGCGAATCCTCTGATGACGATCGCTCCACCGCAGCGCTCCCCCTTGCAATGCCATGCAATGCCATGCAAATCGCCTCGCCTAGCCCTGCGCCACCCGACTTTCGGCTCAGCGCTGCCGACGCCTTCGGCATGCCGAGCACACGTGGCACGCCCGGCTAACCTCCCACTGGCCCAGTCGCGCTCAACTCGGCTGTCAACTCCCGAGATGACACCTCTCCGCCGCCTCACCTAGCAATGACATGTCGTCGCCCAATGCACCATGTCATTGTCATCGGTGTACGCCAGTCCTCAATACCGAACTAGCGGAAGAAGTGAGGCGTCTCGACCGCGCCGCGAGTTTGCTTGCGAACGAGGAGCGATGACGCGGGGAAGCGGGCACATCCGGCGGTGTACTGTTTCCTGCTCTACCGCTTACTCTACTGCGTGGAGGGGAAGGGGAAGCGAGGGATACATGCCGAGGCATTGTATGGTAGGGATGCTGGGCTATAGCCTGGGGTAAGCGGTGATGTGATGGCGGGACGTGCATGCATGAGAAGAGGGTCACGTGGTTTAGTCGGCGCCCGACGAGGTGATATGGTTACGGGAGATGTTTCGTGTGATATGAGGTTGGGCTGAAGAGGCTCAAAACCGACTGGCTGGTTCCGACTTGGAGACGTTTCGGGTGTGGAGCTGTGTACTACTATAGTACATACCGTCGATACTATATCAGTATGTATTCGGTGCGAATAGTGGTGAGGGGATCCTTGATCGCATAATGTGAGGCTTGCAGAGGTTTCGATCCATGTTCCCGGGAAGCAAGTCATACGACAATCTGTTTACCAGTACCATTGAATGGGCCACGAGCTATACCATAGTACGATATACCGGGCCATGGCTTCTGTGGAGCAACAGCCAAAGCTCCCTAATCACGCCGGTCGCTGGCCTACCTCATCATGGCTCCCCTTTCATCTTAGCTCCATATTGAGCGACTCCAGAAGCTCGAGGTTTCCCGATAAGAAGCCCTGAGCGTTGGGGGCGTCACCCGGCAGATCCTGCCCAGCTGCAGCTTTTTGATGGACCTTCCCAGTGTAGACAGTCTACCTTAAGCTTGAAGGTGATCCATGCTAACTTCATGTCGATACGTGTAGCATACTGTGCGCCTGAGAGGGTGGTATGCTAATCTACTTGGAATTTCCCAAGTCCGATTAAGATGCACTGCGACATCATCAGTGCACCAATTGAACGAGAAGTTCGTGAACTCTGAGTCCTTGGAAGCGGTTGAATATTGCGTGAGCGGAGAATGGGAAGTACAATGGTGAGTCAGTCGCAAACGCTGCTAGATCTGAGACATCTGTTCCCTGACTGGATTGATAGAGGGCGGCCTTATGGAATGAATGTTGTTGAGTTTGACGCAATGCGATACCCAGTTTGTGAACTGGCTCCAAGTACCATTAGAGCCGGTTGCAAGGATTGGTTATGAGCGAGTATTTGCCAAAATATCACGTCGAGATCGCTTGATCTGTTGACAATGAGACTCAGGATCCGGGCTGGGGAATGATAAATAGTTGCTTTGCCGGCTTTGACTCAAGCTGCGTGGAAGTGCAGCGCCAGATATTCTGGCACTGAATACTTGACAGATACGCAACGAAGACCTTCGCACTCCCTGATGGGTTTCCCCGGATGACATGAACTTCTTCTGAGTTGCTAAGGTTCGGTGGAGCTGAACGAAGAAGCCGAAGCTCCTAATGAAGAGGATTTTAGCAGGTCGCAGTGCAAAAATAGCTCAGAAGTTTTCAATGACTCTTTGTTGTGTTGTAGTATATGGTTTACATGGACTGGTGTCGTTTCAACAGTTTGGCCAATTGTGTAAGTCAGCGAGCGCATGGCTAACAATAGAATTAGGATTGAGCGACGATGCTCGAGACTCTAGTCGGCTTGGTTTGGGCAAACGATGCGATTTCTGTCGATAGGCCTATCAAAAGGGTAACGTTGTTGTAGTCGTAGTGGTTTGATGGGACAGGATGAGGCTTCCAAGGTTGTGTTGCGCTGGTGGCTCAGGGTCAGGGACCGAGCTTCGACCGACGAGACTCACCCCTTGCACCACCGCTAGTCACGTCATCAATCCGCTACTCTGTATACAGCACCTTGCCAACGATACACTGCGGACGGATCATTCATACGCCCCGGATCCCACGAGGCTTGACATACGTTTTCCGGCAGCTTTGCTTGGACTTTGCACTAATTAAAAACGAATGAACGCGCACCTCGTCTATTGAGTCTGCAATATGCCTCCTAAAAGACGCAACGGTGTTGATCATCAGGACGCTACGGAACCGAAAAGGCGCATGACCAGGTCTGCATCGAAAGCGACGGCTCCAGTAAAGGAAGCCACAAAGTCGAAGTCCGAAGGGACAGTCGTGAAGCCATCAAAGACCACCAAGGGAGCTAAGAAAGCTACATCACCGAGAAAGAAGACGTCTAAGCCGATCAACGACACCACCGATAATAATGCATCTTCTGAAGGGACCACGGCAACCACTCTCACCATTGAGCACGACTCCCTCAAGAAACCCATCACCTGCCATCAATATACGACCTCTTCTGAAATCCCACACCTTCCAACACTCATATTTACCCATGGTGCAGGAGGCACGCTCTCCGCCCCAGCAGTAGTCAACTTCTGCAACGGCTATTCGAAAACCCACTCCACTCTCGCCTTCCAAGGCTCCATGAATCTCAACGCGCGAGTCAAGGGTTTCGACGCATGCATATCTCATCTGAGCCTCGAAGCCGGATATCTTATCTTGGGCGGCCGAAGCATGGGCGCGCGCGCCGCTGTCATCGCAGGCACCAACGCCATAACCGGCGGCACCGAGCGCGGGCTTTCGCTCATCCTGGTTTCATACCCCTTGAAAGGTCCGAAGAATGATATCAGAGATAAGATCCTGCTAGATCTGCCGGAAAACGTCCGCGTTCTGTTCGTTGTGGGTGAGAAAGATGAGATGTGCCCTCTCGAGTTGCTGAAGAAGACGCGGACAGAGATGGCTGCTAAGTCAAAGTTGGTGGTGGTTAGAGGAGCGGATCATGGTATGCATGTTAGGCCCACATCGGAGGAGAAGCGCTTGGGTGAGGAGACTGGGAAGTTGGCGGCTGCCTGGGCAGATGGCGAAGGTGATGACGAGGACGTATACATTGATTGAGACGAGGAAGGATAGATTGCCCTGGGTTAATACGCTACCGCATTATCAATAGGCTTTTTAGCGTGTAATGGGAGGTGGACGAAAGATGCGTGGGATTCCGGGGTGGGGGATTCGATACACTGAGAACCACGTAGGATCTCGTCATTGCTAGCGCACGGAAAGCCGTATGAATGTCAGCAATTGACGTATGCATTAGGCCTCCAGGTACAACTCACAGTCATCTCCGTCCTGAGGAAGTTGCGCTTTGTGATTGATATCATGGTATTGTGTTGAAAAGAAAAAGCCACAAACGCCTTTATTGCCCACGTGTTTTACTTTTCACAGAATACCTTTACAAGACCAAGATGAAACTCCTCCTTCTACTCCTCCCTCTCCACAACCTCTCCTTCATCCCACTGCGGCTCGTCCACGTCCATCATGCCGCCGTACTCTTCGGCGAGCAAGCCCTCATCCACCGCTGTCAACACACCCTGCACGTCGTCCGAGGCCATCTCCTCGTACACGGCCGTGATGCCGGTGATCCGGCACACGCGCGCCACTGACGCCATGAGCGCAAGGCCTAGCACCGCGAATGGGCCCACAGCGACGAGCTGTGTAAAGTGCCTTCAAAGAAATTAGCTACTTGTTAAATCCCCATAATGGAAGGTCAAATAGCTCACAAGTACCACTGGTGGATGCACTTCTCATCCCAGTACTTCAGACGGGACGTGATCTGCTCAGCGGCCCACTTCTTCTTCTTGTGCTCCATCTCCTCAACGAGCAGGCGCATCTCCTTGCGGAACTGCCATAGCGACTTGAACCAGTGGTTGCGGCGGTGCTGGTTGCGGTTGCGGACGAAGAGCTTGTCGAGGAGGGTGTGGATGTCCTTGAGTTGCGCTTTGTCCTTTTCAGAAGCGTTGAGCACTTCTTCGGCGGAGAAAGGGAGGGGAGGGATGGTGGCGGCGGGCATTTTGACGGTTGAAAGATGGTGAGTTGGTAGAAGGTGCTGTCGCTGAAGATTGCTTGGGAGCGCAGGACGTGAAGTAGATATTTCGCAGTCGCGCGGGTGGCGATGGCGTTTGGATGTGTGTTCCCGTTTGTGAGGTGGATTTCCGGTGTGTTTATTAGATGACAGAGCACGTGAGGGCGTCGTTAGGCAGCGTGCCGTCAAAGCGCGGGAGCGTATAGCAGGTAGCAAAGCAGCAGCGTAGATGGTGTGTTCATGCTATGAGCGGGACGCGGAAGGGCCGTAAGATGTGGGCGCGGAGAGAAAAAGCCGAGAGTGAGTGGGCGAAATAGAAGGCGCCGGTGTTTACGATGTTGCTGGGGAAAAATGTCCGTAGTGAATTGGGAGCCACACATGCAGCAGGCAATTTTGCTGGACAGCGTCGAGCACACAGCACGCTTAAACGCTTAAACGTAACAGCTCCCCTACGCATGCGGTTCTACGCTGATGATACACGACACGCCGTTGCTTAGCCAAAGGTTCCTCTGTTATCTCCTTTTCAGTAGCCCAAACTCACCCACCCCCGTGATGTCTGGATCTATTGGAGAAGCGGCGAGCCGGTCTCCGTCGCGGGAATACACCTAAATTTCCAGGTATCGCACAAAATCTTGCTATCTTGACAATCGTAGGTCCAAATCGCCAGAGTAAGATGCTGCCAGTGTCGTGTGACAGGACTACGGGGACAGCCACAGTTGGGGCGGCTGCCAAGCAGGACTAGGGGTTTTTCCGCGGATTGACGTACAGAAGCCGGTACTGTAGTACAGCGGGGTCAGCTGGCATATGGCGCTGGGGACGCAGGCCTCCGTATATAGATACTGTTGCTATACGGGAGCGTCGCGTGGTGTGGGTTCGGGAGCTTAGCGCGGGCGGATTTTGCGGGAGCTGTGCAAGGTGCCGAACTCATCTCAGCGTCCACTCTTAAGTCGTATGTTGGCCTCTGGTTCTCTTGCTAATCCTATTCGTGACATGGTCATGAGGTCTGTTTCTTCGCCGATGCTGGTAGAAGTTTGCTGCCCTAGTGGCCGAGTCCAAATCAGGTCCGTGCGGACCCGTTGACCTTTGCAGGGATGGATTTGTGGGGCGCGCAACGTGCCTTCAATACCAAATCTACCATCGGATTCCCAAAGTATTCCGCCTGCATGCAGCAGCGCCAGACTATACAGCGGATCGATGCCCCCGCCCGACCGCGTCTGCATGCCCGGATCCGTCTGTACAACCTTCGTCCATAGGAGGAGATGCCGGAACCTCATCCCGAGGCCCCTGCGACCGTCGCCAGCATCCTCCCAGCAAGATATTGCAGCAATGCTGACAGCGCATACTTGCAACCGCAAATTTCAGCTCGAATTTTCGTCGCCGGGAAAGTATCGCGTAGGTTTCCGACGACGTTGAGTCGACAAATCCAGTCCTCCATAGCTACGGCAGATACATATCTACACCGCACGCGTGAATATCTCGCCCGGACCTCTCTCCGTTTGGTTCCCCATGCTGAGTTTAGAACCCCTCAGAGGCCTGCCTAGATTCATGGAAATGAAAGGCCCGATATGCTTGTGATAGCGCCTAGTAGAATTTGCTCACGTAGACGGAACTCTAAGCGTAGATCAATCCCCAGCTTCTGAGGGTTCTTCTGGTACCAAAGAAGAACAAAACGTTGATATCTGAGGTCGGAGGTTAGTTGTGTCAGCGCCATCGCTAGAACAATACCGTAAACACCACGATTCTGTAAGGTGCTACTTATGGAGCAGATGTGATTACAACGGTTCGACATCAGCCGGTCTGCTTATAGGCGTGCATTCCCACCATCACCTCAGATATCGCTTATCGGCCACTGGGTGGTAGTGGATCTTTTTCGAAAAGTCTTGTTCAATGCTCGATAGGAGTCAAGATCTCCGGACTTGTGATGCTACGTGAGGGCTGGCAAAATGAATGACTCCGGTTTTTGTTTCCGACGCTCTGTAATGACGTCGCGCCCGAGACTAGCATGTTTCTCCCCCCTGAGGTCCACGGGTCTGTGGCACAGGTGATTTTGGTATTTAGACCGTGTCGTTGCTGCAGGGTCCACGGACCATGAGTGCTTCCTCTTCTTGGTGAACGCGCTGGCCGTTCTGTTGTTCTTCGTGGCGTCGTTGCGGTCGTGCTTGCCAAAAAGATCAATTGGTTTTGCTGCCTTCCGGATTCGAACCACCGCAAAAAAGAAAACCCTGTGCGGTAGGGAAAGGGAAAAGTCTTAACATTTTACCCTTTTGAAACACAACAGAAAGACGTACCTGAATGTCCCCTTTCCACTGCGCCACCGAACGCAGTGCCCAACGGCCTGGGTACCGAAGGTGAAAGTAAGCCAAACTTTGAGGTTTATATAGCAGAAGGACGGTGAGGTGGGCGTTCTTGCCTAGCTGTCAATTACACAGGAAGCCCAGAATTGCTGTGTGGGCGTTACCCCGCTGCTGAATGTGCCTCTCTCTTTCACCTGTTCGGCTTTGGCTCCGTCTTCCACCGCATCAGAAGGCAGAAGCTCGGGCTCGATATGGACAGCTTGCCCAGCAACCGAGCAGCCGAACTCGCCGTCGACACCCACCCGTCGCAACCTAGGGCATGCTCTTTCGGCGACTGTGAGGTGTCTCAACCTATCGCCAGTGCTGGGGCCGACTGACAAAGCGTAGAGGCCGTCCCCGGAGACCGTCTTGTCCGCGCCAGTCCCGCAACCGTAACTCCATCTCTTTTGCCCATACCCAAGACACTGCAAAGCATCCGATCCACATTACCAAGCCGACTGCATCTTTCGTTGCTGCTCTCCCTGGGAAGGGCACTCGAAGGCATAGTGGAAAACGAATTCGTCCACGCGCATGGCCATGGCGCTCTAAACACCGAGCACGCCTGCAGAATGGGACACTCAGGGACGTCTACGTCAAGCCTATGTCGTCCATCCAGCTGGCTTCGAAGGTGGCTGTGCCGCATCCATGACAAGCATCCCTAGGCTCAATGACCTAGTGATGGGCGTATTGCAATGCAGGCACGAATCAGGGATATCCGCATGAAGCTGAAAGAGTAACACAATCCCCGTGTCCAATGGTATACTTCAGCATGGAAATACTAGTGGTGTAGTGGGCAGGATCTACAGCAAGATAACAAGAGAAACCAGCGGTGAACATCATCGTGCCGTCTGAGGCAAATAATGATCGAGTTAACGAGGTTTGTGAAGGGGAAGTCACTCAAGGCGAGATAAGTCTGCAGAATTCGTGGATGCGGCGAGTGCTGCGGACAGCGCTTGTACGCGAATAGGGCATTATCGGTCCAGGAATCCTGCGAGGTTCGGTCCAAGGCTACGTCTAGACATCAGCCACGAATCGGGTATGACGGCGACTATCGGTAGTACAGGTACTGGTACTGTCAGACGAGATAGTGGTTGTAGCGTATGTCGTTGCGTTACCGACGGTGGGTTGAGTGGGTGATGTTTTGATGCGAAACGCGCCCAGGGCAGGTCGTGGTCGCCAGATGGGTCTCGAAAAACGTTGCTGGACGGGCATCTCTCAAGGTCCAAGGTTGCCTTCAACTGAGCTTGGTGTCTCCAACGTTCTGGCTCTTGCATCATTCACGGAATGTAGTTGAAGTGCGAGGCACGTCGTGGGCGCTAATCAACGCTAGTCCGCGAAATCGGGACAAATGTCGGTGTTGTCTCGGGTCAACGACGAAACTACATAGTACTTCTGCCAGATAGCGATGAACCTTCGGTGGAGACAAATTACAGTCCAAAGGTGCGCGTTAAGTTGCGCATATGTAATAGTTGCGTGCGCGGAGGATTTGGTGTTGCTACTGGTAATGAGTTGGCCTCGAGTTCTCATCCATCAGGTCTGATATGGACAGAACACGGAGAAGTAACATGTAATGAACGCTTTCGATCTCAGGCGATAAGAGTCAGCCTAAGGCATGTCTTAATTAGCGCTTTATCCGCAACGACCTGGCATGGTTGGACGTGAAGCTCAATACCTGCGATCCCAGGTCAAGTGATTGTCGAGGTGGCTTTGAGCATCTGGGCGTTGGATAATGAGATTGGGCTTTCTGTTCGCATTCCAGCTATAATGAGATGGGTCAAACAGATCTGTACAGATCATCTTTGATTGCAGCCAGCAAGTTAAAGCTCGACTTGTCGTTGCTGTTACGTGGACCATTGCTCGCAGAAAGTTCGAACGAGACGACGCCATAACTCCCGAATGACTAAATATGTGGTCCTGCCAGCCATGTGTGATAATCGCAAAACTCGGAGGGCCTTGGAGAACTATTACGTATGACATCGTCGGACTGTTGCACCCGCAAGAACATGGAGAGTAGCTGGGAGTACTGGAGTTTGAGCAGATGGCTAGCGGTGCTGTTGAGAAGGGGCCATATCCACCGCGGATCTCTACCATCACGCTGGGTATAGCAAGTCTAATCATACACAGTATGCGCTGTATCGTTCGCTCCCCGGGCAGCTTTGACAAGCATTGCAGCCTCTACGTGTCTGGCGTTGACTCTGACGCCGGACCCACGGTTACCGGAGGGTAGCTAAAAGCAATGGATCGGCTGGTCCCTCAGGCGGAGACCTAGCGCGGCCGCGGGGATGTAATCTATCCTCGAGCCTCCAGGTCTCCGTAGCCAGAGTTGTCGCAGCGATGCTAGCCATATGCGCTGGATCGTACGGCTCAGGAGAAGCTCCGTCGAGTTCCATCTGTGTGATAGATTGGGTAATGAGCCCACTACAGCCTCCGCAGGATAACTACAATGCAATGTCTCGGCTAGGAACGAGCTCGGATGGCTAGCGCCCGCGTTACGGCGGAGGTGCAATTCATCCTCAAGCTTAGAGAACTCCGCCACGAGATATGATACAGCAATGATAGTTACATGCGTTGAATCGTACAGCTTAGGTGAGCTTCTCCAAGCTCTGCCCGCTTCGTAACTTCAGTGCTGAGCCCATGAAATCCCGGAAGAGGCAA